TTTTTCCAGTGGTCATGTATGGATGTGAGAGTTGGACTGTAAAGAAAGCTGAGCGCCGAAGAATTGATGCTTTTGAACTGTGGTGTTGGAGAAGACTCTTGGGAGTCCCTTGGACTGCAAGGAGATCCAACCAGTCCATCCTAAAGGAGATCAGTCCTGAGTGTTCTTTGGAAGGACTGATGTTGAAGCTGAAACTCCAATACTTCGCCACCTGATGGAAAGAGCTGATTCATTTGAAAAGACCCTGATGCTGGGAAAGATTGAAGGCGGGAGGAGAAAGGGACAACAGGATGAGATGATTGGATAGCATCACGGACTCAATAGGCATGAGTTTGAGTAAGCTCACTGAGTTGGTGATGGACAGGGAGGCCTGGCGTGCTACAGTCCATGGGGTCGCAAAGACTCGGACACGACTGAGCGACTGAACTGAACAGCTGTAACAGTGTGGCCCAAGAGGTTGGCCTAGCTTCCTCTCTATATGTTGCAGCAAACCACCTCCGCAGTATGGTGCATAGGCAGCACAGGGAGGTGGTTAAAAGCAAGAATTCTAAAGCCAGACTGCTGCTGTTCAGATGCTGGTTTTGCCCTCAGTAGCTATGAGATCTTGGGCAAGTTACCTAATCTCTGTTTTCTCATCTGTAAAATGGAGAAAATAATAGTGCTTTTTAGGGTTGTAAATCTGATTTGTTTTTAAAGGGCCCAAAGGAAAAAGAGGTCTATGTGCGAGTTTCTCCCTCAGCAAAAGCCGACCCCGGTGTTTTCCTTGGCCTTGCAAGGTTTGGCTTGAAAGGAGGCAATGCCCAAGGTTCAGGCTCCAGATGCAGGCCTGGAGGCACCAGAGCGGTGTTTAAAGAGGTGTGAATGTGGACCCAGATGGGCAAGCTCCTCCCACAGACTGGCAGTACCCAAAGCCTAAAAGGCGAGACGCTAACTTGGATCCTGTCCCTGAGGCTAGCTTGCGCAAACATAAAAGATCCACAAACAGCTCTAGAGCCTCAGGGGTGGGGCCGGAGGAGGCCGCCGAGAATCGCTCTGATTAAGAGCGCGCCCAATCACAAACGACGTTCCGCCTGTCCCCCGCCCTGTAGGTGGGAGGACCCAATCAACGTCGAGAGTGTATCTTGGTCCCTGCTGCGGCCGTAGTGCGTCTGGAGCTGCAGGTCCGCTCCGGTCTAGATGTGAGGGCATCTGTCGGGCCTGAGGCCGAGTTCCACCCCGGCTTCCGGGGATGTCGGTGGCTTTCGTACCGGACTGGCTGAGAGGGAAGGCAGAAGTTAATCAGGAGACCATCCAGCGGGTAAGCGCCAAAACGGGCAGAGATCTTAGTAGAGATCCCAAATGGCTGCGGGCGCTGGGAGCTTCCTGGAGGGAGCAGCTGAGACTGGTGGTGTGCGTAGGTGACTTGCTGTGAGATGAGAACGAAGTCAGCAGAGGTGCTGGGGCTGGAGAGCCCGGCCTTGGGGAGCGGGGGGGCAGGCAAAGGAGGCAGTGGTCCTCGCCGCCCTGGCGTCGCGCTGATCTTTCAGCTTGTCTGATCTTTCAGCTCCTGGAGGAGAATGACCAGCTGATCCGCTGTATCGTGGAATATCAGAACAAAGGCCGGGCGAATGAGTGCGTCCAGTGAGTCCACTCTTTATTCCCTTAATTTGTGAGTGTGAAGGGGAAGCTAGTATGGGAATCCATCAGCTGACCTGAACTAGGAGTCTTGAGTGATCACAGATAAGGCTCAGAGGAATTACTTACCTGCCCAAGATAATACGGACAGTACATTGTGAAGCCTGGAGTCAGACATGGCTTCCTCTTCAAAACTTGAATTGTGCTCATTGCAAAGACCTCTCAAAAAGCCATGCCGGCTGATGAGAACAGGGATGGGGACGGTTCAGTTCAGTCCAGTTCAGTCGCTCAGTCGTGTCCGAGTCTTTGCGACCCCTGTCCATCACCAACTCCTGAAGTCTACCCAAACTTATGTCCATTGAGTCGGTGATGCCATCCAACCATCTCATCCTGTGTCGTCCCCTTCTCCTCCTGCCCCCAATCTTTCCCAACATCAGGGTCTTTTCAAATGAGTCAGCTCTTTCCATCAGGTGGCCAAAGTATTGGAGCTTCAGCTTCAATATCAGCCCTTCCAATGAATATTCANNNNTATACAGCCTTGATGTACTCCTTTTCCTATTTGGAATCAGTTGTTCCACGTCCAGTTCTAGCATTCGGAAAACGTCTCATGAAATGATGAGAGCAATGGCCGTTTTCTGGTCGTGGATCCCTGACTCATACTTTTTTGGTAACACATACAAAAACCAATAAAAGTTCCCAGTTAAGACAGAGGTAAATTTGGCACAGTAATTTAAGGTGCTCTCTAGCTATATGCCAAGATGAGAGAAAACACTCTCTTTTCTAAGTGTAGTTCCAGGACTTACACCCTGTTTATTACAGAAACAAAAAAGATTTTATTTCATTGTGACTGAAGCCATGCTTTCCCCACCCCCTAAAAAAGTAACCCTCATTCCCTCACTGAACAGGTCAGTGGAGATATCCATCTTGGGTAAGTCTTTACATTGGACACTGGCATTTGGTGATTTGGTTTTTTACAGTTTATAGTAAACACTCTCATTTTTCTATATGTAAAACCGTTGCAAAACACTCTATTTGGTGCAGTGATTCTCAAATTATGGATAAGTTACCACAGTCTCCTCATGGACATTTTCACATCGCATGGTGCATGATTCCTGCCCTCTAGTCCGATTTGTGGAGAAGGCAATGGCAACCCACTCTAGTACTCTTGCCTGGAAAATCCCATGGATGGAGGAACCTGGTAGACTGCAGTCCTTGGGGTTGCTAAGAGTCAGGCATGACTGAGCGACTTCACTTTCACTTTTCACTTTCATGCATTGGAGAAGGAAATGGCAGCCCACTCCAGTGTTCTTGCCTGGAGAATCCCGGGGACGGGGGAGCCTGGTGGGGTGCCGTCTACGGGATCACACAGAGTCAGACACAACTGAAGCGACTTAGCAGCAGCAGTCTGATTTGGGGCTCGACCCCTTGATTGAGAAATGGGGTCATAGTAAGCGTGCATTTATCATGGAAATGTCTTGTCCCTTCTTTAACTTTGTTCATGATTTTTTTTTGGCCTTGTACCACATGGGATCTTCGTTCCCTACCTGTGTGTGTGCTTAATCACCTCAGTCTTGCTGTGTGACCCTACAGACTGCAGCCGACCAGGCTCCTCTGTCTATGGGATTCTCCAGGCAAGAATACTGGAGTGGGTTGCCATGCCCTCCTCCAAGGGATCTTCCCGACCCAGGGATTGAACCTGTGTCTCCTACATTGCAGGCAGATTCTTTTAACTGCTGAGCCACCAGGGAAACCCTTAGTTCCCTGACCAGGGATCAGACCTGTGCCCTTGCAGTGGAAGTATGGAGTCCTAACCCCAGACTTCCAGGGAATTCCCTGTTCAAGACTTTTTATAAGTAATACTGAGTACCAGTTACTATTTCAGCTACTGGGGAATCAGTACCAAAACAGATACCAGCTCTGCTTTCATGGAGGTTACATTCTAGACTGTAGAATCATATAATTAGGCACATAATAATAAACGCTTTGAATAAGAATAAAGCGCAGTAAGTGGGAGGAAGTGCTAGTTTATACAGGTTATCTTTGATGTGACATTTGGGTAGACACCTTAGGTGAGGGAGGCAGCTATGCAGGTGTGTGAATCAGAGTGAGCATCAGGTGGAGAAGTCCCCCAGGCTAGAGCTTGCTGGGTATCTTGACATCTCTGCAAGGAGGCCACTCTGGCCAGAACTCAGTGAGTAAAGGGAAAGTGACAGATGAGATCAGAGAGGTAGATCAGGTAGAGGCCCTGATCATGTAGGTCCTTATAGGCCATGAGAAAAGCTGGGCTTTACTCATAATGTGATGGGGACCTTTGAAGAGTTTTGAACAGAGGTATTACATGGTCTTAACTGATGCTTTTGAACTGTGGTGTTGGAGAAGACTCTTGAGAGTCCCTTGGACTGCAAGGAGATCCAACCAGTCCATCCTAAAGGAGATCAGTCCTGGGTGTTCATTGGAAGGACTGATGCTGAAGCTGAAACTCCAATACTTTGGCCACCTCATGCGAAGAGTTGACTCATTGGAAAAGACCCTGATGCTGGGAGGGATTGGGGGCAGGAGGAGAAGGGGACGACAGAGGATGAGATGGCTGGATGGCATCACCGACTCGATGGACATGAGTTTGAGTAAACTCTGGGAGTTGGTGATGGACAGGGAGGCCTGGCGTGCTGCGATTCATGGGGTCACAAAGAGTCGGACACAACTGAGCGACTGAACTGAGTTGAACCTAAACTGTAAAATCACTCAGGCTGCTATGAGTATAACTATAGTAGGGGTACAAAGGTAGAACAGGGAGACAGCTTAGGAGAGTGGTCCAGTACAGTAGTCCAAGCAAGAAGTGATAGTGGCTTGGCCGAGAGATGTAGCTATGGGAGTGAGAAGTGAGAACAGGTAAGATTCTGGATGTATTTTCCTTTGATATGTTAAATAGACACATTGACAAAACGGAGTGGTCCATTCAGTAGATGAGCCATTCACTAGATAAATTCTTTTCCAGTTTTTTGTTCAATAAAAACACACCTCTAATTTTTGTCTGTTTTTCATCCATAGGTACCAGCATGTGTTACACAGAAATCTCATTTATTTGGCTACCATTGCAGATGCCAACCCAACCAGTGCTTCAAAAGCAATGGAATAGTCTTCCAGTTGGCTGTTGTGAGGAGTAATTGAATGTGATCTATGTCCTATGAAATGGATATTTGCCAACTCAACTGCTTAGAATGTGAATGGAACTTCTGTGGCTCTTTTAAAAATGTGAAAATGTGAAGAAAGCTACTAAACCATATTCTCAGTATAAATATTTAATAATTAAGTGGATTCCCTCAATTAAGTTGACTCCAAGTGTCCTCCATCCTGAAATAAGTGTGTTTGGATAACAGAGATATAATGGGCATCTTCAAGTCAACCTTTTTAGTTTCAGCCTGAAGAGGAAACTGAGCAGGTATTGGGCGATCAGCAGGAATTGGTGAGACTTTCCACTGAGACACTGCCAAATGGACATATGACTGTTTCTCCCTCCTACCAGTTTGTGGTTGTGGACCCCTGACTGCTCTTTTCATGTTACTTTGAAATAAAGCTTGATATTAAGGTATAGAAATTTTCTTGTAATGTCTTCCACTTGGTTTTTGAGAAAAAGTGTAAGGAGTTAAAAATACCTGTAACACCACCACTGTCATTGGTAACAAAATTAATAGTAATTCTTAAGTATCATCTAACATCATCTACTAATAGAAGATGTGATGCTGAAGGAAGAGTATCTTTTTCTTTTCTATCCTTTTAAGGTTCTCGGCTAGGCCTCTATAACAAAAGACAGATTAACAGAAGAAAAGCATATGCATTTATTTAATATAAGTTTTACGTAACATGGGAGCCTTCATAAGGAAACAAAGACTCAAAGAAACAGTTAAACCTGAGCATTTTTATATGAAGTTTGATGAAAAGTATAAAGTTGTAGAAAAATGTGATGGGACATAATGGTATGAGCTAAGTGTAGGAAACTGGGGGAGATGTAGCAAGGCCTTTTTGTTCAAAATCTCTGTCCCTCTGGGTGTGGGAAGGCACCTCTCATATGAGAGTCACATGACCTGCTTTTTGGGAGGAGGTCTGATAGTCCTAGGATCTGCCATTTCTCAAAATCCTTCCTTAAAATATCCAATATGCCAAGGAGCCATATTTTGGCATGTCCTGAATTCCATGATGTTCAATTTTCTTCTTTTCCCACAACATGTGATTTTGTTGATGTGTCTGAAACAGGATCCAAACAAAATTCACACCCTGCATTTTGTTGACATCGCTATGTCTGTAAAAATACTTAACAATTCCTTTTGCTTTTATCATTTGTTAAAAAAACTACGTCATTTGCTCTAAAATTTTTCACATTTCTGTTGTATCCCTGTGGTGTGGTGTCATTATATATCCCAGTATTGACCCACTTTTCCTAAAAACTAGTAGATCTAGGTGCTCGTTTCGACTCAGATTCTAGTATCTTTGGCAAGAATACATCATAGGAAGTAATAGGTGCTTACTTTCCCATCACATCAGGAAATAACCCAAAATGATTTATTATCAAGCTCCTGATAGCCTTTCACTTAAATTATGATCTACCCAGCTTTGATAGTTTACTTCATTAGGGATTACCTAATGGTGATTTTTCTATGCTATCATTCTTTCTGCTTTCCTTCTTTGAGACTTATCTGTTAAATGGGGCAAACAGCTTCTTGTAAGTGAACCCCAAATTAAAACCTCCTTTTGTTGGGAGTCAAGGGTTTCAACCCAGGAAGGCCGTAATTCGTAAACAGTGAAGAGAGACCTCATTTTTAATCCCAAATCTGTCATAATCTCTGTAAGCTGTTTCCTCAGCTCTAAAATGGAGATAACGAAAGTAGTATCTGCCTCTTGAGTTATGAGGTGGAGATTCTGTGGTTGGGAGCTGGGCATGGTAAATATTCAAGTGTGTTAACTGAAGGCTCTGGCCCCTTTCAGAGGCCCCCTCCCATTCTGTCATCTGTAGGGTTCTATCCCATCATTGGTCTTCTCTGTCCTCTACTATTCATCTGGTTTGTGCTGATACTCTATGCCAGGTAGGCTGCTGAAGGGCCTGATCTGATCAGCAAATATGGTAAGTGCTGTGCAATGTCTTTAGTTTTGAATTAGTTACTAACATTTAAAGATAAGAGGATTTCCCATGAAAGCCTGGATTTCTAGCAATGCTGGATTAACAGGTCCCACAGTGAAAACCATCAGCTGGAGTGTGATGGCAGCTGGCCCCCACTCACGTTATTAGACAGCTTGAACACTTAAAAATCTGTCAAGAGGGTAGATCTCACGTTAAGTGTTTTTACCACAATAAAGTAAAAAAGAAAAGAGTGCTTGCCAGATCCTGGGTAGAGGGGAGGAGAAGTCATTGTTTAATTGGCACAAAATTTTAGTTTTACAAGATGAAGATTGTCCTCTGGCTAGATGGTAGTGATGGTGGCACAATGGGAATCTACTTGGTGCCTCTGAACAGTAAGCTTAAAAAAAGTTAAAAGACTAGTTTACGTAAAGTTAAAGTGTATATTACAATTTTAAGAAAATAACGGAAAACAACAACCACCCAACAGTGTGGCCCCATGGTAAATATAAATCAATGTAGCAAATTGAGCCCAGAAATAGAATGCACATATGTGGTCACAAAGCCAAGGTAATTCAATGTATAAAAGACAGTCTTTTCAACAGATGGTGGTGGAACTACCGTATATCCCTACGAGAAAAAAAAGAACTTCAGCTTCTGCCTGACACCATATCCACAAATGCTGACAGATCATAGACTTACACCAAAAAGACAGGGTTATAAAATTTCTAAAAGGAAACACAGGAGAAAATCTTCATGAGCGTGGGGTAGGCAGAGATTTCTTACACAGAGAAACACAAACCATAAAAGAAAAAGATCAAATGACTTCATAAAAAATTAAAAAAACTGCTTTCCACAAGTCACTATCAAAACAATGAAAAGGCAAGACAGACTGGGAGAAAATATTCACAATTACATAAACCTAGCAAGGGATTTTTATTCAGAATATATACATACATCACTTAACAACACGTTAAATAACAGAATTCTTGTTTTCTATAAGACGAAGAACATGATTAAAATAAGGGCAAAGGTCTCGAACAATTTAGAAAAGAGGGCCTTGAACACTATGCCCATGACGTTGGCCCCCAAAGCGGAAACGCACGTACGACTGTACCTAAACGGCCTTTGAAGTGAGACAAACAGTCTAACAGGAAAGCGTCAAAACAACTCCCTGAGTAAAAAAGTCAAAACTGTCGGTCTACTGATCCTCAACGACTTGATTCTCCGACCTCTTCCGCAGCTATGGACAACAGGGAAGCCTCGCGATATCTCCAAATACTTTGACACGGCCCTTGAAAAGGACGACAGGAAGTAGCGCAGGCGCGTCGGGGGCTCCCAGAGTTGGCCACTGATTCCAACGTAAAGGAGGAAAGGGGCGGAGCAAAAAAGAACCAGCTCAGGTATAGGAGCTCGGGACCCGAGCTCCCAGGCATTCTCACGTAGGCGTAGCCTCTTCTGTTAACCCTGCCTTCGAGTACGTGCTCTCGCGGTATCTGCCCCGGCTCTCGCGGGGTTTAGCGTGGCAATAGGAGACCCGCCTGGGGGCGGGGGTGGCGGTCCGTTAGTGGCGTTGGGCTCCGGCCACGGTGGCAGCGCTTTCTCTTCTGCTCACTGGCAGGTCTCAGGCTGGAGGCCAGCCAGGTGAAGAGCGCGGCTGCATGTGTGTGCGCACTCCATGGGAGCCGGGAGGCCTGAGGTGAGAGGGAGCCGGTCTCGGCCTCCGGCGCTGTCGCGACAGGCCGGCGGGAGGTGACTGAGGCGCGGGCTCCGCCCCACCCCCGCCCTAGCCCCCGCCCTGACCGCTTTCCTCCCCATCTCTCCCAGCTCTTGCTGCCGCCTCGGTCGCTATGGGGGCGCAGGACCGGCCGCAATGCCACTTCGACATCGAAATCAACCGGGAGCCGGGTGAGCCGGGCCACTGGGGAGCCCTGCGGGGCCTAGGCTTGCCTTGGGGAAGGGGAGGGGTCTACCTTCATCAACCCTCCCCCAAGCCTTTTTGGGAACTGGTAGGCGCAGTCCGTACTCCCTTTTCTCCTGAGGGAAAATCTGTGGAGAGGTGAGTGGTCCGGATACAATCTAATTGGAGTCCAGGCCTCGTCCTCCCAAACTCCTTGTCCCCCCGCACCCCTCCTGAGTGTTCCTGCCTTGCCTTAGCGCCAGGAAAAGGGTTGCGATCCTTTTTGGACTTTGTCTCTCACAATATCTCTAAGGAACAAACACTCCCAATTTCAGTTTCTGGTATCTCGCTCTGTACTATGAGCTTTGGACTCGTACGTTGTATATTTTCTAATTCTTGTGCATCCTTAATAGGTTAACTTTGTTTTTATTTTTCCTTAAGTGTCTTTAGCCAGAATTCCTTGGTTCGTGGGGTAATGACTTAGCACAAGTCTTGGGCGATAAACCAAAGCATTTAGTATCAACAGACTTGCAGCGTGTGTTCTCTTCCACTACTGTTTTCTTCAGGGAATCCAGCCGTTTCTTAGTATATTGTTTTGAAAATTAGATATTTTCTTCTCAAGCGTAGTTAACTTCATTCTACGTAGCAGAGCATGCAAGGTTCCAGTTTTCTTAGCCTTTTTTTTTTTTTTAATACTGTGACGGATTTTTTAATTGGAAGCATATATACAGTCTTTTTGCAGATCTTGTTCAGCAGATTGTGCATGCTACTGTTCTAGACTGAGGATATAGCAACGCATAGAACAAAGGCCTCTCTTCCTTGTAGTTTATATTCCGTTGGAGGAAGACAGACAATAAACCAGAAAAAAAATAAGTGTCTTGTAATAGGGGTACTGTTTTAATAGATTGGTCAGAAATTGACATTTTGAGAGGATGACATTTAAGCAGACCTGAAGGAGAAGGTAAGGGTGTGCATATCTCTGAGAAGAACCTTCCTATAGAGGAACAGATAATATGAAGGCCTTGACGAAAAAGTGTACCTTCTTGTTTGAGGAACAGAAAGTGTCACTTTCTTGACTTGATGAGAAAGTGTACCTTCTTGTTTGAGGAGTGAAGGAGGCAAGTGAGTAGCAGAAAATGAGTAAAGGCCAGAGTAAGAACTTTGACTCCGTGAGATAAAATGTTTTCAGCAAAGGAATGATGTGATCTTAGAAATTTTTGTTGCATTCTCTCTTCATCTTTTGTACCTTGAAGCTCTTAATCCTAATTCTATAGTGAATTTTCGTTTTGAATAACAAGGCTTATTTTTTTTAAGAGTTAAAAATAGCGTAGTCCTGGAAAGTAGAGGTCAAATAAAGGTTCTGTAGCCCTGGAAACTACTCCTTTTCTTGTACACATTCATATCCTACTTTCACAAATAACTTCTGTTGTGAAACATCTCCAGAATATGTTTGGTAAATGTAAAATGAACTTTGATCCCCAGTATTATAATATCATTTTGGTAGAAGTGACTAGAACTCTTGAGAACACTGAGCCATATATGAAACAAGGAATGCTTGGATTGTTCTAGGTTGAACCAGTTGATAACTGGCAATTTCATATGGTTCAGTTTCATATACAATATTGATATTTCTCTAACACTTTTCAGTATATTATCTAAGGAGTAAGTACTTGATTTTTATGCAACTTGTAAGGATCACTTCGGTTGTTTGAAATGAGGTGTCCTGCTTTGTATTATTTAACCATTAGTATGTATGTCATTGAGTACTTATTCAAGTAATAACTCTTGTCTTCTCCTATAGTTAATAATTTGCTTGATACAAAGTAATATCTTTTTTTACTTTGATAAGTAAAGATCCTTTAATGAGTAGCTATGTTGTCTATATTAATGAGAGGTCAAAAAGTACTGATAAAAATTGAGCTGAACACAGCACAGTGTGTATTTTCCATTCCTATCAATGGAAGTTTGTATATTTTATAGCAAACAAATGAGACTTTTGAATTGTAAAGCCACCAAATGAATGCAAGTATATGTTAAAAGAGGAATGTCTTTAAATTATGTGAGTATAGTTACAGAACTATTGATGTTGTTACTTCTCTTTCACTGAGTTTTGGTAGTTTGAAAGGCAGTCAACAGCCATTAACTAATTGGTAACTCCTTGATATGCTCTAAAAACTTAATAGCCATTTTTTACTAAACTGGCTTAAATCAGTTTGCACCAGATATCTAAAACCTATTCCCCTGGGCTCCAGGATTTCACTTCTTGATACGAGATCTGAAAAAGGCAAGTAAAAGATAAGTTTCTGAAGCACCAAAAAAGGAAAAGCTAGATTCCTATTTCATGTCTGCCCTGAAAAGTAATCAGTTTAACCAACCACTAACAACCATAGAGAGAACTAATATTTAGTCAAAGAAGGGTGGGCCTGCCTGTCAGAAAAAATAAACAGAACCTCTGAAAAAAGAAAACAAAACATCAATGAAATGAAAATCTGGAAAAAAAAAAGAAAATCTGGTTCTTTGAAATAACAGTAAAATTGATAAAACTTCTAGCCCAACTGGCCACAGAAAAAAAGACAACAGGCACAAATTATCAACATGAGGAATAAAAGTGATATTACTACAGATCGATATTACTACAGATCCCACAGATACTAAATTAAAGGACGATGTTGTTTGACAACTTAAAATTAAATGAGCCAGTTGCTTAAAAGCGAGCTGCCAGGTCACAGTGAAAGCAAGTCACATTTGCTATATGTAGACGTCGACAAGCAAGTATACACACATGTAGGTCATAAAACCAGTTCTGTAAGTCTGATGAAGTCATTTTCAGTGTTCCAGGTACTCTTTAAGTGGAAGATTTCTGATCTTGAAAATTGTCATGTGAATCTTTTAGTTTTGTGCACCAGAATCCTCTTAAATCTTGACTAGACCCAGGACCTTTTTGATGGACCCAGCCTTAGGTTGCACTCCAAAGGGTGACTCCAGATTTATGTCCTATTAATGGAAGGGTATGGATTATCTCCAAATGTTTTTATTCAGTCTTTATGTTCCAGACATTACCAGTTTGCCAATAAAAACAGATTTTAAGCATTCATTTTACTAATTACTAGTTGATTAGAGATAAAGATAGCAAAAGCAGTATTAGAAGTCACCTCTGGAGGACAGCCTTTGATTTATCACCCCCCTGGAGGCTGTGTGTTTCTTAGAGGCCTGAAGTATAGTTTTAAAACTCATATGATTACTTTATATGAGAATGTCTATATAAGGTATTTTAAAATAAATTACAGTTGTAATATATTACATTATAGTAATACAATGGTGCAGACCTTTTTTTGTTTTCAAACCGGGAGAAGCTATCATGACACCAGAAGTCAAACTCCAATTTTTTCACTCCCATTTCTGTTAGTATTCAATAGAGTTTTTCAAAGGCAGTGATGACACAACAGATTAAATGCGGAAGTAGATAGGAAAATCTGTCTTTTATTACACTAGATGTGAAATAAGGAAATCTCATGAAATGAGATTTGCAAAAATGTAAAAGATAACACTCATAACATTTTTTGTTCATATTTCAAAATGTAAATTATTAAAAAAGAACTCATGATGGGCTTCCCTGGTGGCTCAGTAGTAAAGAAACTGCCTGCCAGTGCACGAGACATGGGTTCAATCCCTGGTCTGGGACGATCCCGTCTGCCGCAGAACAACTAAGCCTGTGGGCCACAACTACTGAGCCTGTGCTCTAAGAGCGGCCTAGAAACTGTAGCTACTGAACCCCCTGCGCCCTAGAGCCTGTGCTCCTCGAGGAGAGAAGCCACCTCAGTGAGGAACCGTGCACTGCAACTGGAGACTAGTCCCCTCTTGCTGCAACTAAAGAAAAGCCTGTGTAGCAACAAAGACCCAGCATAGCCAAAAGAACATATTAAAATGTCTATAAAGTCTTCAGTAATTGTTTAACATGTAGAGGGATTCTGAGACCAGAAAGTTTTGAGAACTGCTGGTATAGACGCATGGTTTCATAGAACTCAAGCATTGGGTTTTGTCTGCATTGTTTTAAACTTTCTGTTTGAATGTAATTTCACGTTTATAGGACGTTGAAAAGTAAAAGCTGTAAAAAGAATGCCAATCTATTCTTTACCTAGATTCACCTATTTACATCCTATGCCATTTGCTTTATTAATCTCTTTCTCTTTAAACGCACAGTTTTTTCTGAATCATTTGAAGGTACGTTACCCACATCATGGCTCTTTACCCCTAAGTACGTGCGTGTATTTATTAAGAATAGAAATATTCATTAAAAGAGTCTTAAACATTTAAAAAAATTTCAAAGAAAATAAAGGGGTATTCTCCAACATAACCACAATGCAATTGTCAACCTCATAAATTCATATGGATGCAATACTTTAATCTACTATGTCTGTATTCTGTTTTTGTTGGTTGGCCTAAAAATTCATTTATATCATTCTTTCCCCTCCAGTACAAAATTCCAGTCTAGCCTCAGAGATTACATTCAGCTATCATGTCTCTTTACCCTCCATTTTCATAGCTTTTGTCTTTTATGAGATTGACATTTTAAAAAATATAGCCCCCTTCTTGAATAGAATGTTACTTATTTTGTATTTGACAGAGACTTCAAGTTGGTTTTCTAAAATGATAACCAAGGTGTTTCTTTAAAAGAATGCTTGAAAAAAAAAAAAGAATGCTTGACTTTAGAATTTTGTTTATGTGGGCCTCAGAACAATGTCATAAAACCCTGGCAATTATCAAAATAGGTAAAATGGAAATATCATTGAAATGGATGTTTTAAATTTACTGCTCAAGGTTCCCATGAATCAAAGAAACTAAAAATGTGTTCTTAGTAAACACTACAGAGTATTTGGAACTGAAACTGAGCAACAAGTTTAAAGTAAAGAAGACAAATGTTTGAGTACTGCTTATGACCAAGGGAAAGCCCTCTGACCTCTTTGTAAATGGAAGTACTATAAAGTCGTTATTGTGTTTCTAAAGTACAGCACAATTTGCTTGTATTCAAAATTAACCTTTAAACTTTAGACTAATACCCAAAATAACTTCTACTTTGAGGTAGAGCAAGGCATATGAGACCTGATTTGTACTGGGGGACCGGGAGAAATGAATCTCCCATCTCAAGCATGCACTGGGTTATAAGCTTGTGAATACAGTGACTCAGTGACTCTGGATGCGGTGGTTTGCGCCATTTAAATGATTTCTCCCTTTTGTATATACTCATAAACTAATAAGACGTCAGTGCAGTATTGCTTGCATGGTAAGGTTCTTGAAAAGAGTAATTAAATAATATAACCACGTGTTTTAAAGATCATATTTTTTAAATGAATTTATTCTAATCAGTTAAGGAGCACAATTTTTCTTAGGCAGATTACCGTTTGTGTTGTGACACAGCAAGGAGGGGAACTGGTGTGTGGGAGAGAAGGATGGTGAGCAGCCCTGCTGTTTTGAGTTATTCTTCTCTAATAGTTACTTGAAAGACCACAAGGAGGGTTATGCTAATGACAGTGCTGAGAAAGGTCAGAGAGAGGTGTGATAAGTTGTAGGATTTCCTCAGTGATGTTTAAATTTTATAAGATATTGTTATAACTAAAAGCATCCCTTTATCATTGATACTTCTCAGATAGAAAATCTTTTATACTAGAACCTGAAATTCCCTTGTCCCCAGCTCGCATTGTCCCTTGGAAACAGTTGTCTTTATATGTGATTTTTTGATAATGCAGTGTTTCAGTTTTTTCATGTTATTGCAGAGCTGCCTGTATTTGTAAAGAACCTAGTACAGCATGTGTCACACTTGTTTTTTAAGTTGCTTTAATTAGTGCATTTGCGTGAACGTGAGCTTGAGCACTGAGCTCATGTTCAATTTTAAGGCAAAGGCTTGTTACCATTTCTGTAAGCAAGAAGGTTCTCCTTTACCCCCTTTTCTCCTTATTTTTTTATAAATTGGGCCCAGAGGATCCCAGTAATAACCACAGGCCTGGTTGAAAGGTCGTGAAGGCAAATTCATATGGATTTTTTTTTATTAAATTTATTTTTTTATTGAAAGATAATTGATTTACAGAATTTTGTTGTTTTCTGTCAAACTTCAACATGAATCAGCCATAGGTATACATATATCCCCTCCCTATATATCCCCTCCCTCTTGAACCTTCCACCTCCTGCCCCATCCCACCCTTGTAGATTGATCCAGAGCCCCTGTTTGAGTTCCCTGAGCCATAGAGCAAATTGCTGTAGGCTGTTTTACATGTGGTAATGTAAGTTACCTTGTTACCCTTTCCCTACATCTCACCCTCTTCTCCCCTCTCCCCGTGTCAGTAAGTCTGTTCTCTCTGTCTGTTTCTCCATTGCTGCCCTTTAAATAAATTCTTCAGTACCATTTTTCTAGATTCCATGTATATGTGTTAGAATACAACGTTTATCTTTCTCTTTCTGACTCACTTCACTCTGTATAATAGGTTCTAGGTTCATCCACCTTATCAGAACTGACAAACACATTCCTTTTTATGGCTGAGTAATATTCCATTGTGTATACGTACCACAACCTCTTTATCCATTCATCTGTCAATCTACATCTAGGTTGCTTCCATGTTTTAGCTATTGTAAATAGTGCTGCAATGAACAATGGGATACATATGTCTTTTTCAATTTTGGTTTCCTCAGATTATATGCCTAGGAGTGGGGCTGGGTCATATGGTAGTTTTTTTTTTTTTTTCCTATTTTTTTAAGGAATCTCCATACTGTCTTCCTTAGTGGCTGCATCAATTTACATTCCCACCAACAGTGCAAGAGCATTCCCTTTTCTCCATACCCTCTCCAACATTTATTGTTTGTAAGCTTCTTGATGATGGCCATTCTTACAGGTGTGAGGTGATATCTCATTGCAGTTTTGGTTTGCATTTCTCTAATAATGAGCGATGTTGAGCATCTTTTCATGTGTTTGTTAGCCATCTGTATGTCGTCTTTGGAGAAATGTCTGTTTAAGTCTTTTTCCCACTTTTTGATTGAGTTGTTTGTTTTTCTGGTATTGAGTTGTATGAGCTGCTTGTAGATTTTGGAAATTAATCCTTTCTTTCGTGTTTCATTTGCTATTGTTTTCTCCCATTCTGAGAGTTGTCATATGGATTTTTATGGGGACTTTGAGAGGAGAAAATTGGCTTCTTAGCACTATCCTTTTCCTTCCTTTTCTCTGCCTCAAATCTCCACGTGAAATATAAAGATTTTCCTCCTTTTCTGCCTTTAACGTAGGATGGCTGTTCCTTGTCTCTTCCCTCCTACCCTGTGCTTTCGGCTGTTTGTCTACATTTGTTGGTATTCATCTGTCAGTGTTGTTGCAAATTCTGACAATGGTGGATGAACTAGATGTCCAGTATGATTCAGAATTTTTTTTTTTAACAGTTCTGATAGGTACATCATTTACTTTAGAGTCTTTAGCAGTGTTTTAAACCTTGTACTGTAATATTGTGCCCAAAACAATTTGGTTTTGTTCATGTTTTTTTCTTTTGCTCTTAACAACACAGTGCCATGGCAGAGACAGAATTTCTGCTCTAACCTTTGCCCCATGAGTGTGAAAGGTCAATAGAAATTTTGTTTCTTCATCAGGTTAGAGAGTAGGTTATTAGAGGTGAGTATTTTTTTTAAAATCTTTGTAGTTAGCTATCCCTCTCTGAATATTAGACCTGGAAATGTAAGTAATTACATTTAACTGTTTTCATATATATTGTACCACTAGAGAGTTCATAATTACCTGTAAAAGAGAAACTAAAAATATTTGAAATTTTCATCAGTTTTCATTTGGAGGCATTAAAGACTTTGGGGGGGAGGGAAAACTCTTTATTGAAATTACTATAGTCCTAGAGAAAAGGTGAAGTTTCAGTTGTTTTGATTGTATCTTTTATTCTGAAAAACATCTATCTTAAAGAGATTCCAAAGACCTATGTATGTAGTTTGCAAAGCTAGATGGTTTTGTATTTGACACCCACCTAGCCAGCCATTTCTTAGGGATTTATGAGTGATGGAAATACTCTTGTTACACTTGTAAATTATTTTTATGTAAATACAAAGACTAGTAGTTAATATTACTGATATTAGATGCATTTCCTAAAATTCTGAAATGTTTTTAGATACATTGCTATCTTCCTTTTTGCTTTTTTAACTTTTTCTTCATTTCTTTAGACATCAAGATCAGCTAGAAGGTTTTGAAATTGCATTAAATTTGATTCTAGCACTCGATTTGGCAGTGCTGACATGGGAGAGTTTTATTATATGATTCCATTCTTCCACTTTTTATCCTTTAAGGTTGTTTCTTACACAGTAACCTTGTTTTGTCCTCAGAGTAACTAACTGACATGGCCAGGAATAAAGTAGAATCTTAGTGATATAATAAATCAAGGCATTTTGTGTCTGTACTGGGTTATGCTTGATCCAGTTAATTTTGATTTATTCTACAAGTCTTGACTATGTGCAAATGTTCATAATGGAAAAGCTTTTATAGAATAAAGGGAAAAGGGACTCAGGAAAATGGTTGTAATTCAAAATTCCCTTTCTTATTTTATTGACGGGAGGGCAAAGTCGAAACAGTTTTTAAAATAATATGATTTGCCCCTTGCACTCTCATTCACAAGTTGTTTTCCAAACATTACAGAATATGTAATGATGTCACTGCTCTGACAGCTGATGGAATGGGTACCTGAGTATTCTTGTTTTGAAAATTTCTGAGTTTTAATATATAATACAGTAAATATAAAAAATATAACCCACATTTTAAAAGCTTTAATCATTTTTAAGAGTTTAAAGAAGTCCTGAGATGAACAGATTTGTGAAACACTTCTCTATTGGCATGGGAGGCATGCTCAGTTCCGTCTGACTCTTTGCAACCCCATGGACTGTAGCCTGTCAGGCTCTTCTGTCCATGGGATTCTCCGGGCAAGAATACTGGAGTGGGTTGCCATTTCCTACTACAGGGGATCTTCCCTGACCCAGAGATCGAACCCGAGTTTCCTGCATTGGTAGGCAGATTGTTTATTGCATAATTAAGTCGAATTTGCAGACTTGCTCCTATTGTTTCTTTGTTTGTTGATTAGTTTTTTCGGAACCATGACCTCTTCTCTTTCTGCTCTCTCAGGGAATTTAATGTGAGTTTTAGTTTTGAGTGCCAGTTCAGGGGTTGGCTGTGAACAGCTCTTGCATAAAGGTAAAAAGCTGAAAGTAGAGGACAGAACTTTCTTCTACTGGCACTAGCCCGAGTGACCATCTTATGATGTGCTGTCATCACTGGAGGGATTTAGGCATAAATCAGACGACTGTTATCGAGAATATATTTAAAGATTAGTAGTTCAGGTAAGAGATATACTAAGAGAGATCTAATAAAATAAGGTCCTGTTAAAAGACACTTAAAATCCCACAGTTCTGGACGGAAGTCACTTTGGTTGCATGTGAATCATAATGCTAATAAATATAGTATGGTTCTTATTATTTGGTATTGCCTAGTTAAATTCTTTTCCTGTTGAATCTCTTAAAAAATTAAAATGAATGATAAAAATGGGCCTCTCAATTTGTTTCTTTATTTCTCCCATATAAATATGATACATTTAATCAACTTGCTTACCTGTTTTTTCATGTGTTTTATTTCAGTTGGTCGAATTATGTTTCAGCTCTTTTCAGATATATGTCCAAAAACATGCAAAAACTTCCTTTGCCTATGCTCAGGTAAATGAACTATTAGATTATTTCCAATGAGAAATCCTGGCTTAAAATTTTACCTTGCTTAACAGAATAGCTATTTCCTTAAAAAGTAATGGATTGTGAAATGAAAAATAAAAAATATTATTTTCACTGATAAGAAGTCAGGGAAGCATTTCTTAAAGGGAAGAGAGGAGAAAGAAATGGTCTCAAAAATGAAAAAGGAAGTACTACTATATGTAATGGAATCTTTATTCATTGTAGTTTAAAAAATAATAGTGTATGTATTCAAAACTGATTTATTTTGATATAATTTTACAGATTTTAGTACTTTGAACAAAGTTAGCCTTCCAGATCTCACAATAAATTTACGATTAGAGGATAGAGAAGCAGAACATAAGGATGTTGTTGTTACATGTAATTTGGTTTATATTTTTAAACAGATAAAATGGGGAGGAAAGACACTTATAGTGTTGCTTACCTCTTAGAGTGCCCTACACAAGGGAGGAGTTTGACAAAGGGCTGACTGGATGGTCCTTCCCTTGGAAGGATATGTTTGTAGCTAAACTTCATTTCTCTTTTTTTTCCAGGAGAGAAAGGCTTTGGGAAAACAACTGGGAAGAAGTTATGTTATAAAGGTTCTACATTCCATCGTGTGGTTAAAAACTTTATGATTCAGGGTGGGGACTTCAGTGAAGGTAGAGCTAAAAGTTATGCTGTTAATAACTGTATTAATTCCTAAAGCACCTCATTATTTTAATTGTAAATATTGTGTCACAGTGTGATGTAAATATTAGATGGTCAGTGAATAGTTGTTGGATGAATGAATGTTGTAAGCCAAGAATGTATAAAAAGCAAAATACTAAGAGGTTTTTTGTTTTGTTTTTATGCAGTTTTAATACAGTTATTTGGTGAATACCCTCTAGTGAATGCCAAAGTATTATTCAATTAGTTGTATTCTTTTAGAGTTTTGTCAGTGTTTGAAATAAATGGGTTGTGGGGATAATTTTTTATTTTAATGGAATTGGATTTATAGTTTAAAAATGAGGTTGATTGAGGATTATTAGAATTTCTGTCATCTGCAGCAGTTACAAGGTGTTAACTCCTTTAGCAAATCAAAACCGTAAAGAGTAATTTATGTATATGAGTATATTTTTTAGTTTTCATTATTGTTTAACATAGCTCATTATTTTCAGGTAATGGAAAAGGTGGAGAATCAATTTATGGTGGTTATTTTAAAGGTAAGGCTTAATATTTTATGGCCTTCTGTTTCATCTCTGATATAAAGCAAGTTGATCATGTACTTTTAATGAGAAGAGGTTTACTTATAGTTCACTTTTTGCATGAAACTAATGCTGCATGAAAATACTTTATTTGCATGAACTTGGGGATAAATTATATTGTAATATATAACTTTTAATTGACAAGATTAATTAAGGCTAACTTTATGGTTAAACATGACTTTCAGCATGGAGGTTAGGCAACTATATACATGAAAACTCCTATCTTCCTGCCTAAAACTGTCAACATATTCTTTTGTTTATAGAGAATGTGGTCTTTTGCAAAATGAAAAGGTAAGAGAACGAAGCTCAGTAACACAAACTCCAACTCTTTTCCCTTGCACCCTTCCTAATAAATTTATGGAGAGTCTGGGTCAGGTTGTGACTGGATTTCTTATATTGCTTGAAGACTTGGAAAACTCTGTATACTATTTCATACATGCATCTGTATCTTTTTTTCTTTTTCCAATGGGTTATTATTTCCACATCAGGGTAAAGAGTCTAGTTTTTTTTGTTTTTGTTTTTTTTCTTTTCCCCTCTAAGCCAAACAGTGTCTTTGAATAAAAGTTGGTATCTCTTCCTTTCTCAAAGGTTTGTATGTTTTCTTTTGTATACTAGAACTGATTGTATTTTATTCCTACAGTAGTATTTGCATAAATCTAACTATTACACTTGCCCCAAAAAGCCTTAGAAAAGTCAGTTGCAGAAATTTATAATGGGATCCAGTATTACTAGGTTTTAATGCCATGATAGCTTCAGTGTTATAATAGTCTTTTATATTTCTTTTGGGGGAAAATGGATTACTACTCTTTTTCAGAAGCCTGTTCCCAAGGTAATCTTTTTTTTGTTTTTGTTTTTTAAGTTTTCTGTGTTTCTGTTTGTTTAAAAGAAAGATTTGTTTGTATGAATGTTAAAAGGAAACTTACATTAGTTTTCAGGATATTTCTGCTGGAATTAAATCCATTTCTAAGTGATCTTTATGACAGAGGATTTCCTTTGAACTAGTATCGAACAGCTCTTTAGCTGATTCCATTAGCATGTAGCAATTTGAAATTAATACTGTAGGCCACTTTAAGGTGGTTGTTGCCTGTGGCAGATACTTGTATGTATATCTTAAAATTGAATCTTGCCATTTAAATTTTTGTATTTACAGGGCTTTCTTCCTTAGATAGTTTTTGATCCTATTGGTTAGAATCTACATACTTGATTTAATTTAGGCATGTCTCTAAACTTACTGTAATATTTTGGTTAGGGTTGGTTTCATCATCTAGCAACAATTTGATTGAGTAATAAATTTACCATATAGAAATTAAGCACATAAGAGGATTATTAAAGCTCCCATGAATGGTGCATTATTCAGGGTGATTGGAAACTTGGAAGAAACGAGCTCTACTATAAAGATTTTTTTTTTATTTTCTTGGTAGTTTTCCCTGAAAGTTAATAGTTTAAATATCATTTAGCCAAAGTCTGTTGCTCTAAAAGTGACTGTTCTAAGGCTGTTTGTATAAAGTATTAAATATATGTTCTTTTTCTCAAGGCTAAGTAGTAAATAAGTCGTATCTGGGTTTTTTTTTTTTTCTTTTTTTATGTTTTTGTTATTTGATTAGTTAAAAGAACTTCGAAATAGTCAAGTATCTGTACTGACCAGAAGAGGAATTTCATCCTTTGCTTTCTATTTACTACTTTGAACATTACACGTTAAAAGTGGCTTATAATTGGAGACTGACAAATTTGTGTTTTCTTCAAACAGATGAAAACTTTATTCTCAAACATGACAGAGCGTTCCTTTTGTCAATGGCAAATCGAGGGAAACATACCAATGGTTCCCAGTTTTTCATGTGAGTAGGCATATTTCAGAGATGAGCTTTTCCTAAACAGAGAAGCGCTGTTCATGAGAAAGATGGTATCCTTGATCCAAATTTACTGCTAGGTTCTGTCAGCTTGAGTTTTATTATGTTATAGTAACTGGTAAGCTCTTAACAACCATCTCAGTGTAAAGAATATATCCTGGATTTGAAGGCTGGTACTTAAAAAGGCATAACTTGAAGATATAAATTATTCTGTTGTCATCTTAAGAAATTGGCTTTGGCTCAACAAATTTGGGGACTCAGTTTATCAAATCTGAATTGGAATATAAACTCTTGATGAGCATTTAAAAAGTTGTTCATGACTGGAACTGAATGTATCCTTGGCATGGAAAGCAGTTGGTTTGAGTAAACCATAGTATGATTGCTTTTCCCTCTTACTGTTGTTGTTTGAGCCAGTTTGAGAGAAGTGCCATTATTTTCTGACACTGTATAGAGATAAATGATTTGGTGTTAAGCCAACGTTTGTAGCAGTCTTAAACTTTATGAGATCTCTATGCATAATTGAATTAACCCAATATTGCTTTCATTTTCACCAAAAATTTGTGCTGTTATCACTTAGAAAACTTTAGAATGATAGATTTGTTTTTTAAAAAACAAACACTTTTACATGTACATGTATACACAACCAAAACCTTAGTTATCTCTCATCTGAAAGACTTTTGGCATACTCTCTGTTGTGTTCTTATGTAAAGTTATTCCAAAACCTATTTTTATTATAACTACATGATATAAGATATGAAAGGTAATTGCCTAATATGGGGTTTAATGCTTTTGATTGAAAGTAAATTCTGCAGTTATGCTGTGTATATTGGAGAGATAGTTTTTCCATACCAGAAAAAAATTTTGTCATCTTTCTGAATGGATGGGTATGAATGGCGCTTCCCTGTCTTTGAAGGAGTAAAGTATTCATATAAAGTAAATCTCACACTTTATGTTTGTGTGAAAAATAAATTCCAACATGATCTGATAAAGTTCAGATAAGGGGCATTCTGTTCCCAAGAATGTCCTAAAAATGGAAAGCTGACAGAAGATAATAATGCTTGAAGTTGTACAGGAAAAAAAGAAGGCCTAAAACAGTTATTCCTCTATCTTTTTTGATCCCATAGAGTATTAGTTACTACTCGTAACTAGAATATTTTTCTATTGTTAATCTCCTTGAGAGCCAAAAAAATAATGGGAAATATTTGAAAAACTTAATGTAGGAGCTGTTTACTCTTTGTTTAAGGTTTCCCATTTCCATTTTTAAGCTTATCTGAACTGTGAACATGATAAACTAATGATTCATTGGTCAAAAAGCTACCATCTGAGGGCTCTAAAGTTTCTTTTAGATTCCCTTTTTTATATCACTATTTTTAAATTTTGATTTATCGGGTAGCAGTAGCTTCTTCCCATTGTTACATCCTTATTAGCTTATTTATAAAATGTTAAGAGATAAAACCCATGCATGTATATGCATTGATTAAAATTCAGTATATGAGAGTCTCACTTTAAAAAATTTAGAGTATCTTGTTTTTTGGTTACTTAGTATTTGCTTAAGTCTTTCTAGAAATGTTTAGCATCAACCAAAATTAAAGCCATGTCTATTTTCTACATGACTTAATTTTACATTGGACTATGTTTTGACAAGGAATGCCAAATGAAAATTTTAACATTTATAAATTAGGATTTAGTTTTAACCTTGTTTTTATAATTAACTGCATATGGATGGCACTAAGATCACTGTAAACTTGTGATTGAAAGAAACTTTCCTACTTTTAGTTTGAAATTTACTTTTGGAAATGAGTTTTCAGTTAAAAACAATCTTGGAAGTAATTAAACATTTTTGCAGTCACAAAATCCTTTTTTTTTTTTTTTCTAAAGAAGCTTTTATGCACGTGCTTTTTTTAATATGGGCTAAAAGTACCAATTCTTCAGGGGGTTCAGGATAAGATAAAACTAACTTTCACTTTTCTAAATAAAATGTCTCCTTGCTTTTATACAAAGAATAAGTAAAATGGAGACGGTGGCCCATGAAAGAAGTAGCTTTGAAAATCTATATCTTGCAAGCCCAGATCTATTTGGAATTGGAAGTAGTTAAGAAAAAGCATAATGTACAATCTTCAAGTTATGTAGAAGATAACTACATCACAGACAATTGCTCTGAAAGTTGAGGTTCCAAGGGTTGATGGTCACTGAGCTGTCAGATAGCTTCCCAGGGGTGACTCCTACATTTTATCCTCCTCCCACACTTCTTCTTTGGCACCTTGAGCAGCAGTTGTGCAGTCTGAAAAAGAAACGGTAGTGTGAGAATGGATCATAAAATGCCAAGAACTGCCATTATAGTTTGCTTAATAAGGGCTTTTAATAAGTCCTTGCAAAATTGTATTTGTAGTTCATGTTATAAATCTGTTACCTTGTAATTCCAAGGAGTAAATTTGGTGCAATTAGTGTGGGTACTTGAGCAAAATGTTCCTCAAGAATTCTTGTGCTTTTTGTAACAACTATTGTCTTCATTACTTGAAACACTTAAGACCTCTCCTTCCTAAGGCATATACATCATTTTATTAAAATGTTTTTTATATGTTGCTTTCTTTGGGTGGAAAAATTATATGTATGATAAAAACCAGATTGTCTTTTGTATAAAGCGATTTATAATTTTTCCAATAACTGCTTATGTTTACTACTATATTAGTTATAGTGATTTTGCTTTTAGGGACCTAAATAGAAGAAAACTAATTGTTTTTGGAATAGTACTGTTCAAGAAACATGAAAGAAGTAATCAATGGCACTATCCCCATGAATCACTGAGGAAGTAATAGTTTGTTCATGCTGAGGTATTTTTGAAGGAATTCAAAGACCTGTGGGACCATGTTAACGGGGTTCATTTTATTATTATTTATTTTTTAGGCCAAAGACTAGGAAGAGGCTACAATAAAAGTTACAGGATTATAAAGTCTAGGACTAGAAAAGAATTTAGAGATCCTCTAGTCCAGTCTTTCTGTTCTATAGATAATGTTAAATAAGGAAGAAAAGACATATGCAGTCTAGGTTATAAGGATTTTTCTCATAATCTTGAAGAAATTGATAGCTAAAAAGAGCATGCTGAACACTGTATGCTACATAGGTTTATTGACCAGTCTGCTCTGAGTTTGTTTATTTATTTATAGACTTGTGAGATACTTGTTGAGAGACTTGTTGAGTTCCAGGGATTGAACCTCAGCAGTAAAAGCAGAGTCCTAACTTCAGGACCATCAGGGAATTCCCTTGAATTTATTTTAATTTTAGTCAGTTTTGGATGCATCAAGTGTTGCTGGAAAAATAATATGACACACAAGAAAGCATTTTTCTTGTCCTTTAGCTATCAGTAATAACTATTAAGTCTGGCTCTGATTTTCATTGTCTTTCATTCATCAGAAAGATGAAGAAGATACTGCATAACATAGATTAAAGAGATTAGTTAGGTACTTTATAACTTTGTATTAAATAGCTATTCTCCTGGGTTAGAGCACTAACCTATTAGGAAACCTTGTATCTAGTCTTACCATATGCCTTGAGTTAGTTTTGTTTTTCCTTTTCTGTTTGTAAACTATGTAGCTCACTTTCAAATATAAATAATGCATTTTGGTGTGAAAATGAAGACATTAAAGAAATAAAGTGTTCTTATAGGTTGATCCTAAATTTTTGAGTATATTAAGTGATTTATATGCAAATATTGTCTTGCCTAAAAGAAATAGTTGTAATTGCTTAATTTTCATCAGTCTGAAAGGTCGTTCAAACCAGCTGTGGTTCATCTTACCAAAGTCAGCTAGTTTCTTCACTGGCTGCTGGTAGAGCATATTGGAGTAATGATCACGCTTATCCCCCTTGGCTTAGTCTGTGAAGGCCTCATATCACACCAGGGAGTGGGAATACCTACAGAACCTTCGAGAACAGGCTTTGTCATTTGCCACAGTTAGTTGTCATGATAATTATAAAAATTTAAGAAAATAGGATAGTCAAAAAGTCAGACTTTGAATTTTAAACAAAAGTTCATCTTGTTTGTTACATCTTGTTATAAATAGGACTGTGGGAGGAAAACATAAGTTTTGGGATATCTCTGTGTCATTTAGAATAGCTACTCACCTGGATGAGAGAAGTGCTGATTGTTGTAGAGTAGCAGAGCAAGAGGAGCTGAGGGGTGGTTTGGTTTCAGGGCTTTACAAAGCTGTATTGATATTTGGAGGTAGAAATGCTTTTTCTTTCCACATATTCATGAGTTTGAGAAGAAATGCTACTAAGTATTAATAACCTGAGAAGTTCTGGCTTTTTTTCCTTATTTTTTTAGGAACAGTACCTTCATATGTTAAAGATTTTTCATGAACAGATTTCATGACACTTAACCATAATCCATATTCTCTGGATATCAAGTGTCATCCCTGACATCCAGTCTGAATATTACTTAGTGTTTGTGTGACATTTGTGTTAGCAGCATGAACGCAGTTCTGTATCTTGTGGTGTTTGGTGTGTATTATGTTAATTTTAGTGCTGAATTTTTTAAAGCTGTTCTATTTTAGTGACTTCTGGAATGATAGGTAGAGCACTGTACCATGGCTTGGTTAGTTTCCATTGCCCTTACATGAGCTTTGTCACTTTGTACAGTGTGTTGCCTCTTACAGGCATGACAGTTTCAGGAGTTGAAGGGGAAAATTGCGTGTTAAAGGTTATGACAAATAGTCTTTATTTCCTTCTCTCATACTACTTTACAAATAGAGTCACTTTTTTTCCATAACATTCACTGGAAACACCACATTATTTGAAACATATTCTTTTTTGACAGTCATTCATGTATCAATGCCTTTTAACATTTTTAACATTTTTAAATATTTTAAGATTTAGTATGTCTGAAACCCTTGTAAAGAATTTTGTCCACTGTATATAATATGGGTTTTGGTCTGAATAGTAATAGATATGTTTAAATTTTAATTGAGTTAAAATTGATCAGACAGTGTATATTCATTGAACAAAAAATTTTTATAATGGGGAAAATCAGACATTTGAGAGGAAAATAAAGTACTGTAGCCAACCAAGATTTGACAGCATACATTTTCTTATATTTTCATTTCTCTTGCCTTTTTGTCCTTTGAGAAGATTCTTAAAATTCTAGGTATGCTGCCTTATCATTATTATTATTATTTTCAGTGACTTAACTAAAAGAGTGTGTGTAATGGCAGTGAACAGAAACTACAATCTAAACATGTGCTCATTAACTCATAACGTATAGTAGTCTGATGTGGTGTGTAACCAAAAAAGGTTTCAAATGTAGAAACATGAAAGATTCCTTAATTATTTGAAGTGAATTAGGTAAAAATATTCTATGGAATTTTGTTTTGAAATCTCTTAACTCAGTTCTTTCCATTGAGATTTTTGTTTTGTACCTCTAATGACTGCTCCTGGGCATTCAGATTTTTATATTTATGTATGTACTCCAGATACATTATTATCTTTTTGAAAAAGATGTTAGTTGACTTAGCCAGTTTCTAGGATTTGTAAAATGAAATATAATGTTTTGTTTCTAACTATTATTCACACTCTGATGTTACAAATATTAGGGACCTGAGCAGATTCCCACTTCAACCACAATGCTTCTCTTAAGCATAATCCTTCTCTACATACATATCCTATGTGAAAGAAAATTTAGAGCCCTCCTTTTTAAAAAGCTTTCTTGCTTTGCATAAAACTTGAAAGTATTTAATTTCAAAGTTATATTGATATTAAAACATAGATTCAGTCTTGTCTTAAAAGTGTATTACAATTTATTTCTTGCCATTTTTGTGTAAAATTTACAGAAAGAGTGTTACACCGTGCGCTCCAAAGGTAATGTCTCATTACTCTAAGGCTCTCTCTTTTTCTTTCTTTACCTTTATTTATCTCTTTAATCCTATTGTTATATGCATTGAACCATTTTAAGAAAAAAACTTTCTGCTTGATCTGTGGCAGCAGTACATGTAAAATAAGTGTATTTTATTGTTCATAGTAAATCCTGGGAAGTATAATTTTAATTTCAGTGGACTGTTACCACCAAGTTCCCACACATCTTGGGGAGTGAGGTATATCGTATATAATGGTTTATATCTCATTTCAGTACAGAACTGTTACTTTCTGTATAAGGCCAAAATCTGCTTTGATAATGGTTAAAAAAAAAAAAAGTAGATTATTTTTTTGGAGTATCAGTCATACTTTTCTTTTTCTAGGATTTATGAGGTTTAGATGAACCCTTGTGCATGTATTTTTAAAGCAGATTCAAAGGTGAGGGAAACTGGAAAATCAGTATTTGAGTGATAGTAGAAAATGGAAATGTGAAAATATTGTAAGCTTTTCTAACTTGAAATGTTCTTGTGGTTATTTCTCCTTTAGGTGTGTTTTCATAAGCATGTATAAACTTACATATTTATGATAGCCCGTGGCTTTAAGGTCTTAACTTACTGGGCATATGTTATCACTACATTGGTCCTTACAGCTCTAAAGTTTTGAAACATCAATGAAGAGTTGGTGGGGTGAGGTCTCTTTGTCTATTTTAGTAGAATTGAAGGGCTTGGACCAAGCATATCATTGCATATCATTTTTTCCCTTGCCCATCAGCCCAATTCCAGTAAGCCTGCTTTACCTTGGAATTTCTGCTCTTAGAATGTGGGCTGAGAGCTCCAGAGGGCTTCTTTTTGTTAAGCTACTTCCAGTATTCTTATTATATAGCCTAACCCAATTAAATCATAAGTTTATATTTCTGCATCCTGAATTGCAGATGCAAGTAATAGACTTAGTTATTCACACCTGTTTAGGCATATTGGGCCAGTTGAAATTTATCCTTGAAAACATTGCTCTTGTCTTCATTTGTTCTCTTTGCTAGTGCATTAAAGGATTGAGTTTGTGTTCAGTTCTCACTTGAATTAAAAACAAAACTTGAATCTGTCATAAAGGTTCTATTCTCAAATTGAGTTTCAAGTAGTATGTTGCTGCATCACTGCAGTAAGTTCAAATTTTTAATCACACCATTTGTTCCAAAGATTTGCCCTAAGATGGTTTTTACAGCACTTCTATTAACCAGGGTACAAACTGAATTGGATTCTGTATGTTTTAAGAAAATACGTAGACTTTTCCTCAATACCAGATTATCTGAGAGTTGTGAGAGAAAGACTCAAGGAAGGGAAATATATCTAATACCTCATTGTTTTCACTGCTACATGTTTGAGACTGATCCTTTACATTATAGAACATTTTTTACCTTTAAAATTTTTACCTCTTTCCATCTTTCATACAGTGGAATCACTGTCTAGCATATGTCCTAATTTTTACTGTCTTCACTGTGCTTAGTAAAGTTGCATAATTATGGGAAACACATTTCTGTATTAAAGTTACTGTCAGGATAGTTTTTGGATGCTCCTTTCATGATTTAAGCATCAGTGCCTCACCGTTTGCTACATTTTCTTTTTCTTCTTTCTTCTGTTTTTATTCATTTTTATGGCTACATTGGCTTAAACTACCACTTGTCAATCTTCTAGGGAAAATTTGAGACTAGTGGTTTTAAAACTCAAGATTCCCTTTAAAATTCTGCCACTTCTTGAGTTGATATTTTAATTTTAAAGCTGAACTGTAGTAATGCTACAGAACTACAAATTCTTAATGTAAATATATGTGTTATATTTCCTGATGGAATAATATTTTTTAGTATTGAAGGCTAAAATTATATTTTATTGAATTATATTTCTTAGAATTTCCTTAAAATGATTATAATAATTGACATAAGAGCTTCTAGTACAATTGACTGCTTTAACATGGTCTGATAATCCAGTGACCATTCTCTCAAATACTGTTTCTCTTTCTCATAAACTAAGATGTTTGTGATAGAGTCTAGTTATCTACTTTTGAATTTTTTTCCACTGTAATTCACATAGTCTGAAGATCTGTGAAAATGCTATGGGAAAACCAGCTTGGGTTCAAAATATCTTAACCATAATATACCCCATAGGCTTCCCAAGAGTGGCTATCTGCCAATTTGTGACTTTAAAGCAACCAGTTGGATGTTTTTTGGGCCATGGAAATGTAAAGTATTTGTAATGTTATCCACGATTACTTACTTTGTGGTCAGAAGTGTTGGCAGATAGAAAATTTGCTCCCTATTGTGTTTTCTGAGTTGTTTTGAGTGGCAGCTTAAGTGAAGCAGGAGGGGCAGGAAATTCTAAAAACGACTCCTGAGGCCTACCTCCAACTACCTGCCTAAAAGATGCAGACTAACTCAGTATGAAAAATAACTAGTAGAAAAACTCAATTAAGTGTGTGGGGCACTTGTTAAGTGTTGATCACACTTTTCTTTCCACAAGCAAATGGCTAGATGTTTTTTATTCTTGTTTAATTATCTTGATAAGTTTTGAGTTTGTATTTGTTTTTGTTACTGTCATTGTTTCAAATTTGAGAGTAATTTTAATTTTAATTATATTTATGCTGTATATTTCAAACCTATTTCACATATATGTGTGTATATATAGTCTTCATATTGGAGAGATAAAAGTTTGTAATACATTGTTATCTTGAGGGTATTTTTAATCAGTAAAATGACTACTATTGCTGTTTTTAAGCTTATTAAGTTTAGGTGTGTGTCATGTTTAACTCTTTCCCCTTTTTATCTTTACCTCTTTGTTCTCTACATGCTGTGCTTTTAAACCCTTCTGCTCTGTACATCTGAACACCTGGTTTCTGCCATCTTTGTGTTGGTGTTTGTTGCACAGTACCACAAAACCTGCTCCACACCTGGATGGGTAAGAGTTACATTCTTACTATTTTGGGGAGGTGTGCTGGTGGCCAGTCCAACCAATTAGACCATGGTGAACCCTCAACGGGGCACTCTTGATCTCTGGGTTATTCTCTCATAGCCAAGCTCTCCCTAAGTATCACAGGATGCAGTAGTCTTGAGATCACGTGTCACTGAAGGGCTCACGGATGATGTCCCAGTATCAAGTGCAATCTGATTGTTATACTCTTTACTGTAAAATAGTTAAGAATCATTGTTTTAAAAGCAGAAAACTAAGACCCAGTTTGAGCAGTATTTTTTTTTTTCCTTTCATGAAGCAGAACTTCTAATTTCCTTCTAGTTGCTTCATACATCAGACACTTTCATTTTTAGGTCTGTGAACATATCATTTACAACAGTTGTCTTGATTACTGCTCTTGGCTTAACTACCATCAAACCAGTTTTTCTTGAATTTGTATTTTGACAGGGTGCATGTTGTCTTTGGACTAGTTATTTCTGGTTTTGAAGTAATCGAACAAATTGAAAATCTGAAAACTGATGCTGCAAGTAGACCTTATGCAGATGTACGAGTTATTGACTGCGGGGTTCTTGCCACAAAGTCAACAAAAGACGGTAAGAGTGTTTTTTGAGAGCAGAGGGAGCTAGGATACAGGTAACACTTGTTAAAAACTAAAACTTAAAGATATCTCTTAGATTTCAATAGTGAAAGAAACTCCCATGAGGAGTATATCAATAGCCCTGATGCCTCCATATCATACCCTGTATCCAATCCATCAGGAGTCTTTCCAGCTCTGACCTTTTCTTTTTACTTCACCTGTTGTCAGTTCGGTCCAAACCCAAATATCTTTTACCTGGGTTATTCCAATAGCCTCACTATTGTTCACTTTGCCTCCGTCATTGCTTCTGTATAATCTTTTCTCAGTAATGATAGCTTCCTCACTGGTCTTCTTGCTTACACTTGACCGTCTACAGTCCTCAGCAGCAACCAGAGCTAACTTCTCCAAGGGTTCCCTCTCTGTCAACCAAACTTAAGTCTTCACAGTGGTCTGTAAGGGATTCTGACTTTCTGCTGTTTCTCTAATCTCTCCATATTCATTGTCTTCCCAGCAGTGTTAATCTTTACTCAGACATGAGTAAAGACATGCCAGACACTTGGGGACTTTGTGCTAGCTGTTCCTTCTATCTGGAATACTCTTTGTTCAGATATCTGCATGACCCCTGTCCCTCGCTTCTTTCAGGTCTCTGCTCAAATGTTATCTTAAGTTACCTCTACTTGCCTTATTCCCTCTACTCTGTGTTTTCCTCCCTCCTCTTTAAGCATTTATCATGTTATGTTATGTAGTTACTTATTTTCTTATCTGACTGAACTAATATATAGACTTCATGAGGGCTTTGTTACCTTACAGTCTCACCAGCAAATTGTATTATCAACTTGAAAAAAAAGTTTATTTAAGTGTTTAGTGTGCTTTATATAAAACATGTTTTATCATACTTGGTAATCATTTTTTTTTACTCTGAAAGGTGGGCAGTGAAATCCAGTACTAATACTTTTATTACTATTTATTAAAAGTTTTTGAGAAAAAAAGGAAGAAGCCAACTCATTCAGAAGTCTCGGATTCCTCTTCCAATTCCTCATCCTCTTCAGAATCATCTTCAGAAAGTGAAATTGAACATGAGAAAAGCAGAAGAAGGAAACATAAGAGGAGACCGAAAGTTAAACACTCTAAAAAGAGGCGAAAGGAAGCAAGCAGTTCAGAAGAGCCAAGGAGTAAACATATAATAAGCCCAAAAGGGTAAGTGTGAGATACCAGGGTAGTCTTACCTAAAAAACAAACACCCTGGAATGGGAACAGTATGTGTGATTCTGTAAACTTATCTTTGTTACCTGTTGTTGAAAAGGATAGTATTTTAGGAAGTTTATATTGAAACTTCAAATCTAAGGGTAGCACAGATGCTTTATATCAAAGATTTATGCATTTGTAGGTAAAAACAATCCCTAAAACTCTCAAAGAAAGGATCATTTGGCAATTCTTATATCAGAATTTTAGTGCAGTTACTGTTTCACTCGCTCATGTTTTATATGTTATGTTTATGAAAATTTTCTTAACCTTTTTAGTGGGATTTGCAAGGTATCAGTAGTTTTGCTGTTAATTACGTTATTATATTGTTATTTAATATTAAAAATTTAGATATACACATTTTAATTGGTGATTTGATTTGTTCTTTCTAAGTCACTCTGAGAGGAGTGATACCAATGAAAAAAGATCTATTGATTCAAATGCTAAAAGGGAAAAGCCTGTGGTCCGCCCAGAAGAGATTCCTCCAGTGCCCGAGAACCGATTTTTACTGAGAAGAGATATGCCTCTTGTCACAGTGGAGCCTGAACCGTAAGGATGATTAACCTACATGTTTTCCTTTCTCTGACTGATGATTCCTGTGAGCTCATTGCAGGTCCACACTCATTTATTGAGCGTGACCCGTAGTCAAAGCACTTTGAAATATACTGTGGGAGATACTGGATTCATGAGTGCCATGGACCCTACCTTCCAAAATTCATATTCTGCTAATAGAGAAAGGGAATTTGCCAAGTTGACCTGGGAGAGTTCTTAGTGGAGATCTGGGAAGATTTCATTACTAACTTCATTTACTTAACCTTTCATTAGAGGTGAGATTTTGGTTACCAGAACAGAGGGTTAGTTGAACTCTTTAGGTCCAGTCAGGTTTTAAAACATACTCCAATTAGTAGTGCAAAATTATTGCATGGTGACTGGGGGTATAATTTAGTATCATATTGTACTGTTGTTAACTTACTCAGTGGTAATTCCTCTATATCAGAAAAGCTAAAAGGTAGCTTTAGATTTGGTCTCAAAAAGTAGTAATTAATGTATTTTGTGTGTTACACTCAAGTTTAGAATTGTTAAGAGAAATGTTTTATGACTAGAAATACCATAAAATGGTTGGTGTAATTGGCAATTGAAGAGTTATTTTGAAGTCTGAGAAGTTATAGAGATGTCCCTGTTCACAGTTAAGTCTCTATATAAGATTATTGTTTAGACCGTTAGATATTTTAAAATTCTAAGAATTCTGTCTTGTGAACAAATCTTAGTGGGATTCTTTTTTCTTAAAATACAAAACACCGTTCATTGATCAAATCCATCTAGTTGCCAGAAAGTAGGAAACTTGAAAGGTCAATTTCAGTGTCATCTAGTAGGGGTTGGTAAACTACAGTCCTCCATGGGCTAAATTCAGGCTGTTGTCTGGTTTTGTGCAGCCCATGAGCTAAATGTGATTTTTATGTTTTTAAATGTTTGTGGAAAAAATTGAATAATAATATTTTGTGATATGTGAAAATTTTATGAAATTCAAATTTCGGTGTCCATAAAGTTTTACTGGAACACAGCCACATCCATTTTTTCACTATTTTCTTGGGCTGTTTTAATGCTGTAGCAGCAGGATTGAGGAGCTGCAGAGAGTTTTTATGTGGTGCTGTCATTGTTATATATGCTGTTCAGTGCACTACACATCATGGTGTATTATATTTCAAATTTCATTGATAAAACATTTGTGAAAACTTATTTTCTTTTTGTTACATAATCATCTTTAATTTTCTTCTTGGCCTAGAAATCCTAAAATACTTTCTCTTGGACTTTTAAGAAAAAGTTTGCTGACCCCTATTATCTGTGTTTTGTTTTTTTTTTTTTCATTTATTTTTATTAGTTGGAGGCTAATTACTTTACAGTATTGTAGTGGTTTTTGTCATACATTGACATGAATCAGCCATGGATTTACATGTATTCCCCATCCCGATCCCCCCTCCCACCTCCCTCTCCACCCGATTCCTCTGGGTCTTCCCAGTGCACAGGCCCAAGCACTTGTCTCATGCATCCAGCCTGGGCTGGTGATCTGTTTCTGGTATTTTTTTAATGTATTTTATGCCACTGTCTTGTATTTATGGTTGAATATCATTGGTAAGTTTATTTGGTCATCACTCCTCTTTGGTTACATAATATCTTTGGAAGTTATATCCTGCAGAATTATTTTAAATCATAATTGATAGGTAGTTGTGTCATAACAAAGATAGCAAGTTGATCTATTTCATTAGAATGCTTGAGATTTGATCAGTCACTTGGGAGCTAAAATTAATGTGCTAAGAATGCAAGATATGCAATGTGGAAGGATAGGAAACAAGGAATGTCAGCCTTAGAGAGCCTGCCATCTTACTGAATTTGCCAGCAGTTAAGCTCATTATCACTTAACACTTTGTTTAGCAGAAGCTGGGTTCTGCACTTGCTCTAATTCATTTGTTCTCATCTTCAGCTGCACTTAAGTGCAGTTTGGCAAGCTTTTAAAAATACCAGTTTATGGGCCATACAGCAGAGTAAATTGGAATGTTGTGAGGGAGGAGGTGGAGAGTGGTAACATAGGATCAGCATCTAAAAGATACCCAGATGAACATTAATTCATGCTGAACAGTTAGAGGCAGGTCATTTGGTTCAGTAATTTGTTCTTCATGAGGAAAATGAGGTAAACAGTTGTTTACCAAAAGTACCTACTTCTTTCATTGTGAGAATCAAATGATATCATGAATATGAAATGACCAAAAAAACTATAATATACTTTTTAGTTGAAGTTTTCTTATAGTGGTATTGTATGTTTATCTGGAGCCAGATTCCTGGCTGGGAAAACCCTGTTATATCATGGTTGCAAAAGTCATGTTTCATTTCTCTGTGTGACGTTGGACAACATTCTTAACTGTAATCTTAAAATTCTTTATTTTTAAAAAGGAGTTGATAATAATACCTACTTCATAGTATTGTTATGAGAATTAAATGAACTAATAATACCTTTAATGGTATCTATTAACATTTAAAGGATTTGTTTGATGAGAACATACTTATAGCACAGGAAACTCCACTCAGTGTTCTCTGTAGTGGCCTATCTGGGAAAAGAATTTCAAAAAAGAGTGGATATATGTATATATAAATAACTGATTCACTTTGCTGTACACCTGAAAATAGCAAACATTGTTAATCATCTGTACTCCGATAAAGATTTAAAAAATAACAGGATTTGCTTAGAAAATTAGGTCATGTGGAGTGCCTCATTCTATAAAAGCATTAGATCTAAATGAACTGTTTTTATATTAAAGGAGCATGAATTCTGCTTTTACACACTGAGAAAACTGCCTAGCATTTACTTATTTTTAATTTGTAATCTTCTTTTCCAGGAAAATTCCTGATGTTACACCCATTGTAAGTGACCAAAAACCATCTGTGTCAAAGTCTGGACGGAAGATTAAAGGAAGGGGCACAATTGTACGTGTGTTAAAACTTAATTTTTTTCAAATTAGTTATCCGAGCAGTAAAATGTTTTTACCTCTAGGCAAATCCTAGCTTTAATCTTAGGTGTAGTCCGAAGTCTGTCCAAGGAGCTAGTTGTATTCTCTTAATTAATATGTAGTTATTCGAAGGCACCGCTGTTAGATCAGTGTTTACTGCTATGTTTGAATGGGTTTAAATACTGAAATGAATGTGAAATAGTATATTCAGAAATCTTAGTATGTTGAATAAGCTAATGAGTATAACCATTAGGACTTCTAAGGAAAAGTTTATGTGTGATTACAGGTGAATATCTGCCTTTCCTATTTCTTTTAGTTTGATTTAACTTTATACCATCCTTATGGTACTTCAGTCATTATTGCATTTGAATGGTGTCCAAGATTGAGTCTTATACTTACCTGTCCTATAACAGATTACAGTTGGGAAGTATTTTTTAAATTGTTATTCCTAACTTTGTTTTTAAAGCGCTATCACACACCTCCAAGATCAAGATCCTGTTCTGAATCAGATGATGATGATAGCAGTGAAACTCCTCCTCACTGGAAAGAAGAAATGCAGAGATTAAGAGCATATAGACCACCTAGTGGAGAAAAATGGAGTAAAGGAGATAAGTAAGTATAAGTACAGTCCTATCTCTGCTATATTTTAAGTCTTAAGGGGGTAGAGACATACTTCTGGATTTTTCACTAAAGATTTATATTTAAAATTAGATTGCAACCAGAGAATACATTTGGGAATGCTTGATGAAATGGAGGGAGGGATGACTGGCTTTGTAAATCAAAATTCTATTTTCTCTCACAAGACTGTTACCCTACTGAATTTCTTAAGGATTTCTTGTTTAATTTTAGCAATAATCAGGACTTTATTTAAAAAAATTACATAGCAGATTCTTTCATAGCCTTTCTCTTTTGTGGTCACTAATGGGTAGATAAGAAAATTTGTAGCCAGTGTGTGTATTAACTTCTGACCCTAGGGACTGTTGCTTTTTCAGCAGTGTACCATCTCTTGTCTGCAGTGACACTCCACAGTGGAATATCTGTTTTAGAAGTGGGGCTGGCCCCAGAATAGCTAGTGCAGAATATACCACTGGGGCCCTGTGTAGTTGTTCCTGGTAGAATTCTCTTTCTCTATGGCCATCCAGCAGAATGGTTCAGAATTAAAAGAGGGAGGACAAGGTGTATGATCTGCTGTGTGCAAGCGGTATAGATATGGTAGCACTGAGAACAGTTTTGAGCTCTGATGTTAGCACTGATATTGTAAAGCCTGCATCTTAGTTTTCGTTTACTTTTCCCCCAATTTCTGTACTAAGTAGTTTAACTAAAACCTTAACAGAAAGTCACTGATTACCTCTATGATCCTGAGATAAAACAATAGTCATGCTAGTTTCTTAAGAAGAGGCAGGCCTCCCTGGTAGCTCAGTGGTAGAGAATCTGCCTGCCAGTGTAGGAGATACGGGTTCAGTCCCTGATCTGGGAAAATCTTACACGCCTTGGAGCAACTAAGAGTGTGTGCTACAACTGTTGAGTCTGTGCCTGGGAGCCCCAACTGCTTAAACCCATGTGCCCTAGAGCCTATGCAAGAGAAGCCACCACAAGGAGAAGCCCACGCATCGCAACTAGAGAGTAGCCTCCACTCACCACAACTAGAGAAAGCATACACAACAATGAAGACCCATCACAGCCAAAAATAAATAAGGTTATTTTTTAAAAAAAGAAAGAAAAAGAGGCTTGTCAGGAATTCCCTGGTGATCAAGTGATTAGGACTTGGAGCTTTCACTGCCAGGTCCCAGGTTCCATCCCTGGTCGGGGAACTAAGATCTCACAAGCCATGCAGCCAAAAAAAAAAAAAAGGAGGCTTCTCTTACAGTTTCAGCAGTTACCCTGTATCTACAGAGAATCAGCAAATTTTTTGGGAATTTGATTTGACTTCCTCAGAAATTATTCTCGGATGCAGAGCATTATTGAGCAGATCAAAGCCAGGAATTTTGTAGGTCAGCAGTGCTTTTGTAATTAGTTGGTTTGCTTTTTAAAACTATTTTCCTATCAAATTTGAAAATTCCTGATTTGACTCTGGAAAAATCCTTTTGTAAGTGAATCTGTTAAATAGTTGTTTCTTTGAAGTTTTATAATTTCAGGACCAAGCCTATCAACTATTTGCTTTATCCTTCCTACATGTGCTTAAAGCATTGATAGAGTTAGTACTTGGTTGTTAACTAGGCTGTTATTGATGCGTAGTATTGACAACAAATGTATTTTAATTTTAAAGCATAGAAAACATGCTTGTAAATAACCGCCTGCATATTATGTCCTTTTTATAGGTTAAGTGACCCCTGTTCAAGCCGATGGGATGAAAGGAGCTTATCCCAGAGATCCCGATCGTGGTCCTATAATGGATATTATTCAGATCTGAGCACAGCAAGACACTCTGATGGTCACCATAAAAAACACAGAAAAGAGAAAAAGGTTAAGCATAAGAAGAAAGCTAAAAAGCAGAAACATTGCAGAAGGCACAAACAGACTAAGAAGAGAAGGATTATTGTACCGTCTGACATAGAATCCTTAAAATCTTCAACCCGACGAGTGAAATCCTCATGTGATAGAGAAAGGAGATCTCATACTTCCTCGTCATCATCTCATCACTCTTCCAAGAGGGATTGGTCTAAATCTGATAAGGATGACCAGAGCTCTTCAACCCATTCCAGCAGAGACTCATACAGATCAAAATCTCACTCGCAGTCTTATTCTAGAGGAAGCTCAAGATCAAGGACTGCCTCAAAATCTTCATCACATTCTCGAAGTAGATCAAAGTCCAGATCTAGTTCTAAGTTGGGGCACCAAAGAACAGCATCAAAATCACCAAGAAGAACAGCCTCTCAGTTAAGTGAAAATAAACCTGTTAAAACAGAACCTTTAAGAGCAACAGTGACACAAAATGAAAGTGTTGTAGTACAACCCGTGGTGGCAGAAAATATTCCTGTTATACCACTGAGCGACAGCCCCCCTCCTTCAAGGTGGAAGCCTGGGCAGAAGCCCTGGAAGCCCTCTTATGAGCGAATCCAGGAAATGAAAGCTAAAACAACCCATTTGCTGCCCATCCAAAGCACTTATAGTTTAGCAAATATTAAAGAGACTGGTAGTTCATCGTCCTACCATAAAAGAGAAAAAAATTCAGAAAGTGATCGTAGTGCTTATTCAAAATACAGTGATAGAAGTTCAGAAAGTTCACCAAGATCAAGGAGCAGATCTTCTAGATCTTATTCCAGATCATACACAAGGTCTCGAAGTTCAGCTAGTTCACATTCACGGTCTAGGTCTCCCTCATCTAGATCTCATTCACGAAATAAATACAGTGACCATTCACGGTGTAGTAGATCATCTTCGTACTCTTCTGTTAGCAGTGATGATGGAAGACGAGCCAAGAGAAAATTTAGATCCAGTGGGAAAAAAAGTTACACCTCAAATAGAAGGCACAGCAGCAGCTCTGAAAAAGCACTTCGTAACAGATATGTCAAAGGCAGAGACAAGTCTTCATGTCATAGAAAGTACAGTGAAAGCAGATCATCTTTAGATTACTCTTCAGACAGTGAACAGTCAAGTGTTCAGGTTACGCAGTCAGCCCAGGAGAAGCAAGTCCAAATGGAAGTGAATAATAAACAGGAGAAAAACAGAGATGAAGAGAAATCTAAGCCTGAACGGGAATGGCCTCGTTCAAAAAAAAGAACTTTGAAAGAAAATCTTTCTGATCACTTTAGAAATAGCAGTAAGCCCAAAAGGAAGAATTACGCTGGGAGTAAATGGGACTCTGAGTCAAATTCTGAACGAGATGTAACTAAAAACAATAAAAGTAGTCCCCGGCCATCTTCTGATAAGGAGGAAGGTGAGGCCACTTCGGATTCTGAGTCAGAGTCTGGTGAAATTCACATCAAAGCTAAACCCACAACTAAGTCTTCAGCAAATACTTTACTGCCTGATGGTAACAGTGCCTGGAAATCAAGCAAACAGCGCTCCTCAACCTCTGATTCTGAGGGATTCTATTCCAATTCAGAAAACACTAGAGGAAAGCCACGTAAGCATCAACACAGCTCAAAGGAGAATATTAAAAGGGAACACACCAAAAAAGCAAAAGAGAAATTAAAAGGAAAAAAAGATAAAAAGCACAAGACTCCAAAACGAAAACAAGCATTTCACTGGCAGCCTCCGCTAGAATTTGGTGAAGAGGAGGAGGAGGAGATTAATGAAAAGCAAGTTACTCAGGAGGCAAAAGAGAAAAAACAAGTTTCTAAAAATAGTGAAACCATAAAAGAAAATATTCCCCAAACCAAGAAGCCTTGTGAAGACGACAGCCTTTCAGGTAAACATAGCACAATAGTTTCATCAGATATTGATCAGCCTACTAAAGATGATGTTAAACTCAGCATTTCTCCTGTTACTGTAAACACTGATGAAAATGTAGTCAGTTCTCCTCCAAACATTCAGCAGATTGAAGAGAGCATCCCAAGTGGAGCAGAGGATATGCTTCAAGCAGATGACAACATGGAGATTTGCACTCCTGATCGGAGCTCCCCAGCAAAGGCCGAGGGGGCTTCCCCTCTAGGAAATTCAAGGCTTGATGCCCCGGATATAAGCATTGTTCTAAAGCAGGATATGCCAGCAGAGTGTCCTGAGGCAAAGTCGAGAAAACAGGAAAGCAGCATGTCAGAAATCAAAGTGGTGGGTGAGATGGGAAAACAGGATAGCGGCTCTTCCAGCTTGGCCAGTGCTGCAGAAAGTGCCATAAAGAAAGAGGCAGCTGAGAAAAGTCAGACCAGCCTCATGGATAATAAATGGAAGCCCTTACAAGGTGTGGGGAACCTTGCAGCACCATCTGCTACCACATCCAGTGCCACGGACATTAAGGCATTGACTGCTGTGCCTGAAGTGAAACCACAGGGTTTGAGAATAGAAATTAAAAGCAAAAATAAAGTTCGGCCTGGGTCTCTCTTTGATGAAGTTAGAAAGACGGCACGCTTAAACCGGAGGCCAAGAAATCAAGAGAGTTCAAGTGATGAGCAGACACCTAGTCGAGATGGTGATAGCCAGTCCAGGAGTCCAAGTAGATCTAGAAGTAAGTCTGAGACCAAATCAAGACACAGAACACGGTCTGTCTCCTATAGTCACTCAAGAAGTCGATCGAGAAGTTCCACATCATCTTATCGGTGAGTGTTACTCTCTCCTTTTTGTCTCCCAAGTGGAGTCCGTTACCGTTTTGTTTGGGAGAACATCAGAGTTAGGGACAAGATCACTATTTCCAAATATCTTGGAGGAAGTAAGGAGAAGGCTTGTGCTATGTGACTCACAGAGCAGACTGAAGACACAGGGAGTAGAGATTTCAGGGGAAGAAGTTTGGTCTCAGGGTAAAAAACTATTGCTATCAGTTAAAGCTCCCTGATATTTGCAATGCATTGCCGTGATAGGAGACAGGGTCTCCATCTTTAAAGGTGCGAGCCCACTCTCTGCTATCAGTCATGCCTTAGAAGGGAATCTTGTATTTACGGAATATGTAGGATTTAGAAATCAGTAATTTAATGCTCCATTTTGTACAAGTGGAAGGTGAGGGCCAGAGAGGCAAAGTTAGCTGCCCCAAGACATGCATCTAGTTGATCTTTATTCAAGGGGCAGGAAATGGTAAAAAATAATCATCTTTTGATTGATTGATTGATTTTTGGTTCAGGTTACATCTAACTTTTGTCATTGACATAGACTGGATAATGCAGAGAATCAGCATTTTTACAACTGAAAAAAATGGTGATGGTGGTATAAAGTTAACAACCAATTTGTATTCTTTTCTTATAAACTTTTCATGGTTTTACCTCACTGCCTCTTACTCATATCCTTTATTATTTTGTGCTTGATTTTTCATCACTTTAACCTAAAATAGACTCAGAATCTTTAAGTTTTTTCTTCCTAGTTTTTATCAGTCATTTTTTTCCCTTACGCAGATTTCTTTAAAAACAGGAACCAACATTTACCATCTAAAATAACCATCTCCTGTTTACTTTTCAATTGCTTGCAGTTTGTAGTCTGTGCCTTCCCTCCCCTCATCTCATTCAGCTGACTTAAGATTTTCAGGTACTTCTGCATGGCCACTGCCAGGGCATGTTTTCAGTCCTTCTGGAAGCCCTCTGCTGGCTCTCCTCATCCCTCAGACCATTCCATGCCTGAGTGTGGGCTTCTTTTCTTCCTACTGCTCTGATTCACAGGAAGCCCCAGAGAGCTGGTGAATTCTGGCCTTTTCTCTCTGGGTTCATAGTCTAGATGCAGGTGCCTGTTGAGCTTCGCCAGTCTGCTGTCTGCTCATTGTCTACCTACCATTCACCCTTAGATAACTCTGAGCTGTTGGTGGTTCTGGTCACTGTCATCTTCCTTCCTACCCCTGCCTTTGGAGTAGGTAGTATTTCATTTCAGAAATGCCGAGAATTTTGCTCTTAAGTTGAGCAGCTCACAGATGGTAGACTTAAGATAGCTAAACTGTGCCTCCCTATTTCGGTTACCCACCCAGGGCTAACTCCCCTTCTGGCCTGTGAACTCACTGGAATCAAGGACTGTTTGTTCCTCATCTTTCAGTCACCTCACAGAGTTACCCTATAATTGTTTGAGTAAATGACTAGAATCTTATGAGAACAGAATGTCTTTGCAAATAAACTGCACCTGTCTTCCAGAACATAAGTATATACTAACTACAGCCTGTGACGATATTACGTTAGTAGCATATACACAGGGGTATTGTTCTGATTCTGAATGACAGGTCCAAACTAGGGGGAAAAGGATTGGGAGCCAAGTGAATGCAGGGTGGGGGCAAAATTGCATTAATTTTCTTGTTTGTTTTATTAAATATTAAATATGTATAAATTTTTTAATCATTAAGGTATAAAACATACAAATGATTAAGGTATAGAAAACAATTTTCTATCTTAAAAAATAGAGCTTTGATATAATAGAGCCCAACCAAAAGCTACCCTACTTTCTCTCTTCTCTCCAAGAGTTAAATATTATTCTAAACTTCTGTTATAATTTTCTTGTTTTTCTTTGTTGTCTTTCTATAAATGTTTCTATCTATATATAATGTTTTTTGTTGTTTTCAAATAGAATCCTTTTTTTATATGTATAAATGTTCTACATTTGCCTTTTTCACTCAGCATTATGTTCCCAAGGTTTAACTGTGTTGATACATGTAAATGTAGTTAATTTTCCTACTTTAGGATATTTTAGTATATATCTGTGTTAATTTTTTTAAAACCCATTCTGCTCTTATTGAAGATTTGGATTGTTTCCTCTTGCTGGTATTACAGAAATGGCTCCTATGAACATACCTGTTAACAGCCTTTTCTGTTTTTTCTTTATTTCATTCTGTTCAGTTTAAACTCTCATTAGCCATCTCTTGTCATACCTGCTGTGAGGGGTTTATGAGAGACCTTTCCAAAGACCTTTCCTCTATTGGGTTTTCCCGCTCCTGCACTACTAGTAATTAATCTTTTAACAGCATAATGAGTTAATATAATTATATTTTTTCCACTCTTAATTGTAGATCAAGAAGCTACTCTAGAAGTCGGAGCAGAGGGTGGTACAGCAGAGGCCGCACAAGGAGCCGGAGCAGCTCCTACCGCAGTTACAAGAGTCACAGGTGAGCTGGTGAAGCCCACCCTACAGCGTGATTTCCCGTCTGTCTCCCTGGGAAGACAGAGGGGCTGCCTGTCTCACAGGCAGAGTGGAGTAGCCATTGAAAAGGGTCTTGTCATTGCTCAGTGCCAAACCAGTGTCCCCCCCGTGTCTTCCCCTTCCCCACCCAGTTCTTCCCCAGTGACTTTCTTTATGTGCACCTCATAGAAGAATTACGTAAAACTTAAAACCTTTCCTGTGAAACCCAACAGGCTTTAAAAAAAAAAATTCCAGTATGCTTTTAATATGAAAAATTAAATAAATATAGATGCTGGATTTCATTGTGTTTTCTCCTTAATGGGTAAATAAATGCCTAGATTTTTTATGTAGCCTGTCCTGATCCACAAATTGATGGTCCCTCGTGTGGTTACTCTTAGAACATCCAGCAGGAGCAGATCCAGGAGCAGCTCCTATGATCCCCGCAGTCGGTCCAGGTATGGACAGGGACTGGGAATCCACCCTTTAATTCCCGTTTTAAAGGTGTTGTATTTCATGGGAAAACATGTCTTTGACTTTCTAAACAGTTTTTATTTGTTGACCCATTTTGCTCTAATGTCAAAAGTGATAGTTGATGTCAAATTGTAATGGCAGGGGTTTATTGACTATAATTGCCTGTAAGATGCACCAGATTCAGTTGCACTAACTCAGTGTCAACTTTGTGATATTTTTCAATGCAGAAAAGAAATTAACGTTTTGTTTTGTTTTGTTTTGAAATTAATGTTTTTCTGTTTAATATGGTAAGTCTGATCTGGGGCAGTTTTATTAAATGTTTCCAGTACGTGTTATGCACATATATCTTCATTCTATCGTATAGTGCTATATGATATATATATATATATATATATATATATATATTTATATAATATAGTTAGTTCTATGAGGACACTTATATATATATATATATATATATTTCTATGAAGACACTTAAGAACCTGAAAAGAAATGGGAGTATATGAATATTTGAATGGGAAAATTTAGTGTTTGTTATTGCTGTTAAAGCAGGTCTTACACTTACGATAGCTACTATAGCAGGAGTCGGAGCCGAAGTAGAAGCCAGAGGAGTGACAGTTATCACCGAGGCAGAAGCTACAATAGGCGATCCAGGTGGGTCTCTGTTCTTTCAAGCACTGTAAGTTACTGCGGGCACTTGGGGTATGGGGCGATAGACTGCTATAGAAGAGAAAGCATCATCTTCTAAGGACAGAAATTCTTCTTTCTCTTCTTGAATTTCATCAGTCCAAGGGCAGTTACTGAAGGTGGGCTTTGTGTTAAGAGTTGCTGGGTAATGTTTATTGGTTGTGGTTGATGTTTAAATCTAAAGTGGATTCTTAAATATTCACATATCCTTGGACAAACATTTCTTTTGGAAGGAATAAAGAGAGAAGACCAATCTAACTGTGGCCCATTCTTTAGAGTTACTTGATAGAAATAATAGCCAATTTGTCAGTGTTTTAAATTTTAAAAAGGTAGTTTTTTAAAAAATATATAATAAAATATCACAGTCACTTGATTCAATAGCAGGATTTGTGGTTTATATGGTTAAAAATGTTTTTTATGTGTTAATATATATCCATAGATATGTTTTATGTAACATATAGTTATTGCAGAAGTCTTTTTGGTTACTTTTTGTGTGTCTCCTTCCTGGTGGCTTCTGGTCTTACCCTCCCTCACCACCACTGCACTACCCCCGTGCATTGCAATTACAGTCAGTGGTGCTTATAGAATTTCAGTGTGATACAGACACTCCCTTATTTGAAACTCTTCAAGTACACCCCAGTGACCTTAGGGGCAGATCCATGCTCCTGAGTATTGCATGGAGCCCTCTCCACCTACCAACTCCAGCTTGGGCTTTTCTGTGTTCCCTGCACTAACATTCTGGAACCTTTATTTTCTGTTTAGAGATTCACATGCCCATTTCACCATCTCCCATCCTGCCTCTTGAAGTAACCCACTCACTGCCCCTGGGATGCCCTTCCTGACTGCTCACCCTGAGATATGTTCCCTGCTGTGTGTTTTATTTATCTTACACCCTATTCCAGACTACCCTTGAGCCCCAGGGAATTCTAGTCTGCTGTGTGTGTGCCCTTAGCATCTAGCAAAGTGACTGGCTCTCTGTGGATATTTCTCAAAATAACTGAATGGTGACCATAACCAAAGTCTTCTTGAATCACTCTCCCAGCGGTCCCATCCCTGCCCCACGTCACCTTCACCCCTCATTGGGCTCACATTTTGATTTGATTTTTATTTCCTTGTCTTTTAATGAAACTCTTGTTGTGGGCCTTTTCCCCCCTTACTTCTTCAGTCTAATTAAATATTGATGTTCATTTTGGGTAACATGGAAAGTTATTCTCATTTCCTTGAGTGGATTTCAAGTAATTCCCCAGGAAGTGCTGCTTCTTTATTTACACCTTGATATCACCACCATCTGTCACTAACATCTTTGAAAAGTCCACAGTGTTGTCATGGTCAGTACTGTACTTTTATACCCACTATGCTGTGCCTCGTCAAGTCACTTGCTTTCAAGCCCCTCATATTAAAAAAGAAGCTTCAACAGGAATTCAAAGGGTTGAGAGTTAAAAGGTATTTGTATATTTGTTTTGTCTTGTTATACAGGAGTTGTAGATCTTATGGCTCTGACAGTGAAAGTGACCGAAGTTACTCTCATCACCGAAGTCCCAGTGAAAGCAGCAGATATAGTTGAAAGTGTCCCCCTTTTTTTATACAAATTATATCTTATGTGTAAATATCTGATAACTTAAAATTTTAGGAAACTCAATGGCAGTCTGTTGTTCTATTTCAGTATTAGAGATGAATTTGAAAAATAGACACTTCTTAATTGTTAACATGTGCATAGAATTTAAAATACAGATATGTCTCCTAAAATATTTGTATGCCACATTTTACAATAGCCAACTATGGAAATTAATTTCTTTTTCTTGAATCAAGAAATCATGAAATTTAAGTATAATTTGCAATATTATTTTAGATTATTTGTCTCATGTATTTCTTAGAATACAGATTCTTTTTGCCCATTTTTAAGGTTTTAGCATCTATGCTGCCCAAGCATAGAACTGAAGGAGAACTGTGAAAGGTGGCCGAATACTTCCATACCAATTACACAGTCTTATTCATGTGTGCTCTTAAAAACAAACCACCCAAAATTGATACTGATGGTAACCAGGAGTATAAGGCAGTGGCTCCTTTCTTCTTTGTTGTCTCAGAGGATCAAGAACGTGGTCATAATACAGCCCACTGTCTTATTTCAGGCTGGTGGGTGAGGTTAAAAGGAATAGATCAGCCTTAACTATAAATATCTGCACTGTCTCTGTAGCCCTAATGTTTCATGTGCTTTTTTAATAAATACTATTAGGAGTTCAGTTGGTTTTAAAAAAAAAGTTCTATTCCAGTTTATGCTCTGGTGCTTGGTAACTTTTGGTGCATTATTCTTATATACTATACATTAGAATTCCATCAGAAGAGAGAAATTTTTTAAAAATTCATTGGCACCAAGTAGGGTTCATTGTAAGCTATATTCACTTTAACTATTTGGAGAGCCTTCTCTAAAGCACAGGTGTGGACTGGGGGACATGGAGCAGGCAGGATTGGCACAGGGTTGTGTGACCACTTGGGTATGCTCCCCAGGACTGATGCCTGGAAGAGCTGAATGGAGACTGGGCTTCAAAAGTAACACTAAGATCTACCTGCCGCCATTTTGGACACATTTTCCAGGGCTTTGCTTTTAAGCCTTTCAAGTAAGAGATGTAAGAGCAGTTGAACTGTTCTTAGCACCCGCCAGCATGTTTCCCTGTTTCAGTGGCCTGCAGTGATGCAGTGAAACCTTGTGTGAGATTGGTAAACCTATGACAACAGACAGGAAATCAGGGTGTGCAGTATTGCATAGATTACATTATATTCATTATACATTATATTCAGTGTCTTGGGTGGTTCCTGTAAAAATGATTTGACCTATAAAAACTGGTGAGATTTTGGGTTTTTTAATCTTTAGTTTGATCTTTTCCCCCAAGTGTACTTAATCACCTTAGTGCCAGTTTTATCCAGTTATGCAGAAGAAATTCATATTGGATATTTGATGCAGAACTTTGTGCCATCCTACCCCTTGCCTGCTATACTTGGGAAGTGGGAAAGAACCCTCAGTTGAAGGGATCTGACTACCCCTGATGGATGGAGGGGTGACCTTGGATGTATTAAAACCATCACCTATTAAAGGTTCATAAACAGGGTTAAGTGGCCAATTGTTTGCCAAATTGATAGATGAGAGTACATTAGAAAGTAGGACCTGACTCAAGCAAACACTTGATAGTGAATATAAAACAATGTGTGATTCATATGAGCATTCTCAAAAGTTGCCTGCAGAGGAGAATATTGCTTTAATAATATTCAGTGGAAAAAACTGCATTTAGAACTCAAACCAAAACTGCTAAATCTAATTACATTAAGAAAAGTTACCTTTAGGCAGTGTATTAGTTTTCTATTGCTGTATAACAAATTTTCCCAAACTTAGCAGCTTAAAGCAATACTTATTTCTTAGCTTACAGTTCTGTAGCTCATGAGTCCAGCGTGATATGGCTGGATTCTCTGCTCAGGGTCTCACAAGGCTGAAATCAAGGGTCAGCAGGGCGGCATGTGGAGGCTCTGGGGAAGAATCTGCTTCCAGGTTAATTCAGGTTGTTGGCAGTATTGAGTTCCTTGCTGACTGTCAAACGGGGGTCCTCTCTGTTGGCTCCTTAAGGCTGCTCGCATTCCTCCTGTGCGCTTTCCTCCATCTCCAAACCAGCAGTGGCCCATCGGGGTCTTCTCATGCTTCAGATCTCTCTGCCTTCCTCCTGTTTTAAGGTTCATGTGATTAGATCACGGTTCATGTGTGAGATAGTGTCCCTATTTAAGGTCAGCTGTGCCATAGAATGTAATCACAGAAGTGATATATTTACAGGTTTCTGGGGTTGGGGCATGAAAAGAGAGAAGGGCATTTTAGAATTCTACCTCCCACAGGCAATAGCTTTGCAGCTTGTGCTGTGGGTAGAATTTTATCCTGAAAAGGTGAGCCCTAGAAGTCTGGTGTGTTTTCTCCATGGAAAAGAACAGCCCTCAGCTGCACCATTCAACTTGTGTGTTTACTGAATGGACTACAGAAATAGCTTTTCTTCCTAAAGGGGATTGTTCTGTATTTTAAGTTATTTTTTAATAAAATTGAATTACGTCGTGTATTGTGCTTCTTAATAGAAAATGCATTGTTGGACTGTTTTTGTAATTTCCTCTTTATTGCAAATGAAACATGATATAGCTGGTATTGTTCAAAAACAGTAGAAAATACTTTTGTATATATTGGCAATGTCTAATTTGTATATACTTCATTTAAATTCCCTAAAACTTAAAAGGGAGGCCTTGTAGAAATTAAACTATATACTTAGTCTATGTTTGAGTCTGTGCATGTTTCATCCTTTATTCACCAAGACTTCAAATAGTCTTTCTGAAATGGAAAAGGAAGCATTGAGTCTCTTTGCTGACCCAGCCAGGGAAGAGATTTCATCTCCTCTCTCTCTGGCTCGTTTTCCTCTTCTCTCCAGGTATTAGTGGTGGGGCACGACATGGTGCTAGAGACAACTTCAGGCAGAAATGTTTACCTGGGCAGAGGACCATTGATGGTGCTTGGCCATGCTTCCCCTGCCAGTTCCCGATTTCTTTCAGGTCCAGTTGTCATCCAGCTGAGGTGGCCTGCGTACAGACATCCTTGCTGAGCAGGGACTGTGTCCCACCCCATCTGTGAGGTGCTGCCCAGGGACAGCACGTTTACCTGCTAAGCCACCCGCAGCCTCCCCTTCCCTCCCTAACAGTGGTTCACCAAGCAAGCACATAGCACTTACTCCGGGAGAAAATATTCCTGGTGATATTTTTAGCATCCACATGAGAATCTGCAGGGCAAATACAATTAACTTTTTTCTCCTCAGAACTCAAAGGGATTTGTACTTTCTTAGTGAATACAACATAACCTCACACAGTAAGATTGGCAGAGATTCAGTTTCCAAAGTTGAGTTAACAGTAAACCACCAAGTCAGGTAGTTCCTGAAAACAGTCAAATCTGGATGTGTTGCCTTAAAATTTAAAGAAAATTGTAGTGTCAGTTTGCTGTAGGGAAATCCCCAAGTGAGGTTCCTTTAGAGTCTTATTTTTTAGAAAGTGTCATGATCTTTACTGATGTTCTGATAGCATCTTGATCGGCTGGGCAGTATTGGGAGGAAATGTGTCAAGGACTTTTGACTGTTCTGAGTTAGCTAGCAAGAGGATTCAAGGGAAATAAATGCCCCTCACAACTGACCGTGAATACTGGCCAGGCATCCCTGGGAGAGGAAGGACATTCCACCAGTGCAGGATGAGGGACAAGCTGTGTGGCCAGGTGAGGGGGCCCAGAAGCCATGGCTTAGGTGGGAAGACTGGGCTCAGATGGCGGGTCTTTAGGAGAGGGAATCCACTGCCACTGCTCAGAGAGGTGCGTGCCTACATCCCATGAGGGATTTGTGAAGGATGAACTAGGCAGAGTGCCAAGAGGACTCCTACACAGTAGGGAGAAGTTCTTTGATGTTGTAAAGGTTGGGGAGAGAAGCTGGTTCCCTGGAAGTTGGCAGGGAACCCTGGGCAGCTCCAGCCAGTGCCTAAGGAACGTGAGGCAAGGAGGGCCTACCTGGGCAACACGCAAAGGAGCAGGAGGCTCGAACAGACTGTTTTCTTAAATAATTTCAGTAGAAGGTAAGGGCAGAGTGCTCCATTGCTCCTGCCTCCTTTAATCCCTGTGAATCAGAAGGACTGCAGTGGGGCTGTGCCAAGCTTGGGGTAGAGCACTTGTGCCTCTTGGAGACCCCAGGCCCCAACATTCCCCTTCTATAGCTATCGAACTCCAGCTCTACAGACTGAGCTGGGTTTCATAGTCTGCAGGACCCAGACTAGCTGGGGGAGGGTTGCATCTCCAACCAGCCTGGAGATCCGAGGACATTGGGGTGGTAAAAAAAAAAAGTGACCTGAGCTCTCAGCACAGACGCTTGCATTCTGCATCTGGAGGCCTGACTCTCATCTGTAATGTGAGGCTAATAGTCAGACTGCTGATCTCTCAGCTCACACCCAGAAAGAGGGTGCAACCAGACATGAAAACCAGGAGTGTGCATCCCTTTCCAGACCATCCTGGAGATGAATCAGCCTCCTAGAGAGCTCACAGGAGATAGGGCGCTGGGCTGGCATGTCCCCAGTCTCCGGTCACCCAGGGCCTCCTGCAACTAAAACCTCTGCCACCAGGCTAGATTCCCAGAGAAGATCCCACCGGTCTCAATGTCTCTGGCCCAATCTGATTTTATTTTGAAGGAGTAAAGGATCTCTGTGAACAACTGTTCTGTGGCACAGCCCTTTAAGGGTTTGGGGTCTGAGCCAGACTGCTTGGGTTCAAGTTTCACTCTGACACTTTTTGGTGGGTAACTGGGTAAATTGACTTTTATAATTATTAATATAACTCCTCCATTTTAGGAGTGGTGAGGATTAAATGCTTAAAACTAAGCACACATTGAAGTGGTTCAGGGACGCTAGTTCCTGGGCTTGCCTCCAGGTGGAGAGTGTGAGGAGGGCCAGGCTCAGTCACTAGTGAGAGGCCCAGGGCCCCTTGAACCAGCAGGGTGGGAGAGGATCCTGGAAGCTGCTAGGGAGGCCTTAAATGCCTAGGCCATGACGTTTATGCTGCTGGAGGGAACTGGGCAACCTGCTGGTTTGAATTAGGCCCTACCACCTACAGCTGTGGCCTATTAGTGCTGAGCTCTGAACAGGAGCAATCCACTCCCCTCGAACCCCCCACCCAGGGATCTATGCTCCCTCAACCTACAGAGCCCTGGGTCCACACCTAGTGGGTAAGTTGAACTTCCCTGCCACCCCTCCAGCCCCATGCTGCAATGTCCTTTTCTGTTTTCTGGCACTGCCCACTCTCTACTCCTCCCCCATTGCAGTTACACAGCTCCACGCCCCGCCTAGGGAGACCAAACTCTGTTGTGTGCAGACGCACGCAAGTGCTGCCCCAGCACGTTTTGCATCTGTTCCTCCTCCGACATAGGAGAGAAGTTCGGGGCTAGAAGCTTAGGGAAGTTGTGGGGGGAAGAAAAAGAAAACACCGAGCTGGCCTCTAGAAGCAGGCTTTGCTGACCTTGCCAGCACCCAGTCCCGAGTGTCTGGGGATCATCCAACCCTGCCCTGGTCTCCACAAACTCCTGACTTGCCCCCGCGGCATGTGATTCTGGCCTGGGATCCCCCTCCCCAGTAACTCATCCCACCTTAGATCCTCTAGAAAGCCTGCCTTGACCAGCCCTGAAGGGAGGGTCCTGTGACATGGCCCTTTCCAAGGCCAAGGGAACAATTCTGCCTATCTCCATCTGGCTACTCCTACAGGACGAGAATCGATTCTGCTACATCAAATCACCCGTCAGTCCCCTGCAGATGTGTAACTGTCCTCCCTTGGGGCATGTGCAGGGGAGTACCCGTCCTCTCCTTTTGCTCCAGTTACTCAACTTTCAGTCCTCTGCTCTGAGCCAGCCCCACACGAGCCCACCAGACAGCTCTTCAGACAGTGCCTTCCTGCCCTGTCTCATGTGACCCAAGTGCCAGTGGCCTCTCCCAGAACTTGCTTGTCCTGGGGTTCCCCCAGTAGATGGGCTGTAGGCCAGAGAAGAAAGGGGAACAGCCAGGGTCTTCAGGAAGACTGAGCCCCCCATTCCCTCGTTTCTCACCCAAACTCCAGCCCCTTCTTTGGCTTGAGTATTGCAACCAAGGCCAATTCCAAAAGGGCCAGCAACACTATCTTGGTCATGCTGGCCACAACCCCTGCCAAACCTTGGCTGGGAAATGGGCCCAAGAGTGTCCCTTGCAGCTCTCTGCCAGCCTCCTCCCAGTTTGTGGAGCAGGCTGCTCCAACTTCCTCTTTCCTTGGCTCCTCATGCTGGTATCTGACTGTGGGATCTGTCCTGCTCTGCCTTCACTGTCCTTAGCCAGCCAGTGGGTACACAACTCCCCTCTCACCACCTCTCAGGCCTATGCAAGGGAGCCACAGTCAGATGAGGAAGTGGGTTGGGATGGTGGAAGAAGCAGAAGGCAGCCCCTGAGGTGATGGGCTGGTCAGACATGCAGGTTGTTCTGGCCTGGCCTCAGCTTGAGGCCTTTAGGAGCTGAGTCAGCTCACCCACCACAGTCACAGAGAGGCGGGATATCTGCTGTGTGGTCATCGCTGGGGGCATGAGCCCCCATCTGTGCCCCTTCTTCTCTTGCCATCTCTTTTTTTCAGCAGGGTCTCATCTCACCCTCCATCCAGCTATATCATTTCCTCCTCTTGGCACTCTTTGGTCACCCCCATTTTTGCCCATGAGATGTTTACTCCCTGACCCTGGAATGGCCTTGTCTTAAGGGCCTACCAATCCTGGCCTCACGGGAGGCCCTTGCAGTTTCACAGGACAGACACCAGGCTACGGGGTGGCGCCTGCCTGGGATCTTGGCCTCTACTCCATTTCCTTTTCTGGCACCCAGAACCAAGTTACTGTGAACTGGCCCCAGAGGCCCTGCCCACTCGTGAGTAAGGTGGCATACTCAGGGAACACTGCTACAGCAGGCATGGGCAAGTGTGTAAGCACAAGTGCATGTGTGAGCGAAGGGGCTGGGGGATACAGTGTGGTATTGCCAGGATGTGGGCAATGTGAAAGTGACCAAACGGGCAACCATCAGCTTGGAGTGGGGGAACAGAAGCATCCGAATGATGACATATGAGAGGCCCACAGAGGCCCCCTCTCCACAATGATGGCCCAGCCACCACCTAGGCTCTGTGAGGCCCAGCGCCCTGTGGTCCCGACTCTTGCTGCCTGCTTGGCCTGGCAGTGTTTCTGTGCAGCTTAAAGCCAGCACAACCAGCCCCCAGCCCCCACTGCCATCCATGCCAGAGCAGCATTCCGCAGGCCTGGCTGCATCTCCCCAGCAGAAACAGCAGGAAGGCCTCTCAGCAGCCATCAAGCTACACGGCAGAGGGACACAGTGGGCCCTGGGCCTCTGGCCCTCACTCCTCTGGTCTTGGCTTCTCCTGGCTCTGGGTCTGTCACATGAAAGGCTTTGATCAATGCAGCTGTGGTTCGCATTCTCCCATCTGTCCTGGGCGTCCCTGTGCAGCCAGAGGCAGCCACCAGGTCAGTATGGATCGACAAGAATCAAGTCCTGGAGAGAGAACAACATAAACCCTGAGCTGCCCTGGGATGGGGTGGGGGACCAGCTCAGTTGGAGATCCTAGACTCACCCTCAGGTCAGAGCAGCCCAGGTCAGAGGGTGGGGAAGGCGACCCAGCGAGGATACGCGGGGTTCAGTCCCTCAGTGTGAGGTCGCTCAGGGGAGCAGGTGTAAGCCTTTTCTGTAACTGGTTGGTGGGGGCGGGAGCGTCCAGCTTCCCCATTTCGGGGGCCTCCTCCTACTACGACCCCACCTCGGTGGCGCAGCTGGAGGGCTCCCAGGTTAGACTCCGAGATGAACTTTCCGGCGGAAAGGGGGCTCGGTGAGAAAGAGTAAGTCCAGGGACCATCCTCTAGGATGGGAGCGGCGGGGCCTGGCCGGAGCCCGCGGCGGCCCGAGGCGGGGCTGGCTGCACCCGGACGGCGCACACCACGCGTGTCCGCGCCCCCGCCGGCGCGCAGGGCGGCCTGGCCCTTTAAGCGTCCAGACGGCGGCCCCAGCTGACGCGCGAGCTCCAATCGGCGCCCCGCGCCCCCCGCCCGCCGCGCCTGAGGCTCTGGGGCCGCAGCTGCTCGGCGGCTGGACTAGCCCCGGCCCTGCGCCTCCGCCCGCCCGGCCGCGCCCCCGGGGGCCATGGTCGCGGGGCCCTGCGCGGGGGCGGCCCCCAGCGCGGCGCTACATGGAGCGGCCCCGGCCTGGCCGCCGGGGGCAGCGCGATCCCGCGGGGCCCTGTGAGCCCCCAGCGCCACGGCACCATGGTACGCAAGGCCCTGCCTGTCCTCCCACTTATCCGCCCACCTGCCCGCTCTGCCCTCTCGAGCGAACAGCCGGTCGTCTCGGCGTGGAGGGGTGTGAGGGATCTTAGCCCTCGCCGGGTTTCCCCTACCCCTTCTCTGGGTCCCTGCGGGCTGGGAATGCGGAGCTCTGACGTAGCCCTGGGCTGGGAAGGGGTTAAATTCCTGGGGTTGGGGCCCGGGCGCGAGAGGTTGAGGTCCTGCTAGGATCGGGCGGAGGGGGGCGCTTCTCTGGGCCGGGGACGGCGCCGCCCTCGGACTGGGTGATGGGGGGAGGGAGGAGGTCGGATTCCCGCCTGGGCCTTGGGCCACGTGGGCGCTGGAGCCGCCCTGCCAGGGGATTCGGGGCTCCTGGGCCAAGCGGGATGGGGGGAGGACGCCTGCAGCTCTGGTCCAAACTCCTGTGTGACCTTGGACCCGTCCCCCGCCCTCTCTGGGCCTGTTTCTCTGGAAGGGCGAGTGGCCTGAGTTGCGAGGAGGCTGGCACAGATACCCTCTCCCTAAAAGGAGGAGGCTGTAAGTCATGAGCCTGTGCCCCGCCGTACTCAGCCTGGGTTCACCCACTGCTGTCTGGGGACAGAAGGATTGACAAGGAGTACGGGGTGCAGATGGACACCCAGGTTTCACCCTGGGGCCTCCAGGGAGATTCTGGGGCAGGGTAGGGAGCTAGCTGGTGGTTTTGTGATGGTGAGGCAGGGTACCTCCCAGGAGTAGAAGGCTCTGCCGGTGGTGAGCAACCTCAGCAGGTGTCCCTGGCACCTGGCCTGCCCCCACCAGCCTGGCTTGTGGGGGAGGGTTTGAGAGCATTAAATGCCCTGGCAACAGAAGTGCCTGACCACTCCTCTGGTCTTGTATCTTAGCCCAGCTGGCCTGGACTTGGGGTGGGGTGTGTGACTGCAGCTGGCACAGCCAGATGGGGAGGGGTATCTACAGCTTCAGGAAACTGGCACATCTGGCTGGAGAGGCAGACACAGCTGGTGGGCCCTGTGTGGGAGGTACCAGGCCAGGGGGTAGCCATACGCCACTGAGGGGCTGCCAGATAAGGACTCAGGCAGCATCTATGTGCTTGATCAAGGAAATCCAGTCAGGGCTCCTGGTTGTAAGATCCTTGGACCCCTCAAGGGCCAAGGATGTTGCAGCCTTGCCTGGGGGTATTGCCTCAGAAATGGAGTCTCTGGGGCAACACTACCCCCTAGGCTAACCTTTCCTCCCCTGCTGAGGCCAGAGGAGTCTTCACTGGATCCTGGGACCAGATGTGCACACAGGAAATGTTAGGCACTACCCTTGACCCATGGCAGACAGGCACTGGGGGGCATTCTGTGAAGGAGAAGTGGACCTGGGGTGGGTACTCCACAATGGGTCTGACATTGACAAGTCCTTCTCCAAGCTACTCCCTCACCACTCTTTGGCCCCTGGAAGCCCTGAGGAACTTCTGTTACCACCAAATTGCATCCTGACCCCTCACTGACTTGCAGGTGGCAGCAGCTCTAGGGAGGAGGGTACAGGTTGCCGGAGGTGCTGGTGGGGTCTGGGGAAGCACAGCTGGTCCCGAGATGCCTCGGCCTGCTTTTTGAGTCATTAAAGGCCAAGAAATACTTCCACATGGAACAGTATCCAGTCCAACACAGATTGGGTGGCCCCAGCAGGGCTAAGAGTGCAGGGGCTCTGCTTCTGTTGACTGTGAGACTCGCATTCTGAGCCTCAGTTTCCCCATCTGGGTAATAAAGTTTGGTCCCAGATGAATCAGAATGAGTCAGAGGATGGAGATGAGAGGGGGGTGGCACCTTATTCCTGTTAGATTGGTCAGGCCTAGATGGGCTAGCAGCCCCGAGACAGAGGAACAAACAAGTGGCTTCTTGGCTGGGGTGAAGGAGGTGTTGGGGAGGAACTCAAGAGAGATGGTGGTGGACTTCCCTGGTGGTCCAGTGGTTGGGAATCTGCTTGCCAATACAGGGAACATGGTATCAGTCCCTGGTTCCAGGAAGATCCCATGTGCTGCGGGGTAGCCGGGCCTATGTGCCACAACTACTAGAGCCACAAGCTGCAGCTGCTGAAAAAAAGAGACAGCATGAGGTGGGTGCTGCCCTGGGCTACTGGGTATGAAGGGTGAAGCCCAGGGCAGATCCTCTCATTCAAGTGACTGAAAGGACGGACATAAAGAGGAGGGGTAGGCTGTGGATGGATGGGACTGGGGTTTCATCCCAAGGCTTCCAGAGACAAGCATAGGGTACGAGAGTTGATGGCTTTGCAATGCAACAAGGTACCCTCAAATGTAGGAGGCTCTGACTTAGTGGACAGGGCCGGAGGAGGGCCAGAACCTAGTACCTGCAGGGCAGGTTCAGCCAGGCAGGTCGTCAATAGCTGTTAACCGAACATCTGCTGTGCGCTGGGTCCATGCAAGGGACTGGGCAGCCTGCCTGTCTGTGCTGCTCAGCTTTTGGGGAAGCCGCTGTGGTGGGACCAAGAATTAAGCCAGCCCTTGCTCTGGGCAATTCACAGGCACTGAATGTGGCCCAAGGATCTAATAATCTGACCAATCAGGTTCAAGGGCCTCCTTCAGGCTCCACTGAGATGACATCATCTGGGAACCTCTGGGCCTGTACCACACCTGACCTGAGGTCTGGGGGGCCTAGAAGGAAGGGGTTTGGTACAGGCCTTGGGATGCAGGACTTTTGATGGTAAAACCAGGGCTGTCCCCAGCAAACCAGGACTGGGTCACCTCCCCACAGGCATCCTTTCAGTATTTCCAGGCCCCATGGATTCTCTCCCCTACACTCACTCACAGATAAAACCAATCCTGCCGGACCCCAGACACCTCAGGAACAGAAGTCACCTGGCTCACTGCTCTGCCTCTGACCACTGTACCTCTGGGACAGTGACTGTGACCTTTGTTTCTGAGGGGTCTGGGGCTGGGCAGGATTGGTTTTATCTGTGAGTGTCAGGAAGAGAATCCATGGGGACCAGAAATACTGAAATTATGCCTCTGGGGAGACAAACCAGTCCTGATTTTTACTGGAGACGGCCCTGGTTTTAGCATCAAAAGTCCTGCATCCCAGGAAACCCCTAGGTTCCTGACCCACCCGCATGGTTGGTCACCCTTGAACCTTTTCCTTCCCCTTTCCTCCTTTTCCACTTCCCTTCCCGGGATGACTGCTCTCATTTCACAGTGGAGCAGCGGGAGGCCCAGAAAAGTCAACCACTGACCCAGGAGCTGATACACGGCCTCAGAAGGTCACGGCCAGTTTGAGCTCTGAGGGAGAGCTGACTCGGGCTTGAATCCTGGTTCCCTGTCGTCTTTGCTTGAGTTTCGGCACCTTCTCTGTCACGTGGACCCAAGAGTGATGGGGGCTGGGGGGGCACCTCCTGGCTGGCCTCAACCTGACCTGTGCCCTTGGCCCCACAGTTGCTGGTTGAGAAGACAACGGACTCACCGGCGGCCGAGTTCTCGCTGGTGGAGGACGTGGCGCTGCACTTCGCCTGCTTGATGGGCCGCCTGAACGAGCAGCGCCTGTTCCAGCCTGACCTGTGCGACGTGGACTTGGTGCTGGTGCCCCAGCGCAGTGTCTTCCCGGCCCACAAGGGCGTGCTGGCCGCCTACAGCCAGTTCTTTCACTCACTCTTCACCCAGAACAAGCAGCTGCAGCGCGTGGAGCTGTCCCTGGAGGCGCTGGCGCCCGGCGGCCTGCAGCAGATCCTCAACTTCATCTACACGTCCAAGCTGCTGGTCAACGCGGCCAACGTCCACGAGGTGCTGAGTGCTGCCTCACTGCTGCAGATGGCCGACATTGCCGCGTCCTGCCAGGAGCTGCTGGATGCCCGCTCCCTCGGCCCCCCGGGCCCTGGCGCCGTGGCCCTCGCCCAGCCGGCTGCCGGCTGCACCCCGGCTGCACCACCCTACTACTGCGACATCAAGCAGGAGGCCGACGCCCCGGGCCTGCCCAAGATCTACGCCCGAGAGGGCCCCGACCCCTACTCGGTGCGCGTGGAGGACGGGGCTGGGGCCACGGGTAGCACGGTGCCCGCCGCCCTCGGGCCGGCTCAGCCCTTCTTCAAGGAGGAGAAGGAGGGTGGCGTTGAAGAGGCCGGCGGGCCCCCGGCCAGCTTGTGCAAGCTGGAGGGTGGGGAGGAGCTGGAGGAAGAGCTCGGGGGTTCTGGCACCTACAGTCGGCGGGAGCAGTCCCAGATCATCGTGGAGGTGAACCTCAACAACCAGACGCTGCACGTGTCCACAGGGCCGGAGGGCAAGCCGGGCGCCGCCACCGGCCCGGCCACCATGGTGCTGGGCCGGGAGGACGGGCTGCAGAGACACTCGGAAGAGGAGGAGGACGACGACGAGGAGGAGGACGAGGAGGAGGAGGAGGAGGAGGGAGGAGGCAGTGGCGCGGAGGAGGAGGACGAGGAGGACGAGGAGGGCGGCAGTCAGGGGGAGGAGGAGGACGACGAGGAGGAGGAAGGGCAGAGCGAGCAGGAGGAGGAAGAGGAGGAGGAAGAGGAAGGGCACAGCGAGCAGGATCAGGAGAGCTCAGAGGAGGAGGAAGATGAGGAGGATGGGGAGGCGGGGGGCCGGCAGGGCGGGCTGGGGCGCCGAGGCAGCCGGGCCGAGCCCCCGGCCCACAGTCGCATGGCCACGAGGTCCGCCCGGCGCCGTGGCCCCCCTGAGCCGGAGGAGGCCGGGCGGCGGGGCGGGAAGCGGCCAAAGCCCCCTGCAGGAGTGGCTCCCGCTCCTGGCTCCCGAGGGCCACAGGCTGCCGACGGGCTGGGGGCCAAGGTAAAGCTGGAGGAGAAGCAGCACCATCCATGCCAGAAGTGTCCGCGAGTTTTCAACAACCGCTGGTACCTGGAGAAGCACATGAACGTGACCCACAGCCGCATGCAGATCTGCGACCAGTGCGGCAAGCGCTTCCTGTTAGAGAGCGAACTGCTGCTGCACCGGCAGACGGACTGCGAACGCAACATCCAGGTGGGCCTCCAAGGGGCCTGCAGGGGGCAGCCATCCAGGCTGAGCCAGGCCGGAACTGGGCCCTGGGCACCCAGTGGCCTGCTGCCTGCGTTGTCTGCACAGTCTGCAGAGACCAGGCTCAGCTCCCCGCCCCCCGCCCCACCCCGTCCCGGGGACAGTGGGACCAGCCCCGGCCCAAGGGTGAGCCCAGGGTGGTGAGAGCTCAGGGGATGACGTCAGGGAGAGCTTCCTGGAGGAGGCAGATAGAGCTGGGCTTCTGCAAGAGCAGAGATGTGCAGAAAGGAGTGGAACAAACAGTACCCTTGCCAGAGAGGCAGAGGGGAGCAGGGACTCAGGAGAATGAGAGGAGAGAGTTGTCTGAGCATGTGAGGCTGGGGGACAGCCAGCTCTGAGGAGGGATGAGTCAGTGTTTTTGTAAATCTTTGGACTGCTGCAAAGCCAGGAGGGCCACCATGTGTATAGTTTGGTAGATTGAGCGCTGCAGGAAAGCACAGAGGGGATGAGGGGCTTGACCGGAAGGGGGCGCCATTTTCCACTTACTACGAGGGCTGAGTGGAGCAAGGGGCAGCCAGGCGGGAGGAAACCCCAGCATTCAACTCTTTGGAGGTACCAGCTGGCCTGGGCATGGGGAAGAGGGACTGGATGAGCACTTTGGGAAGTGCAGGGGGCCCAACAGGAAGGCTGCTGGGGCCAAACAGGGGAGCTGGGCTGACTGCCAAGCCTTGAGCCAGCCTGCATCTGGGCCAGCCTGGCCTTTCAGGGTGAAGACAGCACAAGGCCAGTCAAGTGATTTTTTGTCTTTTTCTGGCTGGGAGTGAGGTTGAGGGGCTGTAGGTAGGCGATGCTAATTGCCTGAACTAATTGCTAATTGGAGAAAGTGTTACCTGAGGGTTACCTGGATTCCTGCCCCACCCTTAGGCACACGCTCCCACTTGCCTGCCTGCTGGGCTGCCCTGTGACTCTCCACACGCACACCCCTGAGCTTCCCTCCTGAAAGGGAAAGACGCTTGTACCTCTTCTGCCCTGGGTACCCTGACCCAATTTCTGCCCAAGCCCTGGCCTACTGCAGGAATAAGGGCCCAGGAGACTAGAAGGAGGGGAGTGTGGTCCCTAGGGTTCCCACTACCAGCTTGTGCCCAAGAGGCCCTTACACCTCCCGCAGTCCCCCAGCCCTTTGGAACCTGTTCCCTTGGGGATCTCCGTGGTGTCAAGGTATGGGTCCCAACAGGGGAGGCAGCAGAGATAATGTCTCAAGCTTTGCCAGGACCTGTTATCCGGGGGGCTCCCCCTTGAACTGTAGCCTCCTCACCCACTGTGGCCCTTCAGCCAGTTATGTGTCTCCTCTCTGTAGAAAGATGTCTTGTTGAAATGAGCACAGAGGAGGGACTTCGTGGAAGAGGTGGCCCATGACCCTAGTGAGTTCAGATGAGGAGGGAGGGCCCCAGGCTGCAGCCCTGGGCGGGTGGGCAGGTGGGTAAGAATACTTAGGGATTTACCACCCCTGACTCTCAGAATATCAAACATAGCTGGTCCTTTGGCCATCAAGGCCTCTCTCTCCAGCACAGTTCAGGTGGGAAAACTGAGGCCCAGAGAGGGGCAGGGACTTGTCCTAGGTCACATGGTCCTGACCCAGGACCTAAAGTCTTCTCCTTCCACAGTGTGTGACATGTGGCAAAGCTTTTAAGAAGCTCTGGTCCCTCCACGAGCACAATAAAATTGTGCACGGCTACGCAGAAAAGAAGTTCTCCTGTGAAATTTGTGAGAAGAAGTTCTACACCATGGCTCACGTGCGCAAGCACATGGTTGGTGAGTCTAGGCCTGTGGCAGAACGGGCCCGAGGTCCAAGCTGGGCCAGCTGCTGGGTGTGCTAGGAAGTCTTTCATATCCAGGGACAAGATAAAGGGATGAGAAGGTGCCAAGTAGCTGGGAGGTGGGGTGGGGACAGTGGATGGGGCAGTGGGGCCAGGGCTGCCATGTACGGTTGGGCAGGTTGCACATAGCACAAGGGCTCATGACAGGAGGGCAGGTGGAGACCAGAATCCCGTTAGCACACTGCTAACTAGGCTGTGCGCCCCAACATGGGGCTGGGTCCACCAGAGCACCTTCCGCTAAATTACACAGAATGCTCGCTGTGTGGGCTGACACAGCCCCTGTCTCAGTCTGAGGACAGCTGTGCCCCTGACAGGGCTTCAGACTTCTCTGAATGCAACCCTCCTCCCAAGGGTCATACCTGGACACAAGTGTGTCTTGGGCCACTTCGCTGCCTTGGGCATGGCTGTCCCTCCCCTCTAGGTGGGCCTGGCTGAGAGTCTGGTGTCTGGGTGGCCCTCCTTTCTTTGCCCACTTGGGGGCTGGAGCTCTCCCCACTGTCTAGCCAGGGAGACAGTGAGCCCTGGCCAGACATGATGCCCTTTCTCTGCCAGACAGTGCCGGAGGCTTCCAATATGAACTGACGAGGAGCTGGGAAGCTGGGGTGTATCAGCCAGGAGCATGCTAGGCACCCCAGGATTGGTGGTCCTCCCTGGGCTTGGACTCCCCAGCTCTGAACTGTGAGGGGGGCCCTCCCTGTCTCCAATCACTTCTTCCCACATCTTCCTTGGAGTTTGTTTTGGCGGGGGGGGGGGGGGCGCAGAGATAACTCCTTCTGGATGGCAGGGGACCCAAGGCTGAGGCCTTTAGAGGTGCCATCCTCTGTAAAGCCCAGCCACCTTGGAGACCCAGGACCACTCTTCCTTTTTTTATAGAAGAGGATGCTGAGACTCACTGAGGCTCACAGCAGCCATGCAGGGAACCAGTGACTGGGCCAGGATTTGAGCCAAGGCTAAAGAACCAAGAAGGCCTCTGTGCTTGGCTGAGCAGACAGACACCTAGAGGCGGGAGAGGAAGGGAGGGACAGGGAGGGAAGGGGAAGGACCTAGCCTGGGGGACAGAGGGCACAGGCAGGTCCCAGGGTAGATGGTGCCCCAGGAGGGGGGTTCAAGGTTCAACGTGGGGGGTGGTCCAGCAGGGGTCCCCTGGGAGAAGCCAGGTGGGTCCCCCCAAAATGTCATGGCCATCGTGCCTGCCCCGTAGCCCACACCAAGGACATGCCCTTCACCTGCGAGACCTGTGGGAAGTCCTTCAAACGCAGCATGTCTCTCAAGGTTCACTCCCTGCAGCACTCTGGGGAGAAGCCGTTCAGATGCGAGGTAAGTCCACTTCTGCCCCAGGGGCCACCCTGAACAGGGCCGGGATCAGGGGCAACAGCAGCTTAAAAACCAGGGGGTGGGGAGACTGGAGTATAGGGTGCAGAAAGAGAGGGGGCCCTCCTGTCATTTGCCTCCTACTCCATCCTTCCCTGGTTGCCTACCTACACCCACCCCCACACACACCCTTGCTACCTCTCCCTATCTCACTGCTGCACGTTCAGGGTGGGAAGTTTGCGTGGGTTGGAACCGTAGGACAGGCTTTCTGGAGAGGTGGAGAAAGACACAGCTTAGGCAGAGATCAGAGATGGAGTTGCAGGTGGGGATGAGGGAGGCCTCTGGACAAAGAGGAAGGATGGAGAGTCTTAAGCACAAGGGCTCCCTCCACTCTGGGGCCTTTTCGCACTTCCTGAGCCCCATTCCTGCCTGGGCCTCTCTACCTGTGCCCCGTGCACTGCCCCACCCCAGGGACACCTCCACTGGCCTTTGCACCCACCCCTCCTTGCCCAGGAGTCCCTCCCGCTGTGAGTCCCGCGGCTCTATGATCTGGGGACCAGCTGTTCCCTCCCTGAAGGTTATTCACCCCCGCTCTGCCCCGGGTCTTGCCCCACCCCACCCCGCCCTCAGAACTGCAATGAGCGCTTCCAGTACAAGTACCAGCTGCGGTCACACATGAGCATCCACATCGGCCACAAGCAGTTCATGTGCCAGTGGTGTGGCAAAGACTTCAACATGAAGCAGTACTTTGATGAGCACATGAAGACTCACACAGGTACCGCGATCCAACGGTGATGGCCTCCGCCGTAGCGGGCATCCTTCTCTGCCCTTTTCTGAGGCTCAGCCCCGGCCTCCCTGGCTCCCAAGGTCGGGTGAGGGAGGCTGGCTTACAGGTTGGGGGTGGGGGGCGTGGCGCCCCACCCCCCACCCCCCAAGTAACTCCCCAAGGCCCATCCCCACCCACCCTGCAGGGGAGAAGCCGTACATCTGCGAGATCTGTGGCAAGAGCTTCACCAGCCGGCCCAACATGAAGCGGCACCGGCGCACGCACACCGGCGAAAAGCCCTACCCCTGCGAAAGCGGGAGGCTGAGCACCAACAACTAACTGCGTGCCTGCTGCAAGGGGCCCAGGACCCTCCCCTCCTCCTTGGGGGGCAGTGACACCTCCGGAGTTGGCTGGACACCGGCCTCACCCCAAGGCCCCTGACCCTGGGGGGTGTGCAGGCTGGCAGCCCCCAGAGTTGGCTGAGGACACCTCACTACCAAGTGCCCCCGTTCAGTGACTTCTTGAAGCCTTTACTTTTTTTGTTGTTTGTTTTTGGGGAAGTGAAGGAAAAAGAAAAGAGGAAACCGTTGGCAGTATCCCCCTCCAGGTGAGGGGGGCGCTGGAGGCGGCAGGTAGCGGGGGACAGGGGCCCAGGGAGCAGGTGTGACTGGTCACTCTGCTGAGGCCTAAGCCAGAGGGAGGGGGGGTGGCCCAGCCCGGATCACCTTCAGCCACTTATCCGCACCTCTCCTGGGCCTATAACTTGTGCCTCATATCCTGGAGGGTTTGGGTAGAAGTTGGGGTGCCAACCCCCTTTGGAGGAGGTGTGGACTCAGTGTGAGGGCTATGGATATCCAGGCAGGGTCTTGAGCCTGGGTGCCCTGGGAGCGTGCTGGGAGGCTGTGACAAGGCGTGAAGACTGCAGCTCTGCACAGGGAGGGTCGGCGGCGTGGGGCGGGCAGGGGCTGGACCCCAGACATTTGCTTTCCCCATTCACAACCCTGCAGCAGGCACAGGGATCCCTGACCTACACTAGGCTGCACCGAGGGCCCTGGGTCCTGGAGAAGATGTCCCCAGAAGCCGCTGGGCCTCAGGGTGTTGTGGGCCAGGCCCTGGGTGGACCGACGGGCTGGCTCCCACACCACCAGCTCCCAGGGTCTGCCGCCCAGGAGCCCCTGCAGATGGGTGGACCCCAAGGGCAGGCCCCTAAGGAGGAGGCTTGGGCCAATGTTCTGAGGTTTCAAGGTGCTATCAGTGGGGCGGAGGCCAGGGCAGCTGTTCACAGAGCACCCCATCCCTCACCAGCTGCCCCAGCTGCATCTCCCACACTAGAGATGTGTGTGTCTGTGTCTGTCTGCTCCCTGAAGGCAGCGCAAGCCTCCTCCACTCCCTCGGCCTGGTCACAACCCGCCCCTGGCTGGCATCCAGCACCCTTGTCCCTCCTGGGCCTCTGTGCTTATGGGTGGCATAAGGAGCCTGCATGATCAGGCCCTGGGGGTCAGGGTCGGGGGCGCTGGGAGAGCCCCAGCCTGTGTTCAATGCTTGCCCTCACGAGGCCAGCACTAATAGGACATCCTTTTTCTGTTGTCATTTAACGTCTTGATTCCTGCCTTTAAAAGGGGGAGGACGGTTCCATAAGCTACATATTTCCTAGTTAAGCTCTTTCCTATTGTGTTTATACAGTTTTGTTTGTTATACTCTTTGCACCTTAAACCCCCATGACTACCCCCACACCACCACCTTCCCAGCATGGCTGGAGTGGGAAGAGGCCTGAGCCCAGGGGGTGGTGGAGGCGGGACTGGCCCCATCAGCCCAAGCGCTGAGGGGGTCGGGACCCCTCAGACCTCCTTGTAAGGTCCATGGCGCTGGGGCAGGGGGCTGGGGACATTTTAATCATCAATAAACGAAGCACTTTATTCTGTACAGATGTGGGTAAGCCCAAGGAGCCCGAATGATTTGAGGATTTAGAATCCAAGCCACACAGCCCAGATTGTTCTCTGGGCTTAGAGGGTTTGAGTTTGGGACTGTAGCAGGAACAGTGCAAGCCAGAGCCTACATACATACCCTCAGATGCCCCTGCTGTCCTCTGGGCACCCCCTCAAGAGAGGAAATCTCCCTGTCTGGTTCCCAGCACTGCAGCTCCCCCACCCCGAGGCTGGGGGTTCTAGCCTCCTCTGGGGTCAGGGTTGCACCTCTCAGGCTCCTGCTCTACTCTAGCTCTTTTCTTCTCCTGCACCCCTTGATCTCTGGGCTTCCATGACGTCCTCAGGGTCCCCCCCCCACTCCCCCCTCTCCCTTGCTATTTCCAACCTCCAGTCCCAGTGCCTGGCAGCTCTTCAGAGCTGGCCCACATTTTCCTAAGAAAAGTCTGATTTCCCCAAATGGGCTGTAGGCTGGGACTCCCTTGAGCTTCTCATCCCCTGTGGCTGACACCAGGATCTCCCGTTACAGCTGGTGGCCATGCCACCTACTACCCTCACTGCAGCCTTAGAGAGCCTAGGGGGCCCTGGCCAGGCTGGGCTTCTGATCCATGAAGTCAGACTTCCACAAGCAAAGGCTGTAGGGAGCTGCTGGTGAGACCCTGCCCCAGGACTCGGGTCTCCTACTCTTGTACGCTTCCCTTCTCAGGGCACAAGAGGGGTCCAGAGAGCAGGCTGGGCACTGGTCAGATGGTCATTGTATTAATAGCTTAGATGGGTGTGGCCAACCCCTCTCCTGGGAGGCCCCCGTCCCAGCGGGGACAGGAGCCCTGTGTCCCTGGTGCTAAATGCTCTCTTCCCCTTGGGCCAGTGTTGGTGGGAGCTCCTTTCTGGCCAGACCACAAGGGTCTGAAGCAATAATGGAACCTCAGCTGTGCCCGTATGGATAGGGGTTCTTGTTTTACCAGCTTTTACATTTCCTTTTTAATTTTTAAAACAAATTAACAAGCACCTGGATATTGGAGCGAGGGGCTTGGGCCATCATACCCACTTCCCAGGGCTGGTGATGGGGAGGGGGCTTGGGGTGGTCACCTACCACTGCAGATCTGCCAAGGGGGGCCACTTTGTCCAGCTGGACTTCTCAGCCTACTTGGCCGAGCCTCAAGTCTGGAACCTGGCCTGCCCCTCCCCATCTCCCCTTGTAGTCCCTGGTCTTGGGCCAGCTGGGGATGAGTGGCCAGAGAGATGACCATTCAAGCCCCATGACCACAGTTCTAGGAACCTGGGCTGGGGGTGCTGGTGGTGGGGGCAAATCCTGAGCCCCTGATCCTGACGTTTGCTGCCATGGCCCACATGGCACCCCTCGGCAATCACGGGGGGGGTAGGGGGTGGTGTTCAGCGGCAGAACGGCTGTGCCCAGGTATGTGGACCCTTGATGTCTGCCCTGTGTGGTCATCCCACAGCCCCGGAGTGTGTGGGGGACTGCAGGAGGGTGAGGAGAAGAGTGGAGGGGAATAAAGGCAGTACAACTGTCCCTTGGCCCAGCCTCTTCTTTACACATGCCACCCTGACCGTGGGCCGAAAGGACTCAGACCACAGTGAGATGAAGGACAACTCGGCTGCCAAAGACCACATGGACACCTGTGCCCGGAGCATCCACAGTTCTCGTCTCCCTTGCCTGAGGATGGGCTGGGCTCCTGGGGAATCTCCAGAGTGGGGCTGAGGTCTGGAGGAGCCTAGTGTCTGTGCCCTGGAGAACATCTCAGATGGAAGACCGTGGCCTCCTAGGAGGGAACAAGCAACTCTCCCTGTGGACCTCAGAATAATTTTGCTGGGGCACTGGCTCCATGCAGAATAGAATTCTAGGCTGTGGGGACACATGGTGAATGAATGAATGCCCCCTCACCATGTATGTAGCACTTGGTCTCAGATGCCCAGAGAGGGGTCTCAGATGAGATACCAGGGTATCTGAGGGGTCTCAGACACTGGGAGGGGCTAGGAGAGAGACTCCTGGGTGGTTCACTAACTGGCCAGGGAGGGGGTTCAGGTCCCCAGGATGAGGATGTTGCCTTCCACACAGCCCCACTTCCTGAGGGGAACAGGGACTCACTCAAGTCACCCTGAAAGTGCAGCTCATTGATAGGCCTGCAGGCCTGGCTGCTCCCTGCTTGGTGTGGGGATTCGGCCTCCCTGTTTCCTGTCTGCAGGTGTACGCCTGCCTCAGGGCCTTAGCACAAGCTGTTCCCCTGCTTGGAATCCTCCTCCTCCATGCTTTAAACCTGCTCAAGCATAGTCCTCTCAGTGAGTCCATCCTGACTATTCCATTTAAAATTGTGACCTCTGCCACCCATCACTTTCCATGCCCCCTTCCCAGCTACCTGTCCATCCGTGTGTTGCCTCCATACCACCTCTTCTCACCAGCCCCACTGTACTGTGAGCGACGGTCCGATGCCACACAGCATGGTTTTCTAGAGAACCTCTGAGGAAAATATCTATTTTTAAAATTAAAGTTTTATTTGGACATAGTTGAAGAAGCCAAATATTTCTAGAGCTTTTTTGTTTTTTTTTAACAAAAACATGCAGTTCCCCACAACTCCTCCTTTCCAACTCCCAATAAGTGAGCAGTTCCAATTCAGTTGGTATTTTTGGTGTTTTCCTGCCCATGGAAAGCATACCTCCAACACCGCTTTCCTCCTATTTTCAGTTTTAGGCATTGGCTAATAGATGTATTTCTTCAGCACTCCCATCACGCACACAAACACTATATACACAATTCTCCTTCCTCCAAACATGGTTATGTTACTCTTTGAGGTTAGATTGATACTTAGTATCTATATTATTATGACTATTTAGACACTGATCTCAACTAAGCCATATAACACAATGATTCCATTTCCTTTCTCCTATAACTTTTTACTTTTGGCTCTTTTAAACATAATTTACTTTGGTTTCTGGGTGTTTATCACTGCTGCATCCCTAAACCCTTTGTCATAAAGGGTTTCCAGTATGTGCAAACACAGCGAGTGTTCCATCCATTTCACCATTCTCACAACCAAGGAGCAGTGCAGGAAGATAACCCTAGGAACACACAGTGCAACCAGCTTCCCACGAGGAGACGGGAAACTGCGTAACAGCCTCCCCCAGCCTGTCATTCCCTGTCGCTCTTTACTGAGACTGTGTCCCTTCAAGTTCACTGCAGATATCTTTAACTTCTAAAAGGTTTATGTCTTAGTGGCCTCCTTTTTCCTAACCCTAAAATTTACCTTCTCCTCTGGACCACTTCCGGGAAATACATTCTGAAGAGCTAGACTGTATCTCGCTGGGTGTAAAATTGCCTGCGTGTAAAATTCAGGCTGGAAATGACTTCCCTCAGAATTTTAGATGCTGGCATTTCTGTTGAGAAGCCCAATGCTGTAAAGTTTAAAAGGATGAAATGAAATGACAGTTCCCTCTGATCAACATCAAGCCCTGGAGTCATGCTTTCTCCCTCCCATATGTGATCCCCGGGCATGTCCTTGGGTGAAGACAGAGTGAGAGGGGCTGGGATGACACAGGGCTGGCTATGACTTCATGACTTGATAGTTGTTGAAATGGGGTGCTTGGTACATGAGAGATCAGTATATTACTCTTTCCCTGGAAATGTTTGCATTTCCCATCATTGTAATTTAAAAATAAACAGTGGTTCCCCATTTCACAGAGGGCAAAAAAAATGGTCTGTACACTGGTCATACATGATACCACCCCCTCTTACCTCTCTGCCCTCATCTCCTACTCACCTCCTCATTCACTGCTCACTGGCTTCCTTGCTGTTCTTGGAACAGGACAGGTGTACGCCTGCCTCAGGGCCTTAGCACAAGCTGTTCCCCTGCTTGGAATCCTCCTCCTCCATGCTTTAAACCTGCTCAAGCATAGTCCTCTCAGTGAGTCCATCCTGACTATTCCATTTAAAATTGTGACCTCTGCCACCCATCACTTTCCATGCCCCCTTCCCAGCTACCTATTACCACAGCAGTTATCATCCAACACCCTGTATGACTATTTACTTGTTGCTGTTCCCCCTTCCCTCAGCTGAAGTTAAGCTCCAAAAAGACAGGAATTCTTACTTGATGTGTTCACTGCTGAATCCTCAACATTTAGAATAGTGCACAGTAGGTTCTTGATGAATGGATGAGCCACATATAAACATTTTAGTAAAATGCCTGGTAGGAAGTGAGCACCATGGGACTCATCATAATCTAAAAATATGCCACTGAATCATCTGATAAATATAAGTTAATTGTTCAGCCAGTACCTTCTGTCCTGGTCTTTGGAAAGTGAGACGACGAATAACAGACATTTTCTTTGGAATCAGCAAGGCAGGGAGGGATTCCCACAGTCTTAGAAAGTGGGCAGATCTGCTTCGAATCCTGATCAGCCACTCGCCAGCTGTGTCACTTAGCCACATGGCTGAGCCTCTCAGAACCTGGTCTCCTCACTGATGGTGCTGAATGGAAATGTTCTGCAGTCTAGGGCTGGGCTGGAGGCCCCTGGGTGAGCCTCTGCCCTTCCCAGAAGATAGGACTATTTCTAGGTGATCCTACCTAGGTGCTTTGTCCCTGTGAGACCTGCTAGAGGGGTCAACAAGCAACGTTTGAAAGCACTGCTCAGGAGGGACAGCCATTGACATCACTGGGATCCCAAACTGGGTGGTGACTCAGTCCTGGCCCAGGCTAAGCCCCCCTAGCTAATCCCCTGCCCCTCAAGCCTGAGTTATAAACAAATGACTCAGGAATGATGGGAGAATGCCCCATAACAGTTCACACCAGTGTCTTGGGGGCTAAATTTAACCCACAGCTGCAGCCTCTGGCACTTTGGGAACAAGTTAATCTTGGTGGCTGAGGCCGATGTGTGTGTGCATGTTGTGGAGTGGGGGGAGGTGGTCAGCGGTCCAGAGCAGGGTGGGCATTGGGCCTGGCTGCCCCAGACCTCTACCTGGATCCCTTAGATACTAGACAGGTGTAGGGGCCCCAAGGCTGGGCAGGCTCAGGTCAAGCTTAGGATGGACAAAGAACTGAGCATAGACAGCTTTCCTGGAATATTCAACTCTGAGTGTAACTCTTTGTTTGTTAGTTTTTTTATCCCTGGGTGTTTTAACAGCTAGAATAGTTGAGCCTACAAAACTGAATCTAGCACGTCTGACAGCTTACAGTGTGAAACCCTGTGCCTGTGTATTGACAGGGACACAGAACCACAGTGAGTGGTGCTGTGTGATTCTGCCCCTACACAGAACCACAGACACACAGCAGTTCGAATCACAGCAGAACTGAACTGAAGCCCTTAAAAATCGAACTCACCCATCTCTTCACTGTGCAGGAAGGGAAACTGAGGTGCAACAGAGTGATCTGGCCTTCTCAGGCCCCACAGGAAAGTGGCGACCTTGTTTATTCGAGCGTCTTCTTGCTTTCTTGCACAGTCCAAGGAAGATCTCCGAGCTGCGGGAGAAAAGTCTTCCCATTTTAAAGCTGAGGCAACAGGTTCCCCAGGCCCAAATTCATTGAGTGGGAAACCTGAGCACACGGTGTCCAGGACTGGGTGGAGGCAGATACACTCCAAGGAGGATAGGGGCAGCTGGGCAGAAAGGCCCAGAAGGCCTGGAGGGAGACCCTTGAGGGATTGGAAGGCTTATCCCTCCTTGGACTGAGAGACAGAGCTTGGGTAATCCCCTTCCCTGAGGGGCATCACCTAGACCAAGGAAAGCAGTCAAGGCCTCACTGCGCTCCATTTAGAGAGGAGGCAGGGAGGCCCTCATCTTTCAGGGAGGACCGAGACACCCCACCCCAGTCCCATGAACCCCCGGGGGGCTGAGTCAAGGTTGCTCTGGGGGGGGGGGTCAGCCCAGCTGTCCCCTCTGCGTCATGTGCAGGAGGCCAGGCAGCTCGTCTTACAGGGCCCGGTCCAGCTCTATATATAGCCCGGCTTGGACAGCTGCGTAGACTGAGTGCGACCCAGCAGGAAGGCAGGGAGGGCGGAGAGGAGGCCACCCACCATGGCGCTGGGCTTGGAGCAGGCCGAGGAGCAGCGGCTGTACCAGCAGACGCTCCTGCAGGACGGGCTCAAGGACATGCTGGACCACGGCAAGTTCCTCGACTGTGTGGTGCGGGTGGGCGAGCGCGAGTTCCCGTGCCACCGCCTGGTACTGGCCGCCTGCAGCCCCTACTTCCGGGCGCGCTTCCTGGCCGAGCCTGAGAGCGCAGGCGAGCTGCGCCTGGAGGAGGTGTCCCCTGACGTGGTGGCCCAGGTGCTCCACTATCTGTACACGTCAGAGATCGCGCTGGACGAGGCGAGCGTTCAAGACCTGTTCGCCGCCGCGCACCGCTTCCAGATCCCTTCCATCTTCACCATCTGCGTGTCCTTCCTGCAGAAGCGCCTGTGCCTGGCCAACTGCCTGGCGGTCTTCCGCCTCGGCCTCCTGCTTGACTGCGCGCGCCTCGCCGTGTCCGCTCGCGACTTCATCTGCGCGCGCTTCTCGCTGGTGGCCCGCGACGCCGACTTCCTAGGGCTCTCGGCCGACGAGCTCATCGCCATCATCTCCAGCGATGGCCTCAACGTGGAGAAGGAGGAAGCCGTGTTCGAAGCGGTGATGCGATGGGCAAGCAGCGGTGACACCGAGGCGCAAGCCGAGCGCCAGCGCGCACTGCCCACGGTCTTCGAGAGTGTGCGCTTCCGCTTGCTGCCACGCGCCTTCCTGGAGAGCCGCGTGGAGCGCCACCCTCTCGTGCGTTCCCAGCCAGAGCTGCTGCGCAAGGTGCAGATGGTGAAGGATGCCCACGAGGGCCGCATCACCGTGCTGCGCAAGAAGAAGAAGGAGAAGGGGGAGGAGTCGGCTGGGGCCAAGGCCACTGACAAGGGCACAACTGAAGCCAAGGCGGAGGAGGAGGAAGAGGAGGCAGAGCGCATCCTACCCGGGATCCTCAATGATACCCTGCGCTTTGGCATGTTCCTGCAGGACCTCATCTTCATGATCAGTGAGGAGGGCGCCGTGGCCTATGACCCGGCAGCCAATGAGTGCTACTGTGCCTCCCTCTCAACCCAGATCCCCAAGAACCATGTCAGCCTAGTGACCAAAGAGAACCAGATCTTCGTGGCTGGAGGCCTTTTCTACAATGAGGACAACAAAGAGGACCCCATGTGCGCTTACTTCTTGCAGGTGCCTGGCCAGCCTTGGGAGGGGCGGCCAGTACTGACTTCTGGGCACTGGGGGGCGCCTTGGAACCCAGCAGAGGCTTGTGTCTACTTGTTGGGGAGTGTCATTGGGTATAGGCTGAGATGCAGACCAGGGAAGATGAGTGACAGCCACTTGCCTGAAGACTGAAGATCGTTATAGGCAGTTGACAATAAGATGTATAACTTTGGTGTCTCAGTTTCAGGGAGATGTCAGCTTTCAGATTGTCAATATGTTGGAGGCCCTAGCTCTGTGCAGGGGTTGAGGTCAGGGACAGTGAGAACGAGCAAGGTCAGTGTAGGGGTCCTGGCTAAGACCTGTGCATGAAGCTAGGATTGGAATGTGGAACAGTGTGTCTCAAACAAAGGAACCATCCTCCCTTCCCTTCCCATTGCACAGATAAGGAAACTGAGGCCCAAGAAGGAGCAGGAGGGTGAGGTGCCTGGTTCAAGTTATAATGTGACAGTGGGATCTCAGAGGGCAAACGTGGTTTCCTTGTGACTGGACATGTAGTTTTAAGCCTTGCCAGTTGGGTGAATTTGGAGACATGGAGGGGAGGATGCAGTGCTTCTGGGTGGGAACCAGTGAGCACGGAACAGAGATGGGAAGGAGCCTAGTGAGTGGTGTGCTTACTGAGGCCTAACCAGGCTGGAGAGGGGTGAGGGGCAGCATGGTGCCAGTGTTAAACTGGGGGGTGGGGAGAGCGTCTCCGCCAGCCAAGGCACACGGTGGGCGCATTGTGTATTCTCTCTAGGCCTCTGTTTGTAAATGGTGATATTATACTTCCTAGCTTGATAAAGTTGTCTGAAGGTTAATTGATGGTTATAAAGTGTTCATCAGCATAGTGCTCAGCCCTCAGAAAACTCCACCAAAAGATGAGCCACTAGTATAGTTATTAACAGACTGTTGGGAATTCCCTCTTGGTTCAGTAGTTAGGACTCCACGTTACTGCTGGGGGGTGGGATGGGGTTCAATCTCTGATCAGTGAACTAAGATCCCACAAACCATGCGAATGTGGCCAGAAAAAACGACTGTTGGAGTGCACAAGGCCACAGACTTATTACACTATAAGTCTGAAGGAGTGGGTGGCTGTATTTGGGCCTTTCCTGTGTAGTGGGATGGGATGGAAAACGGGGCAGGCACGCCTCAATTCAGGAATTATACTGGGGAAGGGCCAGGGCGGCAACTGGGCCTCCCTCTCAGAGACTCCTTCTCAGCTCTGCAAGGAATGCCCCATCACGGTGCTATAAAAGTGATCTCCGGGGCCCTGTGGGGTCGGGACCCTCGGCTGTCCTCAGCCCGATAGGAGGAGGGGCACTGTCTCCAGGCACCGCCTCCAGGCTGCGCTGGCCCTACCTGCAGGCCCGGACTCCTCAGGACCCGGGGCGGGGGGTGGACAGAAGGCGCTGGGCCGGGGCTGGGGAGAGGGGTTGATGAGGGGGCGTGGGGAGGTCACTGACTGGCCGCCCGGCCCGCAGTTTGACCACCTGGACTCAGAGTGGCTGGGGATGCCTCCGCTGCCGTCGCCACGCTGCCTCTTCGGACTGGGAGAGGCTCTTAACTCCATCTACGTGGTTGGCGGCCGAGAGCTCAAGGAGGACGAGCAAAGCCTGGACTCCGTCATGTGCTACGACAGACAGTGAGTGCGGGCTGCGGGGCGGGGCCAAGGATCGGGGCGGGGCCAATGATNGCTGGGGTCACAGATACAGGGCTGACCAGCTCAGCCGAAGTGTACAGCATTGCGGACAACAAGTATGGCTGCTTCCCGCCTCCCCGCCCCCTTCCACAGGACAGCCAAGGACGAAGGTCCCCACTGTAAACCCTCTGGCCCCGTGGCTTTGGGTCTATGTCAGCCCTCTCTGTGTCTACCCCGGCAGGAATCATAGCACCTACTTTGGGTCTCCACTGTTGAGCTTGGACATCAGCACAGACCTAGCCCCTTTACTCTGGCCAGCAGTGAGGTGGCTTCCCCTACAAGATGGGGCAAGTGTTATGGCCAGCCAGGACTGCAGGCAAGAGCTCCCAGGAGATGCCAGGTTCCTCATTCAGAGACTCATACCGGTCACTGGCCTGATGGCTAGAGATAACAGCAGTAACCAAGATAGAAGCTGCTCGGCCCAGGGAGGTCAGGAAGAAAACTGTGCTAGCAGGCCAGTTGGACTCTGCCAGCTAAAGGGTGGTGGGAGGATGCCTGAAGGCAAAGGAAGGCTAGTGCCAAGGCAGTTAGGAGGGAAAAAAGGCAAGCCCATTGGAGAAAAGGGCTTTGGTCAGGCTGGATGGAGTGTGGTGGGTGAAGGGAGGTGGGGTTGGTGGATACTGGGGCTGGAGAGATGGCCAGTGGGCTGAGGCAGTTTATCCCCAGAGTAGTGAAATGCCTCTGATGGGTTTTAAGCTCCCATCTGTGTTTTACCAAGATGCCTCATGGCAGACCATGTAGAGAAGAGATTAGGGATTTCCCAGGAGGCAGGGGTACAGCTGTGTAGCAAGTACTGATGGTGGCCTGGAGCTGGGGGTACAGCAGTGATGGGGCAGAAAGAATGCACCAGAGAAAGATCTAGGCCAGTGTTTCTCACATGCACAAGAATCTCCTGGGGATCATGCTAGAATGCAGATTCTGAATCTCAGGTCTGGGGAGGGATCTCAGAGTGTATTTCTAACAACCCCCCAGGTGATGCTGATGCTGCTGGTCCATAGGCCATACTCAGTAGCAAGAGTTCAGGAGACAGAAGAAGCAGGATTTAGCAATTGATTGAATGGTGGGGGTGAGAGGGACAGGTGGATACTTTTGTGTGAGGCTGGGAGGTCATTTATCGAGGAACTATTGAAGTTAGGTAGGAAAAATGAGGGTCCACTTAGAACATGTGGATGTGAGATGCTTGGGGGTGTCCAGGAGGAGCTTACAGGGCAGAGAGGGGGCTGAGCTGGAGGGTGGGATCTGGGGGTCAACAGTACTCCGTGGGGACAAGCTCCCTCAGGAGAGAGAGTGTGAGTGGGAGAACTGAGGCCCAGGTCCTGAGGGACAGCAGGGGCAGATGCTTTATTCAGCAAGGAAACCTACGAGGTGAGGCTGGGGAGGTGCAAGGTGAAGAAAGTCATGTCAACAGAGGTGTGTACTGTGGGCCCTGGATTCCAGAGACCTGAATTCCGGTGGTTGGGAGCGGGGTTTTGGAGGGATGGAGGTCCAACCTCGGGAGTTAGGGGAGTGAAGGCAGCTTGAGAGGCTCTGGGCTGTGAAGGGGAGAAGAGGGATGGGGCAGGAGTGCACAGGATGGTCTCAATGGTGACTGAGGTGGCCAGTAGGAGTTGGTTTTGGAGCAAAGGTGGGACCTTGGGGAGATCCCTGGTGGGTTTCACGGGGGATAGGTTGGATGGAATGGTAGGGGAACAGTGAAGGGAAACGTGAAGGGCAAGAGAATGGGGAAGAAGAGAAGACCAGAGGGTGTTCCTGAGCAGTCAGGGAAGAGAAGGTTGTGCTTGCAGAATGGATGCCTGGGAGTTGGATTTTGAAGGGTGCAGCTGAAGCTATGGATGCTGGCAGGGGACAGTCACTGGGCTTGCCAAGGCCCATGGGGGCACCCCCCTCATGCCCCCTCCTTCCCATCAGGTGGGCACCCTTTGAGGCCTTCCCACAGGAGCGCAGCTCACTCAGCCTGGTCAGCCTGGCGGGCACCCTCTATGCCATCGGTGGCTTTGCCACTCTGGAGACGGAGTCCGGGGAGCTGGTTCCCACAGAGCTCAACGACATCTGGAGGTGAGCCTGGCCCCATGGAGGGAAGAGGAATTGTGAGCAAGGCTGGCTGGGCACCGAGGCAGTGCCTGGCAGGCTCATGGGCAGGGCAGAGCTGACCGCCTTTCAGGGAACCCTGTGGGGATGGGACAGCAGACATGCCTTGCTTAGCCCAGGGTCTCTTCATTTGGTTGGGAAAGTCTGGATGTGCACACATGGCACCGTACCCCACTATGGGGTATCAACAGTGTCACAGTCAGAAGCCGATGCCCAGGTTAGGACCCAGACCCACAGAAATGGGCCCCAGGGAGCAGAGTGGGCTTTTCCTCTCTCCTCCCTCCTGAGGGAGAGAGCTGGACTGGGATTGAGAAGTAGCTGGATCCTAGCTTCTCAGTGCCTTGCTTCTTTGGTTGATCCTATCTGGGGGTGGTCAGGAGTGGTTTCAGCCATCTGGGGCAGCTTTTGAACCTTCAGTGATGCCAGTACTGCAGGCGGCCTCTAGGGAGCAGCACTGCTGGGAAAACAGGACCCAAGACATTGAGGGTGGTGGGGGTTACTTCTTGGAGGGTTCAGTTCAGAAATTCTCAAGAGGAGGGGATTGAGGAGGTGTAGACCTTCCCAGAAGGAGGTGTACTTCAAGGAGTATGGGATTCTTGGAACTTCTCTGGTGGTCCAGTGGTTAAGACTCCATCCTCCCAATGCAGGCAATGCAGGGGGCATGGGTTCCATCCCTGGTCAAGGAACTAAGACCTCATATGTTATGTGGTTTAAAAAAAAAAAGAATGTGGAATTCTTGAGAGGAAGCCCTTCCTAGAATGTAGGTTCTTTAGGTAGGTGCCCACCCCCTTCCCAGAGCATGGAAAGGAAGGAGGTGGGCCTGGGCTGGGAGGCAGCACCCCCCAGGGGTGGCCTGCTGCACTCTTCCTGCTGGGTCCCACCCTGGACTTGGCTGACTGAGCTCTATGTCCTTGTCCCCACTCCTCCCACCCCAGATACAATGAGGACGAGAAGAAGTGGGAGGGGGTCCTCCGGGAGATCGCCTACGCTGCCGGCGCCACCTTCCTACCTGTGCGGCTCAACGTGTTGCGCCTGACCAAGCTGTGACCTGCCCAGAGGGCCTGAATGTGCCCTGTCCCCCATGCTGTAGACCACGAGGCCTGGCCTTCTGGGTGGGGACTCCAGGGAGGAGTCCCTGGCAGAGGAGTTTGGCAGAGGCAGAGCCCACCTGGATCCCATCCCATCATGGTGCCCCAGGAGCTGCTTCAGCTGGGACAGGGAAATCGCTGCCCAGTGCTGGGCCTTCGGGCAGGGATAAGAAACTTTTGGCCTCTCCAGTGTCTCATATCCCCCAGTGTTCTTGGTCTATGAGGCAGAACCTCACGGGGTGTCAGACTGCACCCTGGTCTAGTCCCAGACTGGCTGTGTGCCGGTAAATGCCCCAAAGGACTCAGCCTCCTCGCCTGTCAGGCGGGGAGCAACCCCATCTAATGCACCTTGCAGCCTGAGTAAGTCTCCTTCTGCGAGAAGAATAAAGTGTCTTCTGAGCAAGCAGCTGAGTCTGGGATGAGATGCTCCAAGCAGCAGTGACCAGGTGGTTTAAAGACCTGGGGCTTCTTGTGTTCAGCTGCTGGGTTGCCAAGGTCGGTGGCCTCTGCCCTCCACGTGTGTCTCCTACACACTCTGTGTGCGCCAAGAGTTTGAGCCCCCTCCCTGGACCTCCAGCTCCTCATCTGGCCTGGACAGGGAGCTAGGAGACCACGGGAGGAAGGGGAAGGGAACGGCCAAACCACGGTAGAAAAGTCTTTTATTCTATCAGTCCAGGCCCCATCTGGCCTGGCCTGGACCAGGGCCCAGAAAGAGCTGAGCAGAACCCATCCCTCTTCCCCTCCACCCCTACTCGAGCTTCTCTTTGTCCTGCTTCTGCTCCTCCTCCAGAGCCAGGGTTCGCTCTCGCTCCTTCACCAGTTGGACACCACAGTAGGTGACAAACAGGATGGCCAGCGTGGTCTGGGGGAACCCTGGATGGGGAACAGGTCATGGGTCCTAGGAGCAGAGCCCCCCTCCCCCCGTGACTCTTCTTTCCCCACTTGACTGCCCCCTCCCTGTAGGGTCCTTGAGGAATTGCGGTGGGGTGGGGACATTTCAGGAGGTCACGATTCTCGAAGTGGACACAGGGCACATTCTATATCCACTGTCCCTCACCTGAGAGCAGCAGGCGCTGGACGACCAGCTCTGTGAACTCAGGGCTGTTCAGGCTTACAAGGTTGTACATGACGATGGCCCAGAAGTTCATGGCCCCAAAGACGGCTCGGACCCTGCGGGACATCTGCTCTGACAGAGAGGTCTGCTTGGTCCAGGAAAACATTGGCAGTGAGGCAAGAGGCCCAGGGGAAAAGAGGATACAATGAGTCAGAGGCCTTGCCCACATGGCCACAGGATCCTAGGATATGCCCGTGTCTCTGAGACTCACAGGTCAGCTCTCCCTCTTTGTTAAACATGGGAAACTGCACCCTGGAGAGAGGACACAACCTGATCAACACAGCTAGCGCCAGGTGCCCCCACCCTGCAGAAGGTAAGGGAGGGCCAGATACCCACAGGAGGAGTCATTGCCCTGATGACCAGGAGGGTGGTGGTAAGAAAGTTCTGGACTGAGAGTCAAGTGTGGCTGGAAGACTCCAGAGGTCAGTAGTGCCACCTACTCCAGGGCCCCAGCCAACCCCAGCCCCAGTCCTTCCCTGCTCACCTCAATTTGCGCTAGGGGCTCCATCTCTGCCAGCTTCTGTACCCAGAGCTCAAAATTGAGCCCAAAGCAGTTAAGGCATGACCACAGGTAGACAACATCACAAGGTCCAAGCCACAGAGTGGTGATGGCAAATGTGGCTATGGTGGCCCCCAGCTCTGGGATCACTGCAGAGTGCTGCCCACCAATGTGGTCATACACGTACCTGCAGGAAAGGTGGAAAAAGGGGCCGGTGGGAGGGTGGGAGGTGGGCAAAGGATACATGAAGTGGGGCAGCTTCCTCAACACTATCATCCGGGGCATATTCAACATCCTGGGCCTCAGGTGGCTGCTCCTCTTCTATCCAGCTTCAAAATATGGAGGGCTCAGCCTTGAACATCCCGTCCTCTCTAGCTACCTTCCTTCTTCAAGTGATCTCATCCACACCCAAGACTCTGAATGCCATCTCTATGCTGATGAGCCCCAAATGTATCTCCTGACTCATAAATCCAACTGTTACCAGACACCTCATATGAATGACGGACTCCCTCATCCCTGCCCAAACCTGCCTCATTCCCATCTCAGCTAATGACACCACCATTCATTCCGTTGCTGCCAGAACTCTTTGTGCCATCTTGGATTCTCAATTCCCCTCTCCAGTCACATCCAAGTGAGCAAATTCTACAGCCTCCACTCAGTCCTGAGCACTGCTCATGCCTCCAGTAACACCACTTGAGTCCAGGTGATCATCTCCTCTTACACAGATTATTGCAGGGACCTAAGCTATCTCCCTGCTTCTGCCTCTGCCATCTACTGTCCACTGTCCACACAGCAGCTTCTGTTGTTTAGCTGCTCAGTTGCATCCGACTCTCTGCGACCCCATGGACTGCAGCATGCCAGGCTTCCCTGTCAAGGCAGGTCTTTTAAGAGTGTAACCCAGATTACCTCACTTCCACAATTATACCCTCCCTCAATAGCTCCTCATTATAGTTAAACTCAACCACCTTCCTATGGCTAGAAGATCCCACGTTGTCTGGTTTCTCCCTCCCTCTCTGACCTCATCACCCACCATTCTCCGCCTCGTTCACTGTGCTTTCTCCTTACCAGTCTTTCTGACGCTCAGAGACACACAGCTGGTTCCTGTCTTGAAGCCTTTGTACCTATTTTTCTCTCTGCCTGGAAATCTGTCCTCCACATTCATTCAAGTCTCAGTTCATCTCACAGAGGCCTGCCTGGACCCCAACTAAAGAAGAGTCTATCCCATTACATTCTTTTATTTTCTTCATAACACTTACCACTCTCTAAAATTATCTTTCTCTCTTTTTTTTACCTGTTTATGGTCTGTTTCTCCCCACTAGACTGTAACTACCATGAGTTCAGGGTCTTTGCCATGTTCACAACTGTATCCCCAGAGCCTCGAACAGTGAGTGCCTGGCACACAGTAGATAGATACTCAATAAATATTTGTTAAATAAATTTGGTTGAAGACCTGTTGCATAGCTAGTATCTCTGTTACTTGACCTCATTTCCAATGACTTCTTCTCCACTCCCATGGCCACACCCCAACTTCTTCACCACTTCTTTTACTTCTTCCTGATTTCCATCCTTCACCCAGCCCCACTAGGGACTGATCTGACTCCCTAGTTCCACTTCTTCAATCTCATTGACTCCCCCTACCTTCCTCATCTCCTGATGCCATTCTATTTTTACCACCCTTCTTAACAGGCTTATATTCAATGAGTCATCATCACAAATAACCTAAAAACCCTTCTCCCTCACTTCTTCTTTCTCACCCATCTGGGAAAGCCCAAATCACCCATTTCCTCCTCACCTTCACCCTAGAAACTAAACCCTGATGGGAAGAATCCCACACCTTGTCATATTAGAATCCATAAACCCACCACCTCCCACACTATCTGGGCTGTCAGTGTCCAAGTTTCTCTAGTCAGTTCTTCTCCCAGGCTCTGCAGTGCTACTCCACCTTCATCTCTCCGGCAGGTATGAGTGGGTGTGCGGTGATCTAAGCAAGGGAGGCACATAGAAGCTGCCGCCCTCCATCCCCAAACAAACAGCTCTCAGCAGATGACCTTGTTTCACAGAGAAAATCGAAGCCTTCAGGAGGAATCCCTCACCTTTCCACACTCACCCACCATTCTTCTACATCCACACTGGCTTTTCTTCCTCCTCCCTGTCCTGAAGCCAGACCTCTGCCTGGCACTGGTTCCATTGCCTCTTCCCTTCTCAGGAACCTCCCTCCATCAATCACCCCTCTATCCTACATTGCCGACTTCTTCCCCTCTACTGAATAATTCCTCTCAGCACCCAAGTATGTCTCATTATTTCTTGTCTTTAAAACACCTACTTCTCCCTTCAGCCATTCCTATGTGTCCCCTTTCAGTGCCAAGCTTCTTCCAGGGGCTGTCCACGTCGGAACTCCCCTGCAGCTCCTCAGTGCCCCCCCACCCCCAACTTTCCCTCTCCTCCCCTGCCCCTGTGTCTCCCGGGAAACGCTGAAAACCTGCAGGCAACCAACACTCATGCTCAGTCTCTGGCTTCAGCAGCATCCAACCTGCTTGCCCCCACTATGCCAGAATGGGCTTCCCTTACCTTCCAGGGTGTCCCATGATCCTGACTTTTCTCCTGCTCCTCTGACACTCCTTTTAGGCCCTTCTGCCAGCTCTGCCTTCTCCCTTCAACTAGAGTCCTTCCTAGCACACGACTTCCTGGGAGTCATCACCCCCTCCTTCCTGATGCCCTCAATCTGGGGTCAAGTCCTGTCCAGGCTGCCCTGCTGTGTGTCTCCACTCCACTATTCTCTCACCTCCAGGGCCCCTACCCACGTCCAAACCCCCATCTTTCACTTAAACCTCTACCATGACCTCCTCACTCCCACCTTGCTTCCTCTGGCCCAGGGGGTGACCTTTGAAATCGTGGACCCATCTGGACAAGGCCCTACTGAGACACCTGGGGGATGGCTGTGACATCCCCCCACCCCACGCCAACTCACTTGCAAAGCCAGTCATTGATGCCACGGTCAAAGTGTCTGTAGGAGGAGAAGAGAGCAGACAGGTGTAAATCGGCCAGGCGCCCAGCTCTGGAGCATGGGGGAAGAGGCTAAGGGAAGGTGGGGATACCGGGGGCGTGTCCCCGGACCTCTCACTCACGTCTCTGCGAAGACATAGAGCGCTGTGATGCACTTGGGAGGCTGGGGCGGGTCCAGATGGTCGAGGCGCGCAACGGTGTTGACGACTCCGAAGAGGACAGCCGCCTTCACCCAGTCGTACACCAGGTTTGAGTAGGCTAGGCCAGCTGCGGACAGAGGGTCGTTACTGCCTGGGGGCCGTCACATTGGCATCCCCTCCCGCCCCTCACCCTGCCCCGGGCCTTCTCAAATCCAGCGTGGTAGATGAACCCAGCCTTTACCTACGGAAAATTACCAGCTCCTGGGGCGGTCCTTGCGCGCGGACCGCCCCCACGAGGCTCCGCCCCCACGGAGGTCCCGCCCCCTCTACGGAGGTCCCGCCCCACTTCCGAGGGCGGGGCTGGCCCTGGGGAGATGCTGTCTGGCTGTGGAAATCGGCCCTAGGCCCCAAGTGGAGTGGGGCGCCCTCTGTAGGATACCCCTCCGGGCCTCACAGGGCAAGCCTACCTCCAAGTCCCGCGCATTTCAAACAGCAAAGCCCCGCTCCCCCACCCTTCCTTAGATGCTGCCGCGGCTGTGACTCCGCCGCTGTCGGGGGGTGGGGGGGGCGGGTGCTGAGGTCGGTTCTGAAGTGGCTGCCCACCCCCGTCCCTCTGCTGGGCCCGGCGCGCACCCACCGAGGGCGCTGTCCGGGAGACGGTTGACGAACTTGAGGTCACTGGGGATGGTGAGGATGTAGAAGAAGTGGAAGAAGACGTCCACGGCCAAGATGGCTACCACGCTGAGTCCTGCTTGGGCCCTGATGCGCCACATCTCGCCCTCTGGCCGCACGGGCTCCACCTGGCTCACCTGAGGGGACGCCAAGTGTCTGAGCGGGGAGGCCAGCCCTGCCTGCGGGAGGAGCCCTGTCTGAATGGTGAGTCACCAACTGTCGGTACCTGAGGGTGAGGGGAGACGCCGCTTCATCCCGGCTGCCCCTAGTGTGGAGACCAGGCCCCTCTGGCTCCGGCGAGGGGTTCACTGCCAGTCATGGTGGGGGAAAGGGGCCTAGTCCTGTCTTGGGGGCCCACAGGGTGTCCGTCCCCTCACCTGAGCGTGGAAGCGATCAAAGGTCATGATGGGTCCGAAGAAGAAGAAAGGCAGGTAGAAATTGTACTTGAGCAGGTCGGCTAGGGAGTAGCGGCGGTCAGGGTGGGCACAGCTCTCCAGCGCGAAACTGGTGCAACGCAGCACCGTGAAACCGCTGCCCCCGTGAAACAGCACCTCTTGAAGATCAAAAGTCCCTGTTACAAACCCGCTCTGGATGGGAGAGAACAGGCCGTCGGCTCACCAGGATGCCCCTTGTCTCTGGGAAGCCCATCCCGCTTCCAGCAGGGGCCCAGCCTGGTCCTGCCCTCTCCCTCTGCCGGTGCAAGTCAGCACTGGCCGCCCAGCACCAGTTAAGTGCTGGGGTAGAGCCGGACATGTATGCTGAGGTGGAGGTGACTGCCTCATGGGCCAGACATGCTGTGTAATCAAAGGGTTGAAGACAGGTGGGAAAGTGAAAGACATGCTTGGGGAGACTCTGGAGGCCAAGGTTTTGGATGTAGTAAGATGTTTGGGGTCTGGTCCCTGCACCCTCCACCCCTGCCCTGCCCTGCCCCAGCACACACCTGCCAGGAAATGAGGGGGTCCAGCTTGAAAGAGGCAAGGCTGGCCAGGCCGACGCCAAGACAGAGCCAGGGCTGGCCAAAGAGTGAGACAACATAGAGGCCCACACAGTGGCCAAGCAGCAGCAGCAGGTACCAAGGGCCCATGATGCCCACCACGGCCAGGGCCCCATACACAGTGTACATCCAGGAGCGGAGCTGTGGACAGGGGAAGTGTGAATGTGAAAGTGTTAGTTGCTCAGTTGTGTCTCTTTGCAACCCCACGGACTGTAGTCCGCCAGGCTCCTGTCTGTGGAATTCTCCAGGCAGGAATATTGGAGTGGGTTGCCACTGGAGAAGGCTTCAGTTACCTCTTCAAGTAAATGGAAGTGGGACCCCAGGATGGCCTTCCCACAACCCTTATGAGGGGAAAGGGAGGGGGAGGCTGGGGTGGCTCAGGTCCAGCTCACCTGGGGGGCAATCATTGTGCAGAGTTTAGCAAATAGCACGTGTCCGGAGAGGGTGAAGATGATGACATTGCGGAAGGAGGTGAACCACATGACCCATTCGAAGTCAGCCACATCCTGGGGCAGGTCCCGGCAGGTTAAGGTGGGGTGGAGGCAGAGTGGGCTGGTCAGGGTCCCAGCACCTTCCCCGCTCCCAGAGCCTTCTTATACATTAGAGGAGAGCAGTGGCGGAAGGTCCCTGCCTTCCCCTCTTGTGGCAAGTACCCGGAAGATAGGTTGAGAGGAATGAGGGGCACTATATGGGCTGCCCTGCTCCTCGGAGCTCCCCCTCTGCCCAGCACCTTGCCTGACATTCTACCATTATTGCAGTGTTCTGGGGAGGATGGTGCTGGAGGCCCTGCTGAAGCATGCCTCGAGTTGTTTCTTAAATGAGCAGGGTCTGGGAGACTTGATGTGACCCCAGGAGGACAGAGGAGGGACCACTGGAGGAATTGAGGCTGCTAAAATTCAAGCCAGGGACCCTCCCCACTGAGAGCCCTCTTGTTATGTGGGACCATTGGGAACAGGGGAGAGTCAAGCAAGGTTTGGGACGGGAAAGGTGTGCCAGGGATCAGGGACCCCGGTCAGGTACCCCGAGGTGTGGGGAACCTACCATCTTCCGACCAATGTACTCCCAGCCGGGTCTCACAGACTCCCGGAAAGCCTTCCTGTGGGCCCCATCTGAGAACAGAGTGTGGCCTCAGGGAGGGGTCCCTTCACACCCATACCTGCTTCTATAGCAAGGCTGATGCCACCCTAGGGAGAGGAGAGAAGGTCTGGGTCTCTCTCTGCCTTTGATTCTCTCTAGGTCTCGCTGTGTGTCTGGGGCCAGGTCTCTGTATTCCCGAGTGTCTGAGCCTCTCTGTTTCTGTCGCTCTGGCTCTGGCTCTGTCCAGGTGTCTGTTGATTCTTCGGCATTTGAATCTCCCTATGATTGCATTTGGCTCAACACCCCCCCACCCCGACCCCTTCCCTGCTCAGGGCCTAGGGACTACCCTTGAGTCTGGGGCTTCTTAAGTTTCTACCTTGCTGGGCAGAGAAACTTGCTGAGAACCCCAGGGGAAGAAGGGTCCCACCCCTTTGCCCCTGGGCCCAGCTGTTACCTTGTGAGGCCTCAAGGAGGCCCCGGCCAGCATAGGCTAGGGCCCCACTCAGCACCAGGGAGTACAGGCCTAGCTCTGCCGCGGGCAATGCTGTCTTGATGCCCATAGCCTGGATGGCGCTGAGGGAGAAAGATCCGGTGAGGACCCTGAACCCCCCAGCACTGCCTCGTGCAGTTCTTGGTCCCTCACTGAGGTGGTAGGGATCCCACTCTGAAGAGAAACTGCCTTTCCTGCCCCTTGGGGACCTCATACCATCCTTCCCCCCCACCTATCTCCCGCTCCTCCCAGGCCCCCTACCACCTGGTGCCCCATCCTAGCTGCCACTCTAGCTCCCGCCCTTCCCACCGAAGGCTCTTGAAAGCATTCTGTTCACTCTCAGCCTGCCTTCCTCACCTTCATTCACTCCGCCATACCTTTCAGGTGGACCGGTCCCCACCCTCTGCTCAAACTGCTCCTCCAAGGTCTCAGATGACTTTCACGTGGAGAAATTCCCTCTGCATCACCTCCGTTGTATTTCTGGCCCCCAGGGTCTGCACTCCTCTCAGTAAATCTCCCACAGTTTCCGACAAAACCCCACCCCCTCGGGGCACCCTTCTGTGATTCCCTACCTGCTCCTGAGCTGCCTTTACTTCTCAGGACCTTCCCAGGTCCTGCCCTAGCACCGAGCCTCCATCCCTCTCATTCAGCCTCTAGCTTCTCACTGACCCCCATTACCTCACCCAGCCCCTGAGCCTCAGCCTGCCACCCCCGTGGCCACACCGGCCCACTCTCTCAGTGCTCTGTGTATTCAGGCCCTGGAAGCTGGCTGGAGGAGTGCTATTTGAAGAGGTGCCCTGGAGTAGTGGGTGTGGGGCTAGGCTGGCCCAGGCAGACACCAGGGAGTGTGCTGGCCCCTGCCCAAGGTGCTGACCAGTCTTAGGCTTAGGGTGAGCCTGGCCACTCCCTCCTGCCAGGGCCTAGCTCATCCCCAGGAGTCCTTCTGGGTCATCTCTGGGACCTCAGTTAGAGCCTGTGCCCTCTGTATCCTGCTCCAACCTAAACCAGGACCTTCCCAGGGGCCCTGTGGGTGACAGGCTCAGGGCCCAAATTAAAGGGAGGAACGTGTCTAGACATCTTTTCGGTCTGGGCTGAGCAAGAGGGTGGCTGGCATAGCCCTGTCTCCTGCCCCAGATCCTCTCCCAAACCTCCCTCACCATTTCTGAAACCAGCTCCTCTGGGCCGCTAAAGTCAGCATTCTCCCTGTTGCAGTGATGGAGGGGTCAGGGACCAGAGAGGGGCAGGGACCTGTCAAGGTCACACAGTGGACCAGGGACGGGATTGAGTGGTCTCAGTGAGCCCCCTGGAGTCCCTAATTGGAGAAGCCAATCTGTTGCCTCTGCCACTACCAGGGGGCTGCCCGACCTGACTTCTCCACTTCGGGCCTGAGGGCTGAGGCACCTTCTCATGGGCCGGGTGGGGGTAGGGAGGCCCTGAGGATCGGGTTAATGGAGCAGAAGCTTGAAACCGGAGCACGGTGAAGAGCCTGCGAAATAGCTTTGTCAGCTGCCTCCCACTCGCCACTTTCCAATTTTAGCTCCCCATGGCCGGTGCCGGGTATCCCCAGTGAGGCCTGTGTGAGCGCGGCCGTGCTGGCCCCCAGCCTGGGACCTCTCCTGAAGGACCCCCGGACCTGGGCCCGCCAGTGGACAAAGGAGTGCCCCCTGCCCGCTGACCTGCCCGCCTCAGGTACACCTGGAGTAAAGCTGGCTTGGAGCCTGAGGTTTGGGATGAGGAACCTGGGGTGGGTTCCTTGGGTCTCAAGGACCCTGAGGTGGCTGCATCCCTGGCAGGCACTGACCTTGAGGCAGCTGTGAGGGACCCTGGCACACTGCCCACCTCGGGGCTCCGGGGTCCTGCGTCCGACCGTGCGACCGTCCGATCAGCTGGGCTCTGGGGCCACGGTGGGGTGTGTCCAGCCCTGGGGTCCCCACCCCCTCGAGGCTGTGATCGGTGAGTGGTGACAGCGGGAGGAGGGGGGAAGGAGGAGGGCAGGGAGGAGGTGGCCTTCCTGGAGCGGAGCTGAGCGAGGTGGAGCAGAGCCGAGTGCTGCAGAGCTGCTGGCCACAGGGAGCTGCAGGGAGGATGGGGGGGCAGAGGGGGTGCCACTGGCATCGGCTCCCACCGGGACACCTGGGCCTGTCTTCAACCTGCCTTCCCTGGTCCATAGAGCCTGTGTCTCCCTCTCACTGCTCGCCGGGACGCCCCTCTTCCAGGAAGCCTTCCAGGTGGCCCCCGCTGACTTCTGCAGGCTTGTGAGCTCTGCCCTGCCTTGCCACACTCACACCATGCACACGCTTTGATGGTCAGCTGCATGAATTTCGGCACACACTTTTACGTGTGAATTCTCAGGGCACCCCCACCTAGCCCCCTGTCCTGGTCCAGTTTAGCATGCAGAGTCCTGCCTGGCCAGGCATCAGTGCAGGGGTGGAGGACTTAGTGGCCCAGTGGAACTGGAACTGACAAGAGAGATGTGAACCCCCCCTACCCTGACCCTGTCCCACGGGGAGCTGCCTAGGTGGAGGGGTGCCAGCAGGTCCTCAAGTGTAGGCACTCTCTCCATGCAGGATGGAGGCAGACCGCAGTGCTCCGAACCAACTGGGACCCCTCTGGGGGAGACAGGACCCTCATTCTGGGAAGGGGTAGCCAAGGCCTCAAACCAGCCAACCTGATACAGAGGGGTATCCTGAGGGCCACTCTACCCCGGCTCCAGCACCCAGTGGGTCAGACGGATACATGAGTGGATGCCGGACCCGAGAGTTCCCTGCTGGGGCGTGTGCCAGGGTCCCTCACAGCCTCCTTAAGGCCAGTGCCACCCAGTGATCCAGCCACTCTGGGATCCTCTGGGGTGAGGATCTCAGTCTGTGAGGGCCTGTGTGTGCACGTGCAAGGAGGGGCAGAGTTGGGGGGCAGAAGGAGCTGTGTGGTGGTCATTCATCCAGGATAGGTCCTGGAGCCCATGCTGATCCCCTGACCCCCGTCACAGGCTTAGCTGAGACTAGAGGGGGGAGGGGTGCTCTCCTCCGTCTGCCCCCAGCAGGGGCACTTCCAGGGCCTGAGCAAGGTGGCAGGAGAAGGTCCCCTACCTTCCCATAATGTCTTAAGGCGACAAGCTGCCTCCCAGCACACACTCCCCAGAGTGACACAGAGGCCGGTGTGGCTGGTCCCTGACTCTGAGGAAGCGGTGATTCCTGCCCTGTCGGGGCTGGGTGGGGGCTCCAGTCATGGATCATAGGTGCTAGAGGAGGCCAGCATCAGGCAAGGGTGCCTAAGCCAGGCTGAGGGGGTTAGGGCTGGCTTCCTGGAGGAGGTGGGACACCTGAACAGAATCCCGACGTAGAGGCAGTGATGGTTAGAGGAGAAACAAGTTAATCACGGTAGCCAGGCATGGTTGTAAGACTGTACATGGTTTAACTCTTTTTAATGTCACCACAATCCCTCGGGAAGGGGTGGTTACCATTTTTCCTAGTTGACAGAAAAGGAAACTGACGTATGAGGAGGTTAGAATCAGCTGTTGGGCCAACTGCATAAGCTTCTGGAACTGGTTGCCCTGCATGGGCAGGAACCCGGCACACCCACACCCGTGCTGGCTGAGACCAGCCTGGGCCAGCCATCCAGCTGGTGCCCTTGTAAGGCTCAAAGAGAACGACTCTGGGGAGCAGATGGGGTGGTCTGGCTTCACCATTAAGAACCCAGGTGCAGCTGGGCTGACTTGAGCCTGAGCTCCTCCTTGCTGGCGATTTACTTCTCTGAGCCTCAGATGGGCATCTGTAAATGGGCACCCTGCCGGCCCTGACCTCACTGGGTCAGGGGATTTGACGACTCCCTCCATGGCCAGGGCCTGGCTCACTGGACTGCTCATAGAGAGAAGCTCTTAAGAGAGGTGGTGACCCCTCGCTCGTTCCAGAGGCCCGGACAGGCAGCACTCATACACAGCAGGAGGTCCACCAGGCAAGCCCTGTCGGGAGCTTGGATGGGGTGGACGGCAGGTGGGTGGAGGGCTAGGGAGGCCTCTTGGACCTCGGGTTAGACAGCCTGAGGCCAGCTCTTCCCTGCCTGAGGGGTGCCAAGGGGAGGGCGCCTGGCACCCACAAAACAAGGGGCAGGAAGTGACTGACTTAAGATCAGCAAGGGCCACTGGGAAAGATGGGTAGGGGGCCAATTCTCTCAAGTGTCAGAGTCCTTTTTATTTGTTTCTGGTTGCTGCTCATAGTAAAAATTTGGGGAAAGTATGTGTGTGTGGTATGTTGTTTATGGCATGTGTATGTGTGTGTGTGTGTAAGGCTCAGGGACTGTAGGAGATAGGGTATATGTGCAGGCAGAGCCTGTGAAGATGGAGCGGGTGGGCAGATGCTTCCTTGTGTGGTGGCTGTGGTCTCGCTGGAGGAGGGGTATGGGGGCCCGGAGGAGTCCTCCAGAGGGCCAGGGGCAATGGAATGTGTTTGGGGCTTGAATCAGCCTGAGCCAGACTGCAACCTTATTCAGCTCAGCTCTGGTGCCCCAGAGGCCCCCACAGGGACAGTGGCCAAGCCACACCCATGACCCAACCAGGTGTCACCTGTCAGTGTTGGAACCTGAGCACCCAGGCCCACAGCCCAAGGTGTGGCCAGGGACAGTCCTCACGTGAGGCCTCTCCATCCTTGGCCTCTTTGTTGCACTCTCCGGGCACCTGTCTCCTATTCCCACCACTGTGTGGCTCTGGGCAGGGACCTCAGTGTCCCCATCTGTGAGAGGAAAGTCCAGCCTACTGGCTGCCCACTTGCCTGAGGGCTAGGGAGGTCCTCCTCAGGGACAGGCACTGCTGCTCAGGGCACTCACCTGGACAGACCAGGTTGGTCCACTCCCCACCCAGCCCACCTGAGTTAGATCCTTCAGGGCCCCGTCCTGGTCCCTTTTGACAACACTTTCTTCTTCCGGGCCTTCCCCTTCCACCCCCTCCCACCCATACCTCAGGGAGAGCAGAAGGATGGCCCCTGTCCCACTCAGACCTGGGCAATGAGCCTGGAAGTTAGAGGGATGGTGGGAGGCTCTGAGGTGCGGTTTTCTGTCTCTGCCTCCCTCCACCCCACCCCACCTCTTCCTGCTCCATCAGGGCCCTCTGTTTCCCACGCCTCTTTGACCAGACCAACAGCTCTCTAAAGGCAGCAGCAACAAGTCAGGTTCACCTCTGGGCCCCTAACAGGCCTGGAGAGGCTGGCATGCTCTTGGCCTTCGGTGACTACTTGACGGCCAGCTGGCTGGGTACATGGTGGCTTGGGAATCTGTCTCCCCAGCTGGTCTGGGGCTTCTAGGATCTCAGGGGCCGAGTCTGCCTTACCCGGCGCCCCCTTACCTGGGGCAGAGGAGCTGCCCGACAAGTATTTGTGGAACTAATAGAGGAGATACTGAGGGCTGACATTTATTGAGTGCTTACTGTGTACCAGCCACTGCGCCAGCACTTAGCACCTTTTAATTCAGGGAGTCCTGAAGTGGGATTCTGCTGGGGGAGTGGAGTAGACCTTTAAGCTAGCCCCTCCACGTGTGTGTGTGTGTGTGTGTGTGTGTGTGTGTGTGTGTGTGTGCAGAGGTAGATGTACATTCCTGCTAAAGAAGACCAGTCACTTGTGTCACTTGTGCAGTGACTCACATAGGCGGCGTACATACTGTGAACCCCCCCCCCCCAGGGAAAGCCATCCACAGCTTCCTGGACCCTGTCTCTTGGAGCCCTTCTTCAAGGATGGGGCTGAGGAGGGAGTCCATGCTGGCCCCCCTACTCGGAGTCTCAACCCTGCATGGGGTGACAGGTCTAGAGACTTCAGCAAGTGTAGTGAAGGCAGTCAGGATGAAGGGCCCCTCAGGTTTCCTGGGAAGGAAGTTTTTCTCTGATGCCACTTGAAGGTTAATGGCCAGGCAGGACCTATGAGTCTGGAGTCAGCACCATCTGTTGGCACATGTGTATACATATGATTCATACTCCCGAGTCCAGGGATTTGTGTGTGTGTGTGTCTTTGTGTGGGCCCGTGTGAGCAGAGATGTGGCTGCCCTCCATGGAGCCACCCCTCCCCACGACAGTAACTGCAGTGGAGGGGGTGACCCTGTGGCAGTCACAGAGGGGCCTGGAGCTCTCCTGCAGCAGCGCTCCCAGCTCAGCCCTGTGCCGTGGGGAGGGAGGTACACTCTTCCTTTGCCTGGACCCACTGCCTCAAAATCTTCCTGCTGGCCTCGCCTCTGCCCTCTGCCACCAGTGCCCACCAGCTGCAGCCTTTGGGAAGCAAAAAGAGGTGCCTCTTGGAGCAGCTGGTGGGGGGCAGAGCTGCCCAGCAGTGGGTAGCACGCCCACCCGGGGTAATCAGCTCAAGGAGGCCCAGGCTTTTAGAGGCCCTGGCTTTTGGAGGCATGCAGACCAGGGTTAAATATTAGCTCTGTGTCTTTCCATGAGCCTCAGTTTCTCCATCTGTAAAACAGAGTGACAACCCCCTGGGTTATTGGAGATCTTGATGGGGGTCAGGTTTACACAGTAGATGCCCACTCACTGGGATCTGCAATGATCATGAAAATAATCATTATTATTACACACCTGAGGGTCTGAATCTAAGGAAGAACCCTAAGGTGTGGGTCGACAAGATGACTAGGAGCATAGTGGCCCCCAAGTCTGCAGAGGGAGGGATGCCCACAGATGGAGCCCTGGCTTGGGATTGGCATTGGGCTATGAGGATGCTCTGATGAGGGAGATGGAGTGTGACTGGGTGGCTGGGGGATGTTCCCAGCCCAGAGCCCTCTGCATCCTCCTGCACATGTGGAGCTCTGTGGGCCTGCAGGGGACAGGGGCAGTGAGCACCTGCCCAAGGGACTGCATCTGTCCGTCCACAGCTGGCTTCTCATCCCAGAGCTCTTGCTGATGCTGACAGGGTGTCAGTCTCCTTCCCTGCTGTGGCTAAGCATGCCCAGGGATATTGCCCTCCTGCCATGGGGTATTGGCTCTGGTCACCTTTGAAGCACCTCTTCTGGCAGAAGGGGCCCAGATGGCTGTTTCAGGTTGGCTTCCAGGAGCAGATGGAGTCCTCAGATAGAACCTCGTCCTCTCAAGGCCTAAGGCTGCCCTGTCCAGCCAGGCTGACACTGGGCTGCCATCCTAGTGCTTGTCTGCTTTCTGCTGCCGCAGGGCCTGCAGGAAAACCCCTTTCACCTGGTCCAGGGTCTCATGGTACATTCGGAAGTCCTCCTCCTTTCCCTGCAGGGCATTGCCTAGGGCTGCCTTCAGCATTTCATTCTCCTCCACCTGGATGGCCAACCTGGACCACACAGAGAGAGGGCTCAGCATGGCTGAGCTGGCACATGTGAATATGTGTGCATGTTTGCAAAGGGCCCTGGGGCTGCCAGCACAGCTGTTCTTCACACTCAGGGTACTCTCTGACCAGTCCCCTCCTCTCAGGGACCCTTGGGGAATAATACCATATGGGATTCCTCTCTGGGCCCACTCAGAGCTGCTGGGCCTAGTATCTGGAATCTCCCCAAAATGTTGATTGCCTCAAGGCATGAGTACTAATTTATAGAGGTTCCCCTTTCTTCCTTTCCCACCACTGCATTTGACCTTAAAAAGTTTAAGTTGAATGAGAAAAGTGGGTTCAGTAACCCACACATGATAAAGCTTTTCTTGGGACCAGATCTTTAGTCATAGTTGGGTCTCTCTGCCCCCTGATGGCCAGCCACTGAATTGCAGGCCTAGAACCCAGGACCTTGCAGGACCAGCCTTCTGGCCAAATAGAAGTCAGGGGGGGAAAAAAAAAAAAAAGAAGTCAGGGGGGAAGCGATGTGGTCCCTCTGCCTGTCAGAGCACCTCCACCCATGCAACATCACCCTTTCCAGAAGAAGGGGCAGGGGGCACCTGGTGGTCAGCTCCTCCATCTGGGATTCCATGGGCACGCTGGAGAGCTGGGTGGAAGATGGGTCCTTCCTCTCACTTTCGTTCGGGTGGTGCCTGGTGTTTGAGGTAGGCAGACCTGTGGGGCAGCAGTGGCCACTTTCTGTGATGAGACCATGGCCCTGTGTTAGCATTTCCCCCACCCCCAACCCCCAACTGTCCACTTCCTGTTTTTCCACTTTTTGAAACATTATGCCTCCTTCAGGGTATAGGCTGCCTCCCTCCAGGCCCTGCTTTGTACTGAGATGGCTCCTCTTGTTAATGTTTCCATGTTGGCATTTTACAAGTTTCTGGAAGTCAGCTGGGCCTGAGGTCTGGCCTGCAGGTTGGGTCTGAGTCTAGGCGGTCATTGGACCTGATGCTCTCTTACCATTGGGCCCCTCACCCCCAGCTCTATCCATACATATAGGGGATCCAGGGTGGCTGGGTGCAGGGGACAAAGAGTGCTCGGAAAAAGAAATCAGGGCCCACCTGGTGGGGAACTCGAGTACTCTCACAGTATCAGAAAACCTCTGTGCTGAATAAGACCTCAGGGGCGGCATGGTGCAGGGTAAATCACCTGACATCAGCAGCCCTGGCTTTTACCTCCTGCTGTGTGACCCCAGGTAAACCATCAACCTCTCTGAGCTGGTTTCCTCACCTGTTTTGTGAGGAGAATAGTTCTTGCCTCCAGAGCACCATGAGGCCACAGTGAATGCACATCTGGCCCTCAAGGCCTGTGTGATGGAACCACCTCCTCAGCACTTCATGACTTCCCTACCTCACTTCATATTCCCCTCCCCATGCTGTAGTCTCACTGCCTCCAAGCCTCCAGCCATGTACCCATCTCAGGGCCTTTGCACTTGTTCTTCCCACTGGTACCTATGCCACATTCCCACCCCATTCTGCTGTCTTTGCTCAGATGTCAGCTCATCAGTTAGGGTGACTGCTCCACAGAAATCAGCTGCTCTCTGTACCTCCTGTCCTCTTCCTCTGCTGTGAGCCACAGCACCTGCTTCCATCTAACCTACCATCCTTTGTTGGTTTGTTTATTGTTCTCTCCCCCACTGGCATGGAACTGCCACAAGGGACCACATTTCACAATCAGGCTTCCTATTGTATACATGAAGGGGTGTGCTGTGCCCTCCAGAGGGGTAGTGCTTCTCCCAGGTCACAGGCAGCATACACAGAAGCCACATGGTCACTTTCTCTCCAGGCAGTTGCCCCTTTCTTGTCCAGGCAGTGCCAAAGTAGTTTTCTTACTGTGGCTTAGCCCTCCCTAGTTGGGAGGTCGGCTGCCTGGCAGGAGGTAAGTCCAAGGTCAGGAGACACTACATCCTAAGGGACCTGTTCCTGAGAGCTCAGCAGAGCTAAGCCCTGTAGTCCTTCCCCAGCCTGTACTCTCAGCAGCTCCTGGAAGGCCCTGGAGTCTTGGCTCTGCTGGTGGGAAAGGGTTTTCCTCCCTCTCTGTGCCCTACTTCTGGCACGTCCTACAGTGTTCTGATCTCACCTTCCCTGGGAAAAAAAGATCTACGTGTCCTTGGCTGGGGGAGGGGTACTGTGGTGTTGAGAGGCAGGGAAGTGGGGACAAAAGTCCATGCCAGAACCTGGAGGGGTTGGGATAGAGATATCAGAGAGAGGCAGATCCATCATCTCCACACTGAAGATTCTCCCTCCCCAGAAATGGCTTCTGGCTCTGGCATCTTGCACCCCCACTTCCCCCGCCCCACAAGATGCTGCTGCTTGTGGTCCAGAGACTGTACCTTAAGAACCACTGTGTTAGAGCCACAGAACTGAACTTCTAGTTTAGGACACCTAGACTTCCCTCTGCAGCTGGTGTGGTCACGTGACTAGGGTCTGGCCAATGGGATGGAAGCAGAAGTGACCTGAGGAACCTTAGGGTCCTGCCCTTGGAAGCTGAGGGGCTCAGGACAGAGGCCAGAGCCAGTCAGCAGCCCCTCCACCAGGGTAGAGCTCAGCCTGCCTCTGCTGCTGCATGTCCTCTCCCCCTGGCCCCCCATTCAGAACCAGGAGCCCCAGAACACCATCAGCCCATGTGGCCCTGGGCTGGCCCCACCCCCAGCCCTACCTGTTTTGCTCCTGGGGGCTGCTCTCTGAGAGGCTGACATCCTGCCCGGCTCTAGGCGCATCTTCTCCAGGTGCTGCTCCAGCACCACGGCGCGGTGCCGCTCCTCCTGCAGCCTCCTCTCTGACTCCAGAAGCTTGCTGTTCCTCTCCTCCACCCTGGTGATGAGAGAACAAGGGTCACCATACTCCCTGGCACCCACCTGCTCAGACCTGAGAGAGCTGGGCGCGTCTTACACTGGTGGGCACGGGACTCCATTCTTCCTTATTTTTATTGCAGTAACATACATATGTGCATTTAAAAATCATATAGTTCTCTCTAAGCCTTAAAATGGAAAAAAAAATGCAGCCTCTTCCCACCATTCCTCACTCCCAATTCCTGCTCTCCAGAAGCAACCACTTACACCACTTTTAGCTGTTCTTTCACTACTGCCATATTTCTACAGATGCTTATGCTGCTATTTTTTAAGGTTTAAATATAATCTTATGAGTATATCTTATGCAACATGAGATTTAAGTTTTATTTTAGTATTTTCTCCTCACCAAACAGAATCACCTCACCACCTTGCAATGTAGTTATATTACCATTATTGGGGGCTGAATGAATGTTAGGTGGCATATTTGTTTTCTATTGCTGCTGTAACAAATTACCACAGACTTAGCTTAAAACAATGCAGATTTATCACCCCATGGTTCTGTAAGTCAGAAGTTTAGCAGGTCCTATTGGTTTCTCTGCTCCAGGTTTTATAAGCCAAAACCAAGGTGTTGGCTGAACTGGGCTCTTACCTGGAGTTTCTAGGAGAGAATCTCCTTCTAGGCTTGTCCACGTTGTTGGAAGGCTTCAGTTCCAGTTGAAGGACTGAAATCCCTGTTTCCTGTTGGTTTGTTGGCTGGGTGACTTTCAACTTTTAGAGACTACTGGGCCCCCTCCATCTCCAAGGCCAGCCGGGTACCCTTTTCATCCTCTGACTCTGACTTTTTCTGTAGCACCTCTCTGTCTGACTCCAGATGGAGAAATTTCTCTGCTTTTAAGGGTTCAAGTGATTAGACTGGGTAATCCAGGATAATCTTCCTGTTTCAGGGTCCATGATGATTATTACATCTGCAGTCTCTTTTGCCATATAATATAAAGTATTCACAGGCACAAGAGTGGGGGTGAAGGACACAGAGAAGAAAATCCTGTCTATCACAGGGGGTTACATTAGGACACTCAAGAGGCAGTATATTCATGATTACCTTTTTTTTGGCCATGTCACACAGCATGTGGAATCTTAGTTCCCCAACCACAGATTTGAACCAGGGTCCTCTACAGTGGAAGCACTCCGAGTCCTGAGCACTAGACTACCAAAGAATTCTGGACATTTTCTTTCTTATTTGCTTGCTTTGCTTAGAGTTAGTGATTGCTTTCTGTTCATTATTATGATTACTTATTATTTTCTATATACTTGTCATGAATTTATGGGCCTTCAAGTCCTTGCTATTTGGTTATTTCACTGAAGGATCTGATTATTTTCTCACTGAGTTTGAGGCTATGGTCCTTCTTATGGTGAGGTATGGCATTTCAGCCTTTCGTGATACCAAAGGTTCAGCTAGAAGGCCAGGACTGTTTGAGGTTTCACCCAAGCAAAGGATCACATACACACATCAGTTCAGTTCAGTTCAGTTGTTCAGTCGTGTCCGACTCTTTGCGACCCCATGAATCACAGCACGCCAGGCTTCCCTGTCCATCACCAACTCCCAGAGTCTACTCAAACTCATGCCTATCGAGTCGGTGATGCCATCCAGCCATCTCATCCTCTGTCGTCCCCTTCTCCTCCTGCCCCCAATCCCTCCCAGCATCAGGGTCTTTTTCCAATGAATCAACTCTTCACATGAGGTGGCCAAAGTACTGGAGTTTCAGCCTCAGTATCAGTCCTTCCAATGAACACCCAGGACTGATCTCCTTTAGGATGGACTGGTTGGATCTCCTTGCAGTCAAATGGACTCTCAAGAGTCTTCTCCAACACCACAGTTCAAAAGCATCAATTTTTCGGTGCTCAGCTTTCTTCACAGTCCAGCTTTCATATCCATACATGACCACTGGAAAAACCATAGCCTTGACCAGATGGACCTTTGTTGGCAAAGTAATGTCTCTGATTTTTAACACGCTATCTAGGTTAGTCATAACTTTCCTTCCAAGGAGTAAGCGTCTTTTAATTTCATGGCTGCAGTCACCATCTGCAGTGATTTTGGAGCCCCCAAAAATAAAGTCTGACACTGTTTGCACTGTTTCCCCATCTATTTGCCATGAAGTGATGGGACCAGATGCCATGATCTTAGTTTTCTGAATGTTGAGCTTTAAGCCAACTTTTTCACTCTCCTCTTTTACTTTCATCAAGAGGCTTTTTAGTTCCTCTTCACTTTCTGCCATAAGGGTGGTGTCATCTGCATATCTGAGGTTATTGATATTTCTCCCGGCAATCTTGATTCCAGCTTGTGCTTCTTCCAGCCCAGCATTTCTCATGATGTACTCTGCATATAAGTTAAATAAGCAGGGTGACAATATACAGCCTTGATGTACTCCTTTTCCTATTTGGAACCAGTCTGTTGTTCCATGTCCAGTTCTAACTGTTCACACATAGACCCATGCAAATCAGAGTGGGAACCTGGAAGTGTAAGAACAGTGTTGGAGGAAGCATTCTTCCCACCTTCCCAGCGTTCTTCTTCCCTTCCTTCAAGAAGGAACAGAATGGTAAAAATTTTGAACAGAATACAACTACCAACACAGAACTGTATGCCAACACATTATACAGCTACTAACACAACCTGTTAGTGTTGTGTTAGTTCCTTGAAACTAACAATGTTAGTTTCAATGTTCCTTGTTATTTTGAATGTTCCTTGAAACTTTATTTGCTGAAGCAAATGACTAAAACAACCTAAAGGTACATCAACAGGGGAAAGACCAAAGGTAACATATTCACACCATGGGATATGGTAGAATATGATGGAATTGTGCTGCTCAACACAGCGGCTGCAGCCTCATGTCCACATATAGCTATTCAAATAAAAAGTCATGAAAATAAAATAAAATGTAAAATTTAGTTCCCCAGAAGGTCTGGGTATCAGCTGAGAGAGAATCACACACGTGTGACTCTGAGAGTGTCTCTTGAATGTTGTACCCTAGGTCTCTCGCCTGCCCCACCCTCACCCCACCCTGAATGGAGAGGCCCTGGAAGATGAAGCACCACCTGGAAAGGGAGGCGACGTACAGAACAGAGGCGCCGCTACCGAGCTAGCTGAACGGACCATGTGAGTGATCCGGCTGGCATCACGTGAAGCAGAATTACCTAGGCCGCCCACAGAACAGTAAGAAAGAGTAAATCATGTTTGAGGCCACTAGGTCTGGGATGGTTTGTTAGGCAGCAATAGATAACCGAGTCACCTTGCTTCACACCCACACTGCCCCAGACTCAGGTGTAGCTTAAAGAAAATGGGAGAGAAAGCCATAACTTATGTTTCTTCCATTGGATAGGCTGGAGGCTTGTGCTAGCCATTATATTTCAATGACAGAAAAAGAATCAGTGTTACTTTTTCTCATTTGCTTGAGCAAGTCTGAAATACATACCCTCTCTGTGTGCATACTACTGAAAATAAAACAAAGCTGATTGCCCCTCACTGCTTAGGCAGTTGACATCCCAGCACCTCAGCTCCTTGTGTGACTTACTCCATCTTTTCCTTTGGCAATTTGCCCCTCCTCCATTTAATTTAATGTTTTCTTCTTTTTTGGCTGCAGTGTGTGGCATGTGGGATCTTAGTTTCCTGACCAGGGATCAAACCCATGCCCCCTGCAGTGGAAGCATGAAGCTTTAACCACTGGGCCACCAGGGAAGTCCCAGCCTTCCTCCATTATGTGAGCACCTGGAGGTCCTTCCAGTAAGGGTGTCTGGCCTTTGTCCAGGGTTGACATGTGCACCACCCAAGGCCAGCTAGACCTTCTCTCCCGGGACCCACTGGCACAAGAACTGAAATCCACTGGGCCTGCATCATTCTCCTGGCCCAGGAGAGACTACTCCAGGGTTCCTGCTACCAGGATCCCTGGACTTTCTTGGGCTCCTCTTCTGCCCTGCACCTTGGAGTTGGCCAGCGCTTTCCCACACCCTCCTTTCCCTTGACTTAGCCAGAATTGGTTTCTGTTGTCACCAAAGAACCCTAACTGACATGTGACATGGCCTGTTCAGGGAGATACTCAGTGGTATCCTTTATATATTTCAGTGTGGAGGTCACATGGTTGGGCCGTGTGTTGGCCTGGGCAGCCACAGTTCTTGCCAAAAGTATCACTTGAGCAAGGAACACTGGTTTATCTGAATAGAAATCTGTCAACAACCCCTTAGAGGAAACCAAACCCCCGGTCCGCTACCTCAGGCCACACGCTTCCCTCTCCCAACCAGGAAAGCCTCAGCTCCCCATCTCTCAGTGACCCTTTTCCTCTTTGTTATTTCAGGCCTCAGTCTAGCCTGGAACTTCCTCCCACCACAGCCTGCAGAGACTCGGAGTACAGTGCCATGCTCATCCTAGATCTTTCTTACTGGTGAGTGGACTTGACTGATTTACCCACTTCAGAGAGTCCCCTCCTTGAGACTCTCACCTCACGGCCACATGCGTCCAGCAGTCCTACTGGGGGCACACAGGATGGGGCAGGACACAAGTGTGATGATGGGGCCCCGAGACTGAGGGGCACTCGGGGGCACATGAGATGTGGCTGGGAAGGCTTGGGACCAACTCTGTGGGAACCGAGCTCACCAGTGAGGTGGACCTGGTCACGGACACGGCCTGGCCTCTGTCCAAGAGGGATGCCCCTGGGTCAGGCTGCCCACCACCAGCCCGCCTGGGCCCACGAGAGTGTGTCCCTGGCTCCAGACATTACCGTTTCTGCAGGACAGTGACAAACTCGGTGAGCCGGTCGCGCTCCACCTCGGCAGCCTGCCAGAGGGCCTTGAATTCCGTCACCTGTGTCTGCCAGCCTTTTTGTTCAGGGGAGTCCAAGAACCTAGGGACCAGGGTGGGGGCAGAGGTCAGTTAAGGGTTACCTGAAGAGACGCTTATCCCTTTGAGGGTGGGAGGGACTGGAAGGACATTCACAGGTCCTCAAAGGGAACCAGAGAGAAGGAAGACAGTCCAGTCCCTTCTGGCCTCTTCCGCTGGCTTCTTCTCAGGCCTCCATTCCTGGCTCTGCTGAAGTCTCTCAACTTCACTTAGCTGGCTCCAAAGCTAGACCCCACCAGGACTAGAGTTTCATCAGCACCTCTTGTCTACCCAATCCCTGTAGGGGCCTGGAATCAGTCTGAAGCCTTGGAAGCTGACTCTTGGGGACCTGGTGGTACCCTGGGAACCTGTGTGGTGGGGGAACCTGTCCATGCTTCTCAGTGCCAATTGGGCCCAGCTCCTGTCTCCCTGTCAGCCTGTCTTGGCCCTCCTGTATCTCCTGGCATGACCCCAAGCCCAGTCGTCTTTCCTGGGCCCTGGACCCTGGCTTTGTAATTTAGTCAGTTTTCTCCAGCCCTGATCCAGCCCATCTCTGGTTCACTTCTTACCGCTGGACCTTACCTGCTGGCTGGGGTTGGGACCAAAGGGGAGCTCTGCATGCCCCCACCCCAGAGCCCTTGTACAGTGCCAAGCTGCTCTCTGCTTTGCCCTCACCCTTCCTAGGGAGACCCTGGTGAGGCAGACTTGCTCTTCCAGAACCACAGGACATGAGGAGGGCTGGGCTGGGGCCTGGAGCCCAGAAGCTGACTGGCTCCCCTCTCTGGGCCCCAGTCCTCCTGCTGAACAGGGGTTGGCTGAGATGGGCTCCGAGGATTGCAGGCTCCTCCCTGTCCTGGTTCCTAAGTATACGCTAAGGATTTGCCACTCAGTGTGGTCTCTGAATCAGCGAGCTTGCTGGAAATGCGGGATCCCATTTCCGGCAGGATCCTACCTGCGGAGTCAGAACCTGCTCTAACCTGGCAGATCCTCACTTGATTCGTGTGCACAGTAAGTTAGGAAAACCTACTTTAGTCACCTCTGTGATCTCACATGTGGGAGGAGGGAGTTATCCCCTCACTCCACCTGCCTCCTTAGGCACTGCATCTGAGCCAGCACGCTAGCCCTGATAGACACGCTCTCTGGGGTCACTCCTACTCAATGAACATCTGTCCTGTCCCTGATGGGAGGGAACTGTGAGCTCTATGAGGGCAGGACTCACATGTGGTTGGCTTTAGTAAATATGTGTGTCTTGTGGAAGACACAAGCTTAAGAACCAGCAGTCTGGCCAACCCGGGGCACACTGGCTCCTGCAACCCTTTGGAGTGCAGAGGTCATGGCCACATAAGCCTGGAAGGGACCTTGGGGTCATCTTGTCTATCCTCCTGCTCTCACTACTATGATAACCTCAGAGCGACAGAGCCTCTGTTCTCCCTGTGCTGTGAGGAGGGCGCGACATGGGCCCCTGAGGCTCTGAGTCAGACCCCTCTCCCCCGTGCCCTTGTGGCCCCAGGCTGATGGAGGGGGCATCTGCAGGGCTGGCCTCAACTCTTGGTGCCTGTGCCGCCAGATGTCAGGCCCGAAGCACCCCCAGACACTTGCTGGGGGACAGCAACCCCAGGGAGGACTGATTTGCTGAGAGCCACACAGCAAGACGCACGTGAGACAGAGGCCCTTGAGAGGCCTCAACCGGAACCTGAGCTGACCTGCCCAAGGAGCGGGGGCAGGAGCTGACAGCAGGAGCACGGCTCCAGTGGACAGTACACAGGACAGTGAGGCCAGACAAGGCGGCCCTTTGTCCGTGAGCTGGCAGGAAGAACAAAGGGCCCATTTGAGTGCTACGGCTTGATTCTATCAACAAAGAGCAGGCCAGAGAGCAGAGGGGATATCAGTGGCTTAAAGTGGGAACCGTGTGACGTGAAATTCTCCCCCTAGAGAGAGACTCTCAATGGGCAAGAGGAGGCAAGGGAAGGTGCTGGGCTCCAGGCCCTGGAAGGTTCCTGGTGTGAACTCTGGTAGCAGAAAGAACACTGGGCCAGGACTCCTATTCTGAAGCCACTTGCCCTTTCACCTTAGATAAGGCCCTGGATCTCCCTGACCCTCCATGTCCCTACGGAACCTGGGAAGAGTCCCCAGACTTGGCCTGGCCTCAGTTTCCCATCCTTGTAATGGGATGGTAACACCGGCTCAGTGATCAAGGATGCGAAGTCCTGTGAGGGTGTGGTGCTGAGAGGGCTGGGTTCCTACCTGGGTGAGGCCCCATGAGGACTGGGCAGGGAAGGCCATGTGAGAGAAGATTCCACCAGTGTGTGGCCCAGGCTGGTCACGGAGCTGTGCGAAGACAGAATGGGCTCATCACCACGGGCAGGCAGGCTGGGCCCGGCTCTGAAGGGAGCAAGGGCCAGCAGGGACCTGGGAGTGAAGAGGGCAGTGCTGGCCCTTACAGCCACCCTGTGGATTTGCTGCCCTCCTTTCCAGAACTCTAGCTTGCTTAAAAACAAGACAGAACCAGGGGACATTAGAGCCTTGAAGGGTCCAGCATGGGTCTGTTTGAGAATCCTAGAAGCAGGTGAGAATTGAGGCCAGTTGGGAGCCAGTTTTACAGAAAGCTGCAGCCAAACACTCTTGAGGTAATGGTATCTGGAACTCACTGGCCCCTTCATGCAGACACGAGGCTGACTGAAGGGGAGGCCCATGTGTCAGAAAGATACCACCACAGACATCGTAAAATTGCATCCATGGCTTCCCGTCCTTTCTTCTGAATAATGAAGATGTACTTTCCAACCCCCACCCCCATTTTTTCTTACCGGGAAGATCCAAGCCTGCCAGCATGATCGCCCTCTGAGGCTGGGGGCTTGGTCAGGCCAGGGTCGTCGGGGAGCTTGGCAGAGGCCCGGCTGACCTCGGGTCCACTGGAGCCCTCATCTACTCCTTTATTCCGAAGATACTGCAGGGAACAGACGTGGGTTCCATCATCCGGGCCTTGGCTCAGAGGCCTGGAGAAGGCAGGAGGGGGCCTTGGCTTGATTTCGGGGCTTTCAGGGGATATAAAAGAGGCTTCTTTTCAGGAGTGCAAAGCGAGGCCTGTTGGGTGAAGGCACTGCTTGCATGATAATGACAGCTCATAATGCCTCTCTTCAGAAAGGGAGCTTCACAGCCAGAGGAGGGTGACCGGGCCAGGAAGCTGTTCCACATTCAGGTCCCAAGGGGAAGTGAGGGGGCAGGTCCACCTCTCCGGGTAGCCCCACCCACATGGGGGTGAACACCAGGTGTGACTTCAGGCCTTTTTCAGCTGGAGACACGAAGATGTTCCAAACACCTGAAGCCAAGATTAAGGGCCAGCAGCCTGGCCGGGAGGCTGGGCTTCTCAGGCCTCCACCTTCCCCATCCCTCCCTCTTCCAGATGGCTGGTGGGGCCAATGGAAGGAGGAATGTTTGAGGACCCCCAACAGGAGGTCTGGCCACCAACAGAGGGACAGTTGGTGTGAGCCCCACCCACCCTGAGAAAACTCGCCATGTGCACCCGTTTGTCTGGTGGGTAGTGCTCGGCCCCCAACTGCTCGGTGTGACCTCTGAGGTGCAGGTCAGTCCTCTTTTCTGTGCCTGAAACCAGGACAGCAGTGAGGTGGAGATACTGTGACCTCCAGGCCTCTGCTAAGGCAAAACAGCCTCAGGAGCTCACGTGTTAGACAGGCATTTACTGAGCAACTACTGTGTTCTCGGTCCTGGGCCAGGCACTGAGGAATCACAGTTAGTGCCCCCTCAAGGAGAATTTGGGGGAGAAAACAGGAAAATGATCACACTGTGTGACAAAAGTTTGGCTTGGGCACGCACAGGAGTTAGGAGAGTACCCAGGAGGGGCTTGTAATACAGACTGGGAGCCCTGGAGCTTCCTGGAGCAGCTCTGGACTAGTAAGATGTCAACCCTGAGGGGGAGGGCAGGGAAGGTGTGTGCTTTGGGTATGTGCACAGGCCCAGAGTGGGGAGAAAGCAGGGTCATGGGGGAGCTCAGTGGCATCCACATGGTCAGAGTGGTGGATGGCGGGCAGTGAAGAGAAGATGCAGGAGGGGTGGCAGCAGGAACCAGTCACCTTGTGCCCTGCAGACTGGATGAAGGAGTGTGCTTTGCTTCTGCCATCCCACTGCCTGGAATGTGGATAAAAGTGCTGGCACTGTGGCCACCATCTTGGGTCATGAGGATGAAGGCCACAGCTGGGGAGGGAGAGGTTAAGCTGGCAGGAGCCTGGAACCCTGAGGACCAGGTGAGGCTGAGGGTGATGGGGAGCCACAGATAGGTTTTACAAGGAGCAGGGAGACAATCAGATCTGTACTTTAGAGAGGAAAGGTGTGTGCAGCATGGGCCGGAGAGCCAGATGTAGAGGCAGGGAGCTGAAGTGGGGCCAGGTAGGAGATGGTGCAGCCCGAGGGAACACAGGTGGAGAGAAGAGGAAGTGGCTGAGGTTTCTCTGGGTAATGGGTGGACTTGCCCCGACTTGGGAGCCAGCAGGTTGAGCCAGCACCCTGCTCACCTGCAGACTGAGCTGCCCGATCTCCAGCTCCAGCTGCCGCACCTTGGCCTCCCGCTCAGCCACCATGGCCCGCAGTTGGGCCACCAGGCTGCTGCTCCGCTGAGCCTCGCTGTTGAGCTGCTGGTCTAGGCGGTGCTGGGACACTCGCGTCTTCTCCTCCTGCAGACTCAGGCTGCTCAGAATCTCCTGGAGCTGCTTCAGCTGGTCCTGTGGGGCCAGGTGGGAGGGTGTGCGAGGGGAGCCACGACTCTCGATAGAGAAAGACAAGAGAAGACCAGCAACCCACCCCTTCCCTGCTCCTTGGGAATCTAACAGTGGGACGCTAGTGTTCCCTTGAGAAGGAAGAATACTTTGCCTGCCCTCATTCAACCAGGTTTTCCTGTCGTCAGCTTCCTTCTCCTTGAGATCAGGGTTAAGGACATCCAAGGGGTTTCCAGGAGCCCCATCCAAGGAGATTTCACAATCAGATAAGTCTGGTTTGAATTCAGTTGTATGGCCTTCGATGACTTAATCTAGCTGTGAAATTGGATTATGTGTTCCTAAGGGTTATCTTCCCTGGAAGAGGATGTGGCAACCCACTCCGGTACTCTTGCCTGGGAAATCCCATGGACAAAGGAGCCTGGCAGGCTACTGTCCATTGGGTTGCGAAGAGTCGGACATGACTGGGGACTCACCATCATAAACCACACCCCAAGAGCCCAGAAGGGTGTGCTGTTGCTACCACACAGACAGGGATATGCACCGCTCAGTCATCCTTTCCATTCCTCCATGAACAATAACCCAGGGTGTAATCGCATCTGCTCCCCCCCCCCAATCCTCTTCTTTCTCCTTTGGGGTCCACAGGCTCAGTGGCTCATGGCCAGCCTCTCACAGCAGGTCCCCTGCTGGCCCTCTGGCAGCCTCTGTGCTGCTTCTGTGCCCAGGGCCAGGCTTTGGGGCTGGGCCCAGCAGAGCAACAAGCTCCCGGGTGATGCAGGTGGCATGTTGGGGCACATGAGGACTCTGGGGGCTGGGACTGGGTCACAGGTCTCTGGGTGGGGTGGGGGCCCCAGAGGTGACTGTACCATGAGAGCATCGATGAGCTCATCATCATGCCGGCCCTTCTCCGCAAGGGTCCCCATCTGACTCCTGAGGCTCTTCACTTCGCTCGACAGCACCTTGTTCCGGGACCTCATGCCCTCAAACTTCTTTTTCAGCTCTTCGAGCTCTCTCTGGAGGGCATCCCGCTCCGCCGCAAGTTTCTGTAATCAGAGTGGGCAGTCACAGGCTGCAGGGCTGAGTGGGGCCCTGGGTCACAGCTGAGCCTTCACTGCCATTCACTGATGAGGCCAGAGCAGAGAGGGGTTGCGACCCCATGGACTGTAGCCCACCAGGCTCCTCTGTCCATGAGATTCTCCAGGCAAGAATGCTGGAGTGGGTTGCCATCTCCTCCTTCAGAGGATCTTCCTGACCCAGGGATCGAACCCACATCTCTGGCATCTCCTGTATTGGGAGGTGGGTTCTTTATCACTGAGCCACCTGGGAAGCCCCAGTGTGTCTTCTGAGGACCCTGAATCCCTGCCTGTGTGGCGAAAGAGAAAAGCCATGCTTCGGTGGACAACACTAAGCCTAAGGTTCAAACTGAGGTGTCTCACCCCATCAAGAGCTAGTTTCAGGCCCAGCATCTCCACAACATCCATAATGGGGCCACCCTGATATTCATGAAATGGGCTTGAGGTGAGGAACCAGTCAGGTTGCTCAGGGTGGACCAACAGGGCATGAGGAACATGCACAGAGCTGACCCCAAACCTCAGAGCCTCTGAGTCTTCACAGACATGGTCGTGGTTTCCCGGCCCCACACACCCCTGACTTCCTGTTGGGCACACTTACCTCCCAGCCTTCCTGTTTTTCCCTCTCCAGGTTGCGGATCCGCAGCAGATTTTTCTCCTGGGCCGACAGCTTCCTTGGGTCAGGATAGACAGACAGCTCACTGGCTGTTTCTTCAGACCGGCTCCGGGTCTGTCCCAGCTGTTTCTCAAGCTCTCGAACCTGAAGGTGGTTCCACAACAGGTCTGCAGTCAGACTCGACCCCTCAGAGGGGCCACCCTGTGATGTGATGGATGTACGACCCCCCTGGACAGATGACACCACAGTTTCAGATGGATGTGGAGGCCCCTAGGAGAGGGACTGTGGTGGGGGAGGGATGGAAGGGGTCTGTGGCAGCATCCTGAGCAGAACAAGGGAAGACACCAGAGAGGCTTTGCTTGACAAAGAGAAACTTCAAAGTAAACTAGAAAAATCACCCTATCTCTGAGGCCAAGAAGCAGATGTGGAGCCCCGGGAACTTGGGAGGGAAAGGACAGCAGGTCTCAGGAATAGCTGACAGAGAAATTCCTGACAAAGTACCAGGAATAGCTAACAGACAGGCCACCTGAGCCTGGGGAGCTCCTTGGGAGGCCACAGGTTCCTGCAGGAGATGCTGCGAGGGAGGGCAGGGTGTGGAAGCTGGGAGACCAGCTCAGAGCCTCGCTGGCTGTGTGACTCTGCACAGATTACGTCTCTGAATCTCAGGTCCCTCGTCTGTTAAGGGGGTCTATGAGTATACCCTGTATAACGTTATGAGAATTCAGTATCCCAACTTGTCTGAGCCTGGGACTCCCCAAGACGTTTCTTGGGGTGACAAATCTTGGGGCCCATTCCAGGGGAAGAACCCTGGGATCTTCATTTTAAACAGGTGCTATAGATATTTGTTAGGTTAGGCAACTTTGAGAAACCCCAAAATGGCCCGGGGGAAGCCCTCAGCACAGGGCAGGTGGAAGTCATCCTATAAAACAATGGCTTTATTACATTGAGTTTAACGCGGATAACCCCTAGGGCCCTTCTAACCCTGATTTCTGTGTCAACACAACATAAATGGTGTGACCCTGAAAGTGTTAATCACTCAGTCATGTCCGACTCTTTGCGACCACGACCACGTGGACCGTAGCCCACCAGGCTCCTGTGTCCATGGCCAGGAGAAAAATTCACTGGGATCCCTGGTAAAGGGCTGCAGGATCAGCGCCCTCGCATGGCACTGTGTGGTAATTCCATTTAAGCCGTAAAGAACACTTGCTTTTAACCATTTATTTACACAGCTTTACAACACTAACGATAATAACTAAAGTGCTGAGTGCTTATTATGGCCAGGCACTGTGCTGGGTGCTTCCCAAATGTTATTTTGTCTAATCCATAACAATCCTATAAAGAAAGGTATTATTATCTCCATTTTACAGGTGCGGGGACTGAGATGCAGAGAGATGAAGAGATTTGTTCAAAGACACCAAACATGTAGACCAATGACTGAGGCCAGACTCAAACTCAGGTCTCAGGAAGCTCAGGGCCACACACTGGTTGTTAGTTACAGTTTTTTAGAGACCTCTTCATCTGGCTTCAAGGATCCCACAGGAGACCCTGAGGGCAAAAGCCAGTGGAGAACCTGGGGTGAAGGCAAGCCTGCACGTGGCAGATAGTGGAAGTGGCCCACCTAATTGTGCGCCTCTTAGTTTCGTGGTCCAGCTAACCTCAGACAGCGTTTCCTCCATGCCAGGCACTGTGGTAAGCGGTTTACACATGTGCACTCAACTCAGTCCCCCCACAACCTTAGGGCAGATGCTGTCATTATCCACAGTACAAAGAGGAGGAAACTGAGACACAGAGATGACCCAGCTTGCCTGAGGCCACACAGTTGGTGAGTGGAGAGCTAATGTTTGCTGTTTTTAAAAAAATATATATTTATGTATTTGGTCATACTAGGTCTCAGTTGGCACACATGTTAGGTCTGGGATGTGGGATCCAGTTCCCTGTTCAGGGATCAAACCCAGGCCCCCTGCGTTGGGAGCATGGAGTCTTAGCCACTGGACCACCAGGGAGGTCCCAGAGAGCTAAGATTTGAATCCAAGCAGTCTGACTGTGGAGCCCCTACTCCCACCCTCTTTGTTGCTGTTCAGTCACTCATTTGTGTCCGATTCTTTGCGACCCCATGGACTGTAGTATGCCAGGCTTCTCTGTCTTTCATCATTTCCCAGAGATGCTTCAAAATATTTAGAACATAAAAAGGGAGACAGGCCAAGTTTTTTTTTGGTGGGGGGTGGGGTGGGTAAATGAAACTTTCAAAAGCCTACAAGCATCTGGACAAAACTGGAAAAAGCCTACAAGTACAATACTCATGCAAATTTACATGAACTAGGGGGAAAAAAATTTGCCTGGAGTGAAATAAATCAAAGGCTCTGGCATTTGTTGAGCGCCAGTGCCTGGCATGTAGTGTTACATAAATGCCTGTTCATTAAATAGCAAATGAAAATCAGGCTGGTTGGGAAGAATGTGAAACAACAGCCCTGCGAGTGCACTCCGCAGAACCTAAAGGCCTTTTTTGGGTTCTGTGTCTCTTAATGTGGGTCATCATGGGTCTTTCTAGGGCATCTCAAGCCTTACGTTCAGGGCCAGGAGGCGTCTGATGACTCACTCACCTTGCTCTGCAGGACGAGGATCTGTTGAGCCCGACCCCTCCAGGTCCCAGGTGAGGACAGGAGCTGCTGGATGTTCACATCTTCGCCAACCTCACTAGTCAAAACCTGAAAAAGGTGGGGCCGTCTGTATGACCCAAAGCACAATATGTGCAGAAACAGTGCTGGGTGCCTGGCGTTCCCAGAAGACCCGGCCTCCACTTGCACAACCACCCCCTCTCCAGCCTCCCCACCTCGCAGGACAGTTGAACACACTGTATGAACAGCTCTCCCTGGGAAAGCAGTAAACCCACCTTTCCCAGCACTTCCCGGTGATGCTCAGAGCAGACAAGGAGCTGGTGACACTGCCCAGGTGGGGCCGCCTGCTCTTGACACATTCTGGGATGAGTGAATCACAAAGATGACCAAGACCTGCTTCCTAAATTTGTTCACCTGTCACCCTGAACTGAGATTGTTCTGGAGGTTACAGGGACGACCTCACCACAGGGCCTTGCCCTCTGTGCAAAGCCACAGACAAGGGGCCTTGTCTGAGTGCAGCAAGGCAGGGGCCTACCAAATGTCAGCCGGGGATGTTTGCTTCCAGCAGGGCCCAGATTTGTGGCTGTTACAGGGAGATGTTCGGGCTCAACCTCGAGGCTCTGAGGTAGAAGCAGCACACCGCAGCTTGTGCCCTGGGCCCCTCTGTAGCCTGTCACGGGAACTGATCTAGCGTACCGAGTCTCTGGTGCTTATTTCCACAATAGAACTCTGTTTTGGAAATCTTGGCTGGTCTGAGTGGTTCCAGCAGGGAAGACAAATGCCAGAGAATTCACTATGTAAATAAAAATAAATAATGAACCAGCTGGGCCTGCCTCCCAAGTCTGAGCATTTTCCTTTGAAAGGGGCCTTTAATCCACAAACAACCTTTCCATTTTCTAACATTAGAGACAGAAGAGGACAGGAGGTGGGTCTTGGTAGGCTTCCAAGTCCAAGGTGGCTTATTAAGGAGACACCCAGGGTCTGTTGGGGTACACATAGCACAGGGAAGGTTTAAGGGACTTTCCAGGGTGGACAGCGCTGTCTTCCATCCAGGGTTGGGTGGGCACCACAAGGGCCTCTGTGCGGGGACCTGCAGGCAGCCAGCAATCCCCCTTACCAGATGGGTCTGTTTAAAGACCTGGTGGAAGGAAGTTACTGGATCTGGAGCCTGACCCAGAACAAGCAGCATGATGCTCATGGGACCAAACTCCTGAATGGAAGCCATTGTCCAGCCGTGCCCTTCCCAGCCCTAGTCCCAGCAATACAAGAGGACCTGAACTCTGACCCGGAAGTACCTTCTGGGCCATCCGGAGCTCCTGCTTCACAGCCTGGATCTGGTTGCGGAGGTCACTCATCTTCAAGTTTGTGGCCGCCAGCCTGTCCTGCAAGACTTTCACCTCTGGGTTCTCCGGCTGGTTGGGAAAGACAGGAGGGAGAGAGGTCCCTTGAAGCCTACATAGTAATAATACTCACAGTCCCCGTTTCTCCAGGTGTGTGCAGGTACCACGCTAAGGCTCAACAAGAGGAACCCATCTCATCCTCATAGCCGCTGTGAGGTAGGTCCTGTCGTCAGCCCATTGTGGATGCAGAGCAGAGGCTGGTGGAAGGTGAGCCCTTGGCTTGAGGGACCTGGTAAAGGGGAGTAGGGATGTGGATCCTGGCAGCCCAACTTTGGGGTCTGAGCCCTGTGCTCAAGTGTGGCCCACACACGTGTGGGCACCTGTGGTTGACCACAGACCGGGAGCATCTGGAAGAGGCTGTTCCCTACCTCCCAGACACTCACAGACTGTGGGCTCTCTGCTGTGTGCAGAGACTGGCATCACAGCAAATCCGCCCTCACTCTGGATGAAGAGAGAATGGGTTTATTTATAGAAGCCTGCCCTAGCTTGGCAGCAGGGCCACAACCATTCTAACTCAGGGCCTCCCTCTCCTAGAATCGTCAGACTGGGCCTTGGGCTCCCTTTCCTGGCAGTAAGTTCACTAAATAGAAATAAGGACCCAGGGCTTTCCTGGTGGCTCACTGTTAAAGAATTTGCCTGCCAATTCAGGAGACACAGGTTCGATCCCTTATCTGGGAGGATCTCCCATGCGGCAGAACAAGTGTGCCCATGTGCCACAGGTACTGAGCCCGTGCTCGAGAGCCCAGGAGCTGCACCTCCTGAGCCCATGTGCTGCAGCTACTGAAACCTGTGCACCCCAGTGCTCTGCAAGAAGAAAAGCCACCCAATGAGAAGCCTGCACACCGCAACTAGAGAAAAGCCCAAGACTCAGCACAGCCAAAAACAAATAAATAAATAACATTATTTTTTGAAAAAAGAAATTAGGACCCAGTTTAATCCCCCAGTGCTCCATTTCTGTGGCATAAAGAATTGCACGAACCATGAAAACTCTGCCTGTTGGAGTTCTTAGCAGTGTCTTTTCTTTCTTTTTTTTTTTTTTTTAATAATATTTCATGTAAACTATTTGTATGAAATTTTTCTCAAATGGGAGTTCTTAGCAGTGTCTTTTCTTTTTTTTTTTTTAATAATATTTCATGTAAACTATTTGTATGAAATTTTTCTCAAAATGGGGAGCTAATGTGCTCCCCATTTCTGGCTTCAGTAGAAGTTCCTGAGGCTCACAGAACTTTGGCATTAAAGGGACTCCAGGGCCAGCCCATTCAAACCCTTTCCATAGGTGATGAAAATAAGTTCCTGAGAAGGGAAATACATGCCCTCTCAGGCACACAGCTGGCTGAGGTGACAGCAGTAGGGTTAGAAGCCTGGTCCTTCCCTTGCACCAACTTACTCTCCCAGTTTAAGCTGGGACTGATGCCTTTGCATAGTGGCAACAGGTACACTGGTTGGTGGGCTGAGGGTCCCACTAGGCAGTGACACTGAGACCATCTGCTCCTGTCCCAAGACATCAGGTGACTTAAACTTCTGGGAAACAGGGTGGATACCACAGCGGCTTGCTGAATTTTTCTTAGTAGGCACAGATTAAAACCTCCAGGGAGTGTTGGTGAAAGATAGACCCCAGGAGACTGGGGGTGGGGAGCCCCATGGACCCCAGAGGTTCTGGGCATCCCCTGTGAAAACCACTAATAAGAGCAACTAGACCTGCACACACAGCCAGGAAAGCCTGGACTCTGCGGGTCTCCTCACCTAGGAAATGCCTGTGTCCCCACAGCGCCACCATGAGGCTGAATAGAGCAACCAGTGTGAGCAGAATTTGCAACCTGAGAACTTAGGCAAAACACAAGGGCATCTTTATTTTTTTTAATCTAATTTTTTGTCTGTCCCTCCCCCGTCTGGCTGTCTGCCATCCCTTCCCACTGCTGTTGGGGGCCTGACTGCCTCCTGCTAAGGTGCTGCTTTGAATCTGCCCTGGGTTAGGAAGCAGCAGCCCCTGCCTGACAACCCCGCTCCCGCCCTGTCCCCTAGGCTCTGGTGGGTGGTGGTGCAGGAGCTGAGAGAGCTTGAGAGCATAAGGGCACAGAAAGGCCACTCAGATTGCATCTCAATCTGGAGCCCAAGCAACCACACACCTCTCCAAGCCTCATTTTCTCGTCTGTGAAATGGGGGCATCTTACACCAGCCCCAGGGGTACCTGTGAGTGTTGATGGGATAATGCATGTGCTCCTTGGGGCAGATTCTGACAGACAGTGATGCCCAAGGGGCATAACTTGACTTGGGTCGGCAGCTGGCAAAGGTGGCTGAGGGTTAGATGGTGTTGTGGTGAGGGCATCACCCCATCTGCTCTGTCAGGCTCCACACCTCACCCCCAACCTGGGAAGCTGTGCCAACCCCACCTCCTTGGCATTTCAGAGCTGTTTCTGCCTAGAGTGAGATACCACAGGCTTTCTGGGGATCTTGGCTTTTTCCCCTGAGGAAATACCTGAACCGGTGTCTAGGGGAGCAGACAGTGCCAAGGCCACACACAACAACAGCTTCATGAAGCCCCATGCAGAGAGGGCGTTCAGCTTCACTCTGGAATGCACTTGGAGCTCTGGGCCCGGATGGGGGTGAGCCCGCAGGCTATGGAGCCTGGCCCAGGCCTGGGTTGGCCTGAACAGTCTAATGAGAGGGACATGGCTATTGTTCTCGCTCTCATCAGAAGAGGCTGGGGAAGACGCGTGTCCTGAGGAGTGGAGACTGCAGCCCACCATCCACGTGTCCATCAGAAACCTCCCAGGCTCCCTGCTGCCAGAGAACAAAGTTGGAGCTCCTGCTCCACCTACTGTCAAGGCTTCCTTCCGCAGGTGACCCCACCCCAGCTTGTTTGTTCCCCTTTGTTATGTTCCCCTTTCCCTCCTCATGGGCCCTGGGCTGCAGCCAAATGTTGTCTAACTGATGCCCAGCTAACAGACAGAATAGGAACAGTGACACTTTCCTGCTCTGAGCTTGCACTGCTTCTGCTGGAAGGGCCACCCCTACCTTCCTACTCCAGCAAGGCCACCTCAGGAAGCCCTTGCCCATCCCACCTCCTGGCCTCAGGTGGAGTGCGTTCCCTCTGTGAACTCTGAGCCGGGGGGCTCTCCCTGAGGACTCTGTCCCCACTCCTTCCTTCATTGTGCCTACTCATCTCCCCTATTGAACCCCCTTGTGGACAGTGGGATGGTCTTTGATTCTCTATGTTACAGAAAATCCCATCAGGCTCAACAAGTGACTGAATGAGCAGTTTCCCACCCAGCACAGTCCCAGTCAGAGATGGGGATGTACATGGGGCAGCTTAGCAGCATCCCCCAGAGCTGGAAAAAGCACTGAATGACACCCAGTCTGGCCCCCGCTGAGGGAGGAGCCCCTCCACTACCTCCCTAGCAATGAGACAGGTCTACACAAGACTAGCCTTCAAGAGATATGTTGCCCTGTACATGGAGGGGCCCATCACTGTTCACCGAGGAGAGGACTGAATTCTCCTTGAGACAGGCATGATGTGGCTTGACCCTGAGTAATAGACAACAGGGATGATTGGGTGGAGAAGGGGGCACTGAACTGGAAGTACTGAGGCTTGGATTCTGTTTCACCAATTCATTTGGCTTAAGAAAACAATGGGGGTATTTCCTTGGCTGTCCCCGGCTCTCACTGCCGGGGCCCCAGGTTCAATCTCTGGTCAGGGAACTAAGATCCCATAAACCATGTGGTGCAATCAAAAAAAAACAAGAACAAAAAAAAAACTGTGGGGAGGCCTCCCGGGATGTTCTTGAGTGTGTGCTCAGTTGCTCAGTCATGTCTGATTCTTTGTGACCCCATGGACTGTAGCCCATCAGGCTCCTCTGTCCATGGGGATTCTCCAGGCAAGAATACTGGAGTGGGTGGCCATGCCCCTCCTCCAGGGGATCTTCCCAACCCAGGGACTGAACCCTCATCTCCTCTGTCTCCTACATTGGCAGGCAGATCCTTTACCACTGAGCCACCTGGGAAGCCTGTTCTTGAGACTCTGAGCTATTTATTGTCTGGCTTGGGTTCGGTGCCCCTCACCCGTAGCCCACTGGGTCAGACTGCCTTCCTTCATGGAGTTGTAATTCCCATTTCCTAGGTTTCATGGAGGCTCACTGGTTTAGTAAAAAATGGAATCTTGGAAACAGCCCCCATTCCCAGTAATCACTTTTACTCTGTAGATTTGGAGTCCCACCAAGGGAAGACTTCCCACAATATGGATTGCCTCCCTCCAAAACCAGGGTTCCATTGAGGAAGAGAGAGCTCCCTGTCGCTGGGGTAAGGTAGAGGCTGGATGTCTCCCAGTGAGGAGGCTGTAACAGAGATCCTTCATGGCTGGGCTGAGAGTGGGAGGCCAGCTGGACCAGGCCTTCCCTCCTGATCCTGAAATTCTAGAATTCCAGGGTCCTCAGGCCCCTCCTAACCTCTCTCTCTGGGAACTAAATCAGTTAGACCCTCACTAGCCTTCCCTGGGGCATTCCTGGCCTCAGACGGTAGACTTGGTCACTGTGCCCTGATGGCTACTCTGAGGATGCTGCTGCAGTAGTGGCACCGGCTCAGCAGTGCGGTGGAGGTGGACCCCCAAGAGAGACACCTGCGCCCCCATGGAAGAGGGGAGCCCAGGCCTCACACACTCCCCAGCACAGAAGAGAATTCATACCAAGACTCTGTCTCCCGTCTGGGTCCTCAGTGGCTTGCCTCCTGCGTCAGTGGGCTCCTTGGCTGGCAGCCTGGCCTGGACCATCTGCAGCTGAAAAAGCAAACCTGGCACTTAATATTTGACTCTACTCAGTGGTTGTGGCACCTTGAGTGAAGGCCTCTGGTGCTGCCGTCAGACGTGCTGTCACTGATCTCAGTAGCCTGTCTCTTCAGCTCACTTTAAGGCCCATTAATGGAAGAACTGTCCTTTACAAGCCATTCTGCGATGGGAAAGGGTTTAATTGATTGTTTGCCCCATTCCCAAGTCACAGAATGGAGCAGTCCTAGGATTCATGAACAGCTTAATAAATAATGATTCTGCAGCCATGATCTGCATCTAATAACAGCCTGGGAGATAGAGAGAAAAGGAATTACGGACTTCACCTTACACTCAAGGAAACAAGGTCAGAGACTCTAAGAAACCTGCCTGACAGGCTTGTGGGCTGGTGGCCAAGACCGCCGCTATATACAGACAGTCAACCAACCCTTTAAGGGCTTCCCAGTTGTCCTTCACACCAAGACCACCCCTGTCTGACACGGCTGGGCATGACCCGCCCTCCCACCTCTTTGACATCACCTTGCTCCATGCTTGGTCACATTGGCCCTCTTTCAGGCCTTTATCCATATTTTAGGTCCTTTGCCCCTGCTGGGTCCCCTGTCTGGAGGCCCCAGCCTCAACCCTGCGAGTCTAGCCCCTTCTCATCCTCCAGGGACCCACTGTGCATGCTACCTCCTCGAAGGGGCCCTCGCTGCTGGTCTGACTCCAGGAGGAAAAGAATAGGACTATTTTGCTCCTCACAGTCTCCCCAGGGCCTGGCACAGAGCCTGAGATGGTTCTCAAAAAAATTTGTTATGGAATAAAGAAGTTCTAGTGCCATGCCAAGTATAATGCCTGAGGAGGGTTTTGGAGAACAATAGAACTGGATTTGAAGTTTGGCACCACCACATGCTGTGTGACTTGAGAAAGCCTCCTAACCTCTGCCAGCCTCAGCTCCTCCAGCCACAGAAGGAGAAGCTATGCACGTAGGTTCACTCCAGCTCCTAAGGGACCATGAGCCGCTGGGGCTGTGCCCTCGCTCAGCCGGAGGCGTTTATGATCAGCTGTGAGAGGGTAGGGGCAGCAGAGAGGGAAGGTGGACAAACGGGACGGACTGATGGGATGTTCCTGGTTCTAGCTTCAAGTTAGCCAGAATCCCTGATAATGTATCTAACAACATCTTTTTGGTGCTGTACCTAGCAGTACCTACCTGCTAGGTACTGTTCTAAGCATTTTACAACATTAAGTCATTTAATCCTCAGAAAACCTTGAGGTGAGCGCCATTATCACTGCCATGTGACTGGTGGAGGAAATTGAGGCACAGAGAGACTGTAACTGGCTCAAAGTCACAATGCAAGTCAAGAGAGAAAAGGAATTACGGACTTCACCTTACACTCAAGGAAACAAGGTCAGAGACTCTAAGAAACCTGCCTGACAGGCTTGTGGGCTGGTGGCCAAGACCGCCGCTATATACAGACAGTCAACCAACCCTTTAAGGGCTTCCCAGTTGTCCTTCACACCAAGACCACCCCTGTCTGACACGGCTGGGCATGACCCGCCCTCCCACCTCTTTGACATCACCTTGCTCCATGCTTGGTCACATTGGCCCTCTTTCAGGCCTTTATCCATATTTTAGGTCCTTTGCCCCTGCTGGGTCCCCTGTCTGGAGGCCCCAGCCTCAACCCTGCGAGTCTAGCCCCTTCTCATCCTCCAGGGACCCACTGTGCATGCTACCTCCTCGAAGGGGCCCTCGCTGCTGGTCTGACTCCAGGAGGAAAAGAATAGGACTATTTTGCTCCTCACAGTCTCCCCAGGGCCTGGCACAGAGCCTGAGATGGTTCTCAAAAAAATTTGTTATGGAATAAAGAAGTTCTAGTGCCATGCCAAGTATAATGCCTGAGGAGGGTTTTGGAGAACAATAGAACTGGATTTGAAGTTTGGCACCACCACATGCTGTGTGACTTGAGAAAGCCTCCTAACCTCTGCCAGCCTCAGCTCCTCCAGCCACAGAAGGAGAAGCTATGCACGTAGGTTCACTCCAGCTCCTAAGGGACCATGAGCCGCTGGGGCTGTGCCCTCGCTCAGCCGGAGGCGTTTATGATCAGCTGTGAGAGGGTAGGGGCAGCAGAGAGGGAAGGTGGACAAACGGGACGGACTGATGGGATGTTCCTGGTTCTAGCTTCAAGTTAGCCAGAATCCCTGATAATGTATCTAACAACATCTTTTTGGTGCTGTACCTAGCAGTACCTACCTGCTAGGTACTGTTCTAAGCATTTTACAACATTAAGTCATTTAATCCTCAGAAAACCTTGAGGTGAGCGCCATTATCACTGCCATGTGACTGGTGGAGGAAATTGAGGCACAGAGAGACTGTAACTGGCTCAAAGTCACAATGCAAGTCGGTGGTGGAGCTGACATTCACACCTGGGTGGTCAGGCTCCAGGCTCGCATCCTCTCCAGTGTGCTGGGTTACCTCTCCAGGCCTGCTTCCTCCTTGCTTCCCAACACTCCCCTCTCAGGATATGACAGACTGAGGGGACTCAGGGCAAACACTGACCCAAAGTCCTTGCGAAGGACCCAAGGCATCTAAGTGCGTTCCCTCTCTGGAGGAGTGGTGTGGGGTGTGAGGAGCCCGCAGCGCACCTGAGACTCCTCACCTCCTGCTCCAGTTCCTGGATGCGGTTGCTCAGCTGCCGCACCCTGGTCTTTGCACCCTCGGACTCTGCCATCAGCACCCGGTTCTTTTTGGACAGCTCGACGATTTTGGTGGCAATCACATCTCCAGCCACACCAGCTGTCCCTAAAATGAAGGGAAACGGTGAGGTCCATTAAAAACACAGGCCCACATGTTGAACAAGCTTGCTGCTGCTGACCTGGGCCAGGCAGTGACTGGGGAAACCAGGAGTAGCCCTCGGCCACCTCATGTCGAAGAGGATGAGGACACGTGAGGAGAAAGAACCTGGGGAAGGAAACGAAACCTAGAAGTGCAGATGGTCCAGTGGTGAGTTTTCTGGTTATGTTTCCCTCCCAGGACTCAAAAGCATTACAAATCCTGGAACTAGACATCAGAAAGCGGTCAAAGTGATCTGCCCTCTCTCATCCAAAGGGCAGGCAGTGGGCTCAGAGCGAATGGGGGAAATCCTCTTCTTTTGCTTATTCTTTCCCAACTCTGTCTCCAGACAAGCCCCACTATTTTTTTTTTAATACTTTTAATTTATTTATTTTTGACTGTGCTGGGTCTTCATTATTGCAGCAAGCAGGGGCTCCTCTCTAGTTGCGATCCACAGGCTTCTCAATGCGATGGCTTCTCTTGCTGCAGAGCATGGGCTCGAGGGTGCACGGGCTTCAGTAGTTGCAACACCTCTGCTCAGCAGTTGTGGCTCTTGGGCTCTAGAGCACAGGCTCAGCAGTTGTGGTGCATGGGCTTACTTGTTCTGAGGCGTGTGGGATCTTCCCAGATCAGGGATTGAACTGGTGTCTCCTGCATTGGCAGGTGGAATCTTTTCGTGTGGGATCTTCCCAGATCAGGGATTGAACTGGTGTCTCCTGCATTGGCAGGTGGAATCTTTTACCACTGAACCACCAGGGAAGCCCAAGCCCCACTCTTGAAGCCACCAACCCCATGATAATAGGGCAGCAGTAAATGGGCAAGCACAGAAATGTTAAAATATCTGGGTAAACAGAATATTTTATATCATTAAGTTCTTTAAAATATGTATTAATATAATTCAGTTCATTTCAATCACTCAGTCATGTCCGACTCTTTGCAACCCCATGGATGGCAGCGCACCAGCCCTCCCTGTCCATCACCAACTCCTGGACTTAACTTAAACTCAGGTCCATTGAGTCGGTGATGCCATCCAGCCATCTCATCCTCTGTTGTCCCCTTCTCCTCCCACCTTCAATCTTTCCCAGCATCAGGGTCTTTTCAAATGAGTCAGTTCTTCACATCAGGTGTCCAAAGTATTAAGAGTTTCAGCTTCAAAATCAGTCCTTCCAATGAATATTCAGGACTGAGTTCCTTCAGGATGGACTGTTGAATCTTCTTGCAGTCCAAGGGACTCTCAGGAGTCTTCTCCAACACCACAATTCAAAAGCATCAATTCTTTGGTGCTCAGCTTTCTTTATAGTCCAATTCTCACATCGATACATGACTACTGGAAAAACCATAGCTTTGACTAGACGGATCTTTGTTGGCAAAGTAATTTCTCTGCTTTTTAATATGCTGTCTAGGTTAGTCATAACGTTTCTTCCAAGGAGCAAGCATCTTTTAATTTCATGGCTGCAGTCACCATCTGCAGNTAGTCAATAAAGCAGAAGTAGATGTTTTTCTGGAACTCTCTTGCTTTTTTGATGATCCAACAGATGTTGGCAGTTTGATCTCTGGTTCCTCTGCCTTTTCTAAATCCAACATCTGGAAGTTCACAGTTCATGTATAATGGTTGAAAGAAAATACGATAGGATTCTCTGATGAGATTTCCAACATACACAGAGACAATACTTAAGAGCTGTACTGTAAGGGGGAGGGTAAAGGGGTCCATATGGTGGTAAAATTTCTTCATCCCACTTGAGTAGTAAAATAATACTTCTAAGTAGGCCACGAAAAGTTATGTGTGTTGTAAGCACTAGCGCAATCATTAAAGAATTGTACAAAGAAATGGAAAAACTAAAGCAAACATGAAAAATCCAGCCAAAGGAAAACCAGTTTATCAGCTGTCAGCAGCCTGGTTTAAAAATATGAACTGAGCCTGTCAGACTTTCCTCTTCAAAACATGAAGGCCTCTCCTCTCCTCCTGGAGCCTCTCAGCCTTGAGAGACAGCCTTGCAAAAGCTGCCCCTTTGCATCTGAAACCCAAGTCAGGTTAGGTGTTGCCTTCTCTTCAGTATAGCTTTATTTTAGACAGAAAAGGCCAAAAAATGGAGGGAGACGTAAGAGTTTTTAAGATACCAAATTCCCCTTGCTTTTTAATTCAGCACTGGTCCTCTGGGTGCACCTACTCTTAAGGGTATTTACTAGCAAAGGCAGAGCAGATGCTCCGGCAGATGCCAGGTGAGGTGTATTGCCCTCTGTGATTGGTGACACTGACTTTGTACTTTCTTAGTCAGCCACCTGGGAATTACTCAATGCATAGAGCAGAGGACAGCCAGGGCCAAGGTCTCCACCACATCTGTAAGAACAAGGTCTATCTTAGAACCACAGAGTCAGTGGTCATGTCCAGTCCATACCACAGAGCTAACATACCCAAGGTCCCTAACAGGCCCATGGGGTCAAGGTCTCAAGCAGCAGAGCCAAGGTCCAAGTCAGACTTGAAGGGACAAGGTCCACTCTAGATGCCACCGGATTCTAGTAAATCCCATGGGAACAGCCAAATTCCCTGTCTTATCTACCCTTCTGGCCCAGTAACAGCAAGAGGTATAGAGTAAATGCCTATTTCTGCTGGGGCTTTTTTCACATCCATGTTTGAGCCAGAGCATTGAGATAGAATGGATGCCATCAGCCCACCGAACATGTAGCAAATGCCATGGAGAACTGTCATGAGTCCCAGCGGATTCACCCACACTGCCTGGAATGCCTGCCCTCTGCCTCTGCTGTTCTCGTGCTCCCAGTTCCTGGCATCCTGGCCCACCCTGACTGCTCCATTCCTCTCCCCCTCCCTCATTTCTGGAACTCGTGTGGACAAGCTTGATTACAGCTGACCCTTGCACTCTCTCTTCACACTTGCCCTCCGGAACTGGCTGTTTGTCTGCCCTGTAGGCTCCATGGCAGCTGGGCCAGCCGACCTGGACTTCAGGGTAGCAGCTGTCATGATAGTGGTGCAGTTACCTGTAAAGGCAAATCTGTCTTCTTCTATTTTCTTCTTGAGATGTTTGATTTCAAAGTCCCTCTCCTTCAGCAACTTATATAATCGCCCGTTCTCATCCACTGTTTCCCGGAGTTGATCCCGAAGCTGTTCGATCTCATCTTCAAGCACCCTGCAAGGGAAAGGCAGAATCACAGGGGGCTCAGGCCTCCGTGGTTCAGGTTTGTTGTCCCTGGCTGGGGACTGGGTGTGACTAGAACTGTTCTGTATAAAACAGGAAGGAGAAATTAAGGGGAATCTCAATGAGCAGATTTTTAGCATACTGTTCTCAAAACAGTGATCAAGGACACATGCACATAAGTGAAGGGAGCAACAAGCTTTGAATGCTGTGGTTTATTAGGGGTTCAACAGAGCTACATAAAACCCTGCCCAGAGAATTCATACTCCTTTCCAGCATCTATGGAACATGCATAAAAATGTATTGTAGGCTTCAAAGGCAATATTATCAAACTTCAAATAATGAGCATCATGCAGACCATTTTCTTTAATATTAATTGTCTAAAATTAGAAATCAATACTAAAAAAGGGCAAAATTTCAGAAAAGAACTCCAGAGTTGTCATATGCTTGGAACTAAACTTACACATACACACACACTGCTAAGTTATTTATGGGTTAAGAAGAAATCATAATGTGTATTATGAAGCATTTAGAATGAATTGACTATAGAAGCAATATATCTGAAAGCTTATGAACAGCAGCTAAAGTGATACTTAGAAGGAAATTTATAGTCTTAATTTTTTAAAGATATTTTGATGTGGACCATTTTTTAAAGTCTTTATTGAATTTGTTACAATATGGCTTCTTTCTTTTATAAGATTATTTATTTTAAAATTTTTGGCTGCGCTGGGTCTTGGTTGCTGCGTACAGGCTTTCTTCTAATGGTGGTGCATGGGCTTAGTTGTCCCACAGTATGTGGGATCTTCCTGGACCAAGGATTGAATCAGTGTCCCCTGCATTGAAAGCTGATTCTTAACCCACTGGACCACAAGGGAAGCCCTGCTTCTCTTTTTTGTTTTGTTTTTTCTGGCCCTGAGGCATGTGGATCTTAGCTTTCCAACAGGAATCTGCAGCCCCTGCACTGGAAGGCAAAGTTTCAACCAATGGACCACCAGGGAAGGCCCTCTAGTTTTACTTGCATATTGGATCATAGAAAAAGTAAGAGAATGCCAGAAAAACATCTACTTCTGCTTCATTGACTATGCTAAAGCCTTTGACTGTGTGGATCACAACAAACTGTGGAAAAGTTCTTAAACAGGTGGGAATACCAGACCACCTGACCTGCCTCTTGAGAAACCTTATGCAGGTTAAGAAGCAATAGTTAGAATCGGATATGGAACAATGGACTGGTTCAAAATTGGGAAAGGAGTAGGTCAAGGCTTATTTAACTTCTATGCTTATATTCACCCTGCCTATTTAACTTCTATGCAGAGTACATTATGCCAAATGCTGGACTGGATGAAGCCCAACCTGGAATCAAGATTGCTGGGAGAAATATCTATAACCTCAGATATGCAGATGACACCACCTTTATGGCAGAAAGCAAAGAGGAACTAAAGAACCTCTTGATGATGGTGAAAAAGGAGAGTGAAAAAGCTGGCTTAAAACTCAACATTCAAGAAACAAAGATCCTGGCATCCAGTCCCATCACTTCATGGCAAATAGATGGGGAAACTATGGAAACAGTGAGAGGCTTTATTTTGGGGGGCTCCAAAATCACTGTGGACAGTGACTGCCGCCATGAAATTAAAAGACGCTTGCTCCCTGAAGAAAAGCTATGACAAACCTTGACAGCATATTAAAAGCAGAGACTTTACTTTGCCAACAAAGATCCGTCTAGTCAAAGCAATGGCTTTTCCAGTAGTCATGTATGGATGTAAGAGTTGGACTGTAAAGAAAGCTGAGTGCCAAAGAAACGATGCTTTTGAACTGTGGTATTAGAGAAGACTCTTGAGATCAAGTCCCTTGGACTGCAAGGAGATCAAACCGGTCAATCCTAAAGGAAACCAACCCTGAATATTCATTGGAAGGACTGAGGCTAAAGCTGAAGCTCTAATACTTTGGCCACCTGATGTGAAGAACTAACTTATTAGAAAAGATCCTAATGCTGGGAAAGATTGAAGGAAGGAGGAGAAGAGGACCACAAAGGACAAGATGGTTGGATGGCATCACTGACTAAACGGACATGAGTTTGAGCAAGATGGAGCATCTGGGGGATGGTGAAGGACAGGAAAACCTGGTGTACTGCAGTCCATGGGGTCACAAAGAGTTGGACATGACTGAGTGACTGAACAACAATTAGAAGACCAAAGAGGACTGTCTAAGCCTTAAGCTGAGGCCAGGGCTCTGGGTCTCAGGTTAACCCAACAGGAAATCAGAATAGGCAACTGGTATTGTGTGTTTTACATTGTCTTGCAACGCTTTTTTCAGAACTTTAAAACATGAGAAATGTGTGATTGATGGGTCTGTGACTGTTTCTATCATTAGGCATGAAACCAGCTCCATAGAGGCAGTTGCTCAGGAAGTAAATAAGTTATAGAAATTATGCATGTGTGTCTGCTCAGTTGCTTCACTTGTGTCCGACTCTTTGCAACCTACGAACTGTAGCCCGCCAGGCCCTTCTGTCCATGGGATTCTCCAGGCAAGAATACTGGAGTGGGTTGCCACGCCCACCTCCAGGATCTTCCTGACCCAGGGATTGAACCTGCATCTCTTATGTCTCCTACATTGGCAAGCTGGTTCTTTACCATCAGTGCCAATTGGGAAGCTCAGAGGTAACAGTAATTACTGTTGTTTTGTTTAGTTGCTAAGTCATGTCCAACTTTCTTGTGATCCCATGGACTGTAGCCTACCAGGCTCCTCTGTCCACAGGATTTCCCATGCAAGATACTGGACTGGGTTGCCATTTCCTTCTCCAGAGGGTATTCCCGCCCCAGGAGTCAAACCTGGATCTCTTGCATTGCAGGCAGATTCTTTACCACTGAGCCACATGGAAAGCTCAACTAATTATTAGATAACGGCTATTCTTAATAATATTGTTGGATACCAACACCTCAAGTATCCACAAATTCCACTTTCTCCGACTTGGGGAAAGATCATTTGGAAATCGGTCTGGGGTTAACTTGGATCTAATATTTAGGAGCCCTATGAATTTTTTCAATTATTGATATCTTAATTTTTTCTAATTAGCATTTTTCAGTAGAACATTGTGAAAACTGAGAAACCATGAAAAGTAGAATTGTAGATGGAGAAAATAGATACTAGGTGAAACCAGAAGCAAAGAGATAGCTCAACAACTGTGATTTTTTTTTTTTTTTAGCAAAATGGCTAGCAAACTTTTGTATCAATGGAGACTTCTGCTTCTAATAGCCTATATAAATCACTGCATCTGTATGACACCATCAAACTTAGAGCAAAATGAGAAGATTTTGGCCTCTTCAACTTTTTCACCAACTATATAAAAGCAAGGAATCCATCAAGTGCTTCTTTATGAGAGGTAGGTTTATGTGTCCTTATGTGTCAGGAAAGGGAAGTTGGGGCATAACAGTCTCAGGTGAGGTTTGGAGCAGTGATCATCTGTGAGATATCAGAGCCAGCCCACTGGCTCCTCAAAAACCAATTTTTTCTTAATAAACTACACCTTGATGGGTTTCAAAATTTTCCATTTGGCTTCACATGGTTTTTGAATAAATTTCATGCCAAATTATGTCTATAGGCCCACAGACCCTCGATCAGATGCAAGAGGCTTCAGTAATAATCTCTATGTCAAAACCTCTTGAGTCTCAGTTGATAAACACACATCTGGCCAACTTGACTGTCGAACTGTATGCAGCCATTCTCCCCTTCTTCCCTACCTCCCTGCAATGCCCCTGGGAGAGTCCAAGCTTGCATTTACCTCTCCTCAAAGCTGGTTTTCGAGTTCTGCTCCCCAGCCTGGAGGACGCTGAGGCCATCAGACATCTCCAGGGGCTCTTTTTGGTCATCACCTCTGCTTTGGAGGCTCAGCTCTTTTTCCTTCCGTTTCTCCATCTGCTTCTGTAACCTTTTGTGCTGCATCTCTTGCATGGCTCTAAACTGGAGCCTCAGGGTGTCCTGCGAGCCTTCATCCTCTGCCATCATGCCCTCGGAATAGGAAAAGGAGCCGGAGCTGAAGCAAACTCTACGAAGTGCTTCTTTCTCAAGAGTGCTCAACTCGTAGTAAGCCCTGTCTACAACTCCCCAAGCCTGGAGTTTCCTGCTTAGCTTTGCAGGTGTCCATGTGGAAGCCTGGAAGATCCACCCTCCCTTCAGATCCCCTGAAAGCCACAGCTGAACTGTACTGAGCCTCACCGCCCCACCCTGCCCCCGACACACCCTTCCATCCCTGACTGTGCCATCAGGATACTGTCCCCGTTACTCAGACTCAACAGTTGACTCCTTCCTATCCCTGTAAGCAGTGGCTGTCAACTCTAGCTGAACATTAGAATCTCCTAGGAGCTTCTAAAATATAACAATGCTGTGGCACATCCCTGGACCAATTAAATATCAATTCCTACGAATGGGGCTCAGATATCATTCCTGGTTTTTTTTTTTTTAAATATTTATTTGGCTGTACCAGGTCTTAGTTGCAGCATACAGGATCTTTAGTTGTGGCATATGGGATCTAGTTCCCTGATTAGGGATCGAACCCAAGCCCCCTGCATTGGGAGCGCGGAGTCCTAACCACTGGACCACCAGGGAAGTCCCTAATTACTGCTTTTAGTTGAGGTATAATTTTAAATTGAATTATAATTTACATGAGTAAAGTGAGTGTACAGCTCAATAAATCTTTACACAGGTATACACCCTGGCTTCGGCCAGGCCTCCTGGCGGCTACTTGCTCCCTTGACTCCAGCTGGAACCATTCTGTAGTTTTCCCTGCACTTACAGTGTTTGCTCCGCTGCTCTCCATCTCTAGCTGCAGAAGCTCAGTCACCTCTTCAGACGCTTTGCTGCGCTGTCCTGGCAACCGTCACCAGGGAAACCAGCCACGACGCCGCGTGACGTCATCATGCGTCTACGGCGGCCAAGAGGGCGCTGGGAGCTCGGAAAGGGACGCAGGTGCAGACTACCTGGGTTTAGTAGGTAAGTCAGCCATTGCGGAGGGGTAATGGAACGGGGCGTCTTGTGTCTTGAGACTTTAAAGTTGAGCTAATGGTCCGCTTCTAGAACGTGTTTTAAAAGTTTTGTGGGCCAAACGTTCTACGCAGAGATGCGCATCCCGCAGTCCTGCTGGAAAAAGGTAAAGTGAACGATCCCACCATGAAATTTAACGTAGCCTTTCAGAATGTCTTTGGAAAATATAGAACAGTGTCGGGAAAAGGTTATTTTGTGCCAGTGAGTGTAAAAGGCAAGGTACGAAATAGTAACTGCTAAATAAATGTAGTTATGTTTTTAAAACTAGGACCAGAGGGACTTCCCTGGCAGTCCAGTGGTTAGGGCTCTGCGCGTCCACTTCAGGAGGCGCGAGTTCGATCCCTCGCCTGGGAATAAGATCCGCATGGCGCGGCCAAAACAAAACAAAAACTAGGAATGGAACATGACTGGGGAGGAATGCAAAAGAAATATTAAGGTTAAAAATGGTTGTATTCGAGTGCTGGAATTGCAGTGGTGTGTTTTTATTTTTGCACTTTAGAGGATTTAAAAATATAGAGTACATGGTTTATTTCCATAATGGAAAACATTTGTGTGTTTGTTTTCTTCTTTAAGACACTTCCCAGTTTAAGTCACTACTAGAGACAGGTCTTAAGAAACTCTTCAGATATTTCATGGTTGTTTTGGTTTTTTTTTTTCTTTTTTTCTCATAAGGCATTCACTCCACAGACATGCATGAAGGAGGGGCACCAGACCACTTATTGCAGAACTCTAGTGCAGTATCACAGCCAGAATATTGATGTTGATCGTTGTACTTGTTTTCATTTGTGTGTATGTTTACTTTTATACCGTTTTATCATGCTTAGGCTTGCATATCCACTATCATCTTCAAATATTGAACACTTAAATCACCATGAGGATTCCTCTTTTTGGGCTTTTATTACCACATCCACTTTCCTCCCTCCTCACTTCCAAAAGGAGTGACCACTAATCTGTTCTCTATTTATAAAATTTTGTCATTTCAGAAATGTTATATAAATGGAATAATATAGTATGTAACCTTTGGGGACTGCTTTTATTCAGAATAGATTTCTGGAGATTCATCAAGGTTGTTGTATGTATCAGTTTGTTCCTTTTCATTGCTGAGTAGTTTTCTATGATATGCATGCACAACATCTTGTTTAAACCATTTGCCCCTCAGAGGACATCTGGGCTCTTTCTAGTAGGGGGTAGTTACAAATAAAGGGGCTTCCCTGGTGGCTCAGATGGTAAAGAATTAGCCTGCAGTGCAGGAGACTCAGGTTCAATTCCTGGGTCAGAAAGATCCCCTCGAGAAGGGAATGGCTACCTACTCCAGTATTCTTGCCTGGAGAATTCCATGGAGAGAAGATCCTGGTGGGCTACAGTCCATAGGGTCACAGAGTTGGACAGGACTGAGCAACTAACAGACACATGAGGAGGATTACAAATAAAGCTGATACAAACATTCGTATATAGATTTTTGTGGGAACTTAACGCTTTCATTTTTCCCGGATAGATGCCCAAGAGTCCAGTTGTATAATAACATGTTTAGTTTTATAAAAAACCATCAATCATTTCTGTAGAGTGCTTCTACCATTTTACATTTCTACCAGCAGTGTATGAGTGATCCACTTTTTCTGCATCTTTGCCAGTACTTGATTTGTCACTATTTTTTATTTTAGACATACTAATAGATGTGTAGTGCCATCTCAGTGTGGTTCTACTGTGCATAAAAATAATGATATTGAACATTTTTTTCAGGTACTCATTTGCCATCTGTGTATCTTTGGTGCAGTTCATGTCTTTTGCCCAACTTACAGCTGTTGATTTTTTAGAATTCTTTATATGTTCTATATATTAATCATTTGTTGGACTGTAGTTTGCAATTCTAGCCCATTCTGTAGCTAGCTTCTTCTCTTTACATGAGTTTTCACAGAACAAAAATTTTGACTCGTTCCAATTTACCATTGTCTTTCTTTCAGTGTTGAGTATGTAAGAACCCCTTGCATAGCTCTGGATCCCAAAGATTTTCCCTTATGATTTTCTAAAAGCATTAGAGTCTTATGTTCATGATTTATTTTGACATAATTTTTATGTAAGATGTGAGGTTTTGGTTGAGATTCTTTTTTTTTTTTTTTAACCTATGGATGTCCAGTTGCTTCAGCACTATTTGTTGAAAAGTATCCTTCCTCAACTGAATTGCTTTTGAGTCTTTGTCAAAAATCAGTTGTGTAAATTCAACAACAAAAAGCCACCCACTTTAAAAATAGGCAAAGGACTTGAAGAGACATTCCTTTCAAGAAGATAAACAGATGGCTAATAAGCACATGTAAAGATGTTCAGCATTACTATCCATTAAAGAAATGCAAATCAAAGCCACAGTGGTATACCACTCCATACACATTAGAATGGCTATTATTTTTTTTTTAAATGGAAAATAATGCATTGCTCAAGAGGTGGGAAAATTGAAACCCTTATGCACTGCTGGTGGGAACGTAAAATGGTGCAGCCATTGTAGAAAAGTTTGGAAGTTCCTCAAAAATTTAAACATAGATTATGATCCAGCAACTCACTTCTGAGTATATGCCCAAAATATGAAAGTAGATGGATACTTGTACACCATTGTCCACAGCAGCATTATTCACAATGCCCAAAAGATGTAAACAATCGAAATATCCATCTCCAGTTGAATGGATAAGCAAAGTGTAGTAATATCCATTAAATGGAATATTATTCACCCGTAGAAATGAAGTACTGACACATGCTTCAACATGGATGAACCTTGAAAAACATGCTAAGTGAAATAAACCAGACATAAAAGGACAACTATTGTATGATTCCATTTATATTAGGTACCTCGAGTAGAGACAGGTAGTAGAACAGAGATTGTAGGAAGCAGGAGGAGAGAGAAATGGGGAGTTGTTATTAAAGAGGATGAAGTTTCTGTTTGGAATGATGAAAAGGTTATGGAGGTCGATGATGGTAATGGTTGCATAGTGTTTTAAGTATACTCAGTATCGCTGAACTGTACACTTATAAATGCTTAAAATAGTTAATTATTATGTATATTTTGGGCTTCCCTTGTGGCTCAGCTGGTAAAGAATCCACCTGCAATGCAGGAGACCTGGGTTAAATCCCTGGGTTGGGAAGATCCCCTGGAGAAGAGAACGGCTACCCATTCCAGTATTCCGTCCTGGAGAATTTCATGGACTGTATAGTCCATGAGGTTGCAGAGAGTCAGACACGACTGAGCGACTTTCACTTTCACTTTTCTTTCATGTATATTTTACATATAGTTATTTTTTAATTAGTTGAGCATGTTTGTGTGGATCTAGCTGATCCTTGTTCTAATCCCTAAATTAGGTCCTTCTCACAGTTCAGCATAACTCCAACGTTAAGCTGGAACCTTTATCTTTTCTAAGATGATAAGATAGATTTCCCTTCACTGAAATAATATCCTCTTTCCCACAAATAAGTAAATATAACATAACCAGTCAGTGATCTTACCCTTACTATGAGACGCAAAGTTGAAGAAAGTCTTTCAGAAGTAAGAATACCTAGGTTTTAACTCTTGGACATTAGTCAAGTCACAAACCTCAACTTTCTTCTTAAAATAGCAATAGTAAGTTTGTTTTCATGATAATCAAATAGGTCACGAAAGTGATTTGTAAACTGAAATGCTCTTCAGCTGTCATGCATTATTACAGCCTTAGCTGTCTAGTCTCAAAATGAAAGTAAGCTTTGCTGCAGCTTAAAACCAAGGTTCCATTTGTCTCTCGCCATTCCACAGTTCTCTTCTTAATGGACCTCGGCTTTGCAGGTCCAAAATCTAATTTGGTCATTAAACCAGGAGTGTCATTTAGGACCAGACTTATGTCATCCATGATATTAAGTGATTAACCTGTAAACAAGAACACTAAGACACTAGTTTACACTAGGGGATTGTGACCCATATCCAGAGCTCCTCCTTTCCCAAGATCAGACACTCATGAAGCCAAAAGAGTCATCAGAAAGATATTGTGGGCAATTGAGAGCAAACAGAAGCAAACTGCATTGAAATATTTTTAACTTAGGGTTAGAAAGAGAGCACTAAGTCACGTCCAATTCTTGGGATCCCATGAACTGTAGCCTGCCAAGCTCTTCTGTCCACGGGATTCTCCAGGTAAGAATACTGGAGAGGGTTGCCATTTCCTTCGCCAGGGGAACTTCCCAGCCCAGGAATTGAACCCAGGTCTCCCACATTGCAGACAGATGCTTTACTGACTGAGCTACGTGGGAAGCTTTATTAAATATTCTACTTCACAATCAGAAGCATGCTACAGATAAAAATTGTCCATTGTCTCCAGGTTCAAGTTCCTTTCTTGCTGGAAGGTGCTGGATACACATTGCCAGTTTTCTTCTTCATCTCATCATGCATTTGGGCTTTTTTTGTTGGCTACCAGCTTCTCAGACTCCCCCCTACTCCACCCCGCTGCCCCTCTACACTCTGTGTTTTAATTTAACACCATTCTGGCTATAGTCATGTCCTATTTTCTCTGTGGAGCAATTTTGTCTTAAGATGTGTTTGTATATATGGTGATCTCATTCATCATACACTGACTTCATTAGAAAACTCAGTGTTCTGCCAAGATTCATCAGTCCTTAGTTCCAGGAGACCACTCTGATGGCTCTCCTCCAAGCATAATGTACTGGTAATATATTTTATATTTTCTCCCCAAATTTCTCAGTTTCACTCTTGGCTCACATCATGGTTTTCAAAACATTTGGATGAAAGTCACCTTTTCTCAGAGGTAATTGGTTTATTCCATGTTGATAAGGTCCCCAATACCTTGTCTACTTACTAGGTTTTAATTTACTGCCTCCACAGTAAGACCATGTATATGTGAGAATCTCAACTTTCTTTTTTAAAAACTGAAGTATAGTTGATTTAAAATATTGTTAATTACTGCTGTCCAGCAAAGTGATTTACT